TCCTGTCGGGTGTACGGCGGAGGGTGGGCTCGAGTTTGAAGTTTAAGAGAGGCTCCAGAGTACCCCCGACGTGGGGCAAGGCTCCCACGGAGGTCCTCCCAGTGGTTTGCTCCGGCCTGGCCTACCGGACCTGCTCGAGCTCCGTCCGCCGTGGCTCCGCTTGGCTCCCAGCGCCGCCTCCTCCCAGCCCGCCCGCGGCTGCGGCGCTTCTGTGGGTGGGGGAAGGAAGGACTGACGCAGAGTGAGTGTAGGGGATGGAGACGCGGCCTCCTGGCGCGGGAGACTGGGGGAAGGGGTTGGCTCCTCTGGGGCAGGGATGGGGTGGGGGGGAGGGGTGCGACGTTGCTAGGAGACGCGCCTGTGTGACCCCAGCCTCGCGACGGCGGCTCGGTGTCAGCGCCACTGGCCTCGGGATCGTGCCCAGGGATGCAGCCCGAGGGTCAGGAAGGGGAGACCTGGCTGGGGGACCCTGAGATGCCGGTTTGGAGCCCATCTGAAACTTCTGAATCCTTGGGATCCCCGAATGGAAATGGAGGATTCGTAGGGGCAATTCCAGGGCGGGAGCGTCTAGCTGGGGAAGGTTGGCCCAAACGAGGCCCCATACAGGATACGGAGACTTTTAGGATAGTGCGAACCAGCTTCTTAAGTCCCTCGGTTCACAAAAGGAGGCTCTGCTCCGTGACTTTTTTACTCGAATCCAGGAGAAAGTTAAAAAGTAGTAAGGAAGGTATCAGCACGTGAGAAATGCGTGTCCACCCCCACCCCCACCCCCCAAGACAATACGACCAGGGGAAGTGGCAGAAGATGGAGGGGAGCGCCAGTCTAAACCGGGTAAGGCTGTTCAAAGGAGGCCAGGTTTTGCGGAGATCCGAAAAGAGGGGCAAGCTAGGGGATGAACTTTCTAGGTGGAGAAAAGAGCCAGCCAGCGGGAAGCGTTTTGAGGAAGAAAACGCGCGAAGGCCAGGTGGCTGGAACAGAAAGGACAAGGGTCAGTCGGAGTGGTCTGTGATGAAGTGGCAGGGCCTGATCCAACAGAGCCTTTGAGCCCAAAGTAAGGGTTTGCCTCTTACCTGATGGGAGGGTTTTAAGAAGAGGAGTGACATGATCTGACGTTTTAAAGAAAAACTGGCTCGTGGCTGCTGGATATACAGGAGGGCAGAAGGTGTCAGAGCCGTTAGGAGGCTGCTGCAGGAGGCCAGGGGAGAAGCGAAGGTAGTGTTCCGGTGGCAGTGGAAGTGGCGACGATTAAATCCACGGGGTACTTGGGAAGGAGGGCTTGCTTGCAGTTCTCGCTGCTGAATTGGATGTGAAGTGTGTGGGGAAGAGAGAGGAACCCAAAGGATGACTCCTAAGGGAAAACAGTTTGGAAAGAAATATCGTTAAGTTCTCTTTTGATCACACTAGGTTTGCTACGCCTATTATTAACCATCCAGGTGAAGGGGTCCAGACATGAGATATGCAAGTCAGGGGAAAAGTCAGAGAGATGATCAAGTAGGGGTTTATTTCTAGATCACCTAGGCCCCTAAACTCCGGGGGCTTTGTACATGTTGAGATTAGGCAGAGAAGAAGGCTGCAAAGGAAACTCTTGACACAGACAAGTCCTCAAAGATAAAAACAGGTCCCCAGAAGTATTCTGGAATAATGGGACCCACCCTCAGAATCAGTGAGACGGCATCCACCCACTCATCCTAACCGCAGTGCTTTTGGACTTGTGATTTGTGTCCATTTTAGCAAACCTGACTTCCTTGGCAAATGTTTCTATGTCTGTCTCCCCCACGCACTATTTCTTCTCCTTGTCCTGCTGGCTCCTAGTACACAGCCTTGCCCACAGGGCTCAACCTGTGATTCCAGCTAGGTGGGAACACTGCTTACAAGATACCAGCCATGGATTCCGCAGCTTCTAACAAAGGGGCTTTTGACCCTGCTGCTGCCACTGGCACCACAATCTAGATATGGTCAATCTCAAAAAATCAAGTGAGAGTATCAGAAGAAGAATCAAAGGCCTGGGTTTCAGTCTGGGATCCGCTGTTGACCAGCAGAGTGGCCTTGGAGGAGGCCCTGTTCTTTTAGTTGAAGAGGCTGGCCTAAATAGAGGCTGCAAACATAGTGTTTGGCCCACAAAGTGATTCAAATTCCTTTTAAAATGTACTTGCCCACGTTTAAAAATTGGACAGCAAAATCCAGATTTTCAGCGTCCTTTGAAAAGTGAGAGAATCGGGCCACACCAGCCCGAGGTGCCCACATGGCACCGGTCAACTCGAGCCCATGAGCCGCTTCTGCCTTTGCATGGGGCTCACAGCTCGTTGGCCAAGGTCCTCTGCACCACCGGCTGAACCCTGGCCGTGCTGCCCAGATGGAGCCACTGGCTCCAAGTAGCTCTGGACATTGAAGTATAAGAAAACTGAAAAGGCAGTTAGTTCCTCAGCTGCATGGACCATGTTTCAAGGGCCCAGTGGCCACCTGTGGCCAGTGGCTACCCTGTTGGCCAGCGCAGATATGGAATCAGTCCATCGCTGGAGATGGAACTGGGAGGTACCCTGGGTGCTGATCATTCTGCACGCATCAAAATGGACAGTCATTGCTCCTGCTCTCAGGAACTTCGTGTAGTAAGCGTTTCGGTGCCTCTGCAGATGAAAAACGTTCATTTGATAGCTGGAGGGTACTTGGGAACTGTCACGAAGGCAGGGGACCCCTGCTCACAGTGAGGTTACTTATCTGACAGTTGGATCAGGGTCAGGTGCTAGAAACGCCACCTGTATCTACTGTTCTCACCCAAGTCCTTTTTTTCTGTTTCCTAAGCCAGTTCCTTAGGAAATGATCACAAAGGTGGGATTTAAATGTTAATTTAAATGTGTTTTGTATTCTCCACTTCCCTAGTTCCTAGGAAGGGCTGAAATCCTGGGTAGTTGTGAATGAATGGCTGGGCTTGATCTTGAGCATGGACCTAAGTTTTCATCTCTTTCCAACGCACGCTCGCGCACGCACCACTAACACCACCTCCTACTTGTGGTAACCGGTTCTCTCCGCCTCTGACTGACCCCTCACACCTTGTCTTCGTCGCAAAACACTCAGATAGGGAAACAGATCCTTCCATTTCTTTTGACTTGAGAGACCGAAACTTGGTTTCCATTTAGAATTTGTACCCCTGAGAGAAAAATAGCTGTACATCTCTTGGTTACAATAGCCTGATTGGAGTTCCCCTTATAAGTGCAGTTGTGCTTGTGCTTCTGTGCTGGTATATTTAGAATGAGTATAACTAAGCTCCTAAGATCTTTTTGGGGATAGTTAGAAGACTTCCAGACGCGAATAGTTTTGGTTTTTCCGTGTCCTGAAGATTTCCTGTATTACATGGCCTACCCTAATTCCTTTTTCCTGCCCTGTATCTCTGACACATCATACTGTCACTTTCTGTGTGAAAAGGTGCTGTTTCAGAGAATAGCTGTGGTATGATTAGATAGCCACACAAGCATATCCTGAGATTTGCAAAACAATGAGTGGCATTACACTTCCCTTTTTGTATTCTAGTAACCAAAACCTGAATCCAGGACAGAAAAGAGGTCCATGGTTGTGTGTGTGTGTGTGTGTGTGTGTGTGTGTGTGTGTGTGTGTGTGTGGACGGCAGGGAGGACAGATGTGTCGGGAACAGTTTAGCCGGAAAGTTACTGAATTTGAAAAAGGATGATATTCCATAGGGTATCGGTGTCCCCCAGAAAGGAGGGAGTTTCACAGATCTAGGAGAAAAGTGCACCGGAGGATGAGCGAGGAGTGAGAGATAAAGGAAGCAACATCGGAAGGGAGGCCTGGCTGGGCTTTTGGTGTTGGCACCTGCATTATATTTCCAGTAAGGACTGAACTCTGTGGTCTGAAGATAAGCGGTGCCTGCAGCAGCATTACTTACTCATACACCGAAGAACAATAGCCCTTTACTGCACAGGGGTTATTAATAATCGGAGGGAAACAGCGCTTGGAATATCCATTGCTACCACAAAGCAATACATTTGCCAGCAGGCTACACATTTCTTGTCCCCTCTGCAGACAAAGCCTAGCACAGATAGAAGAGGCCTCCATCATTTCCTCCTATTCAGGTAACGCCCGCCTCGTGCTAAGTGATTATCTCCTGAATGACCCTTACAACCACTGTGTGAAGAAGGTCCTCTTGTTACCCCCCATTTTACATGGGCAGAAACTGAGGCTCAGGAAGACTTGCCCAACCTGAGCAAGTTGGGATTGCAATCCTGGTTTGAGCTCTCCAGAGCCCAGTACTTCACTGTTTGTATTAAGTCTCCTGCTCCTCACATATGTGGAAAAACTGAATGTCTAAAACCAAGATAGTCGTTCTCCACTCCGCTTTCTGGGGCCAGAAAATCTGTTTGCTTTGGCATTCTAAGAGCATTTCCATTCCCGAGAGATTTTCCAAATGACAAAACTTTAAATTGTCATTTTCTGGGTTACTTTGGACCGGTGATCGTTTGGGTGCAGTGAACATTATTCCCCCAAAGGGTTGCTCTTCAAGAAAAAAAAGGTATCAGGACCCCATTTTCCTATATGTTTGGTCCTAAGCTTCATAGAAACAATAAATCATTCCAGTCTAGTGGACAAACCTTAAGTGGCCTTAAGAGAATGAAGGAAGAGTGGGGGTTACGGCATAGCGGTGTATCTTACACTGCCCGAGACGGAAGTGATAAGGCCTCCCCAAGTAACACTGTGTCTTCAGCTATTCATCCTGACACTCAGCACCACTCTCAGAAACATCACTGTGACACTTAACACAGGAAGGGATGCCTGGCGTGCTCTGGCTGTTGGCACCTGCATTGTAATTTTAAATGCTCCAGGGTCTTCAATTGGAAAACCCGGTCCAAATACCACAGTGTATATCTCAGGATGAGAATGGACATTAGTGGTGACTGCTGTGTGTAAATCTATTCTAACAAACATATTTCAAGCTCGAACTACAACATGTGCCAGGCCTAGGAGGGTCACATAGTCCCAACCCTCTACCCTCTGCCCCCACAAACCACACACAGTAGGGGAAGAAAGGTAAACCAGACAGGATGAACGTTATGGTAGGAGTGCGCTAGAGGTACCAGAGGTATCCTAGCAGGGACGCTGACCAGTCTCAGCGAAGAAGGCGCCCGTGAAAAGCGATGGAGGCCAAAGGGTGAGAATCGGGACCTTCCTTTGGCAAAAAGAAAGGGTTCCAGGTCTAAGGAGATGGGGCCCCAGGAGCTGGTGGCCTGTCCCACCTCTGGGGCACAGTGAACACCGAAGAGCGATTCCCTTTGGAGGGTTTCACAGGATCCACCCTCTTCTCACCACTCAAAATAATAAAATACTCAGGAGAGAAACTCGACTTCATTCCATTGAGAAAAAAATTCCACCTGGGGCAGGTCTCGAAAGAACGGAAGGAGTTCTTTCCTTCCCTGGGGCTTGACCGGCACTAGTCACCCTCTTGCCTTTTCTGTCCCTTGTTTGTGCTCCAACACTTTTTCTTCAGTAGAAGGCAAAGCCTCAGGAGAATTTGGACATTCCTGAGACCAGAGTCAGACTTCTATAAATTTCATTGGGGGAACAGGAATTTTCACCCCTGCTCTTAAACTCCCAAGTATTCAGACTGGGATGGTCTCTCCAAAGGTGGGGAAGTGGGGGAAGCTCCCAATTCTAGCAAATCCCCCCAAAGGCCAGCCATGCCCAGGGCCCAGATGTGCTGTGTCCAGACCGTCCCGACTTCCACTGCTCTCAGCAGTGATGGGGAGGGTGATGGGTTTGTGCTGTTTTTTTTTTTTTTAGGAGAGTCATCACTTCCCATTATAAGTCCCCATTACTGACTCCAAAATAAAAACACGGAAAAGCTTACGGTCAGGGAAATAATCCAGCGATCGGGGCTCCTAACCCCAACTCTCCCGGTCAGTTAGGTGGCATCAGGTTGGACCCTTCCCCATCTGCAAAACTGGCAGAAGCGTAAGGACTTAGGATGTAGTCTGAAACCAAGCACATTTTAAAAGACTTAAATCAGACCACAATATTCCAACTTGCTCAAAATCAACAAGTGTCTTTCTTTGGCTCTTAGACTGCAGACCAGACTCCTTTCCAGGGCCCACCCTCCCCACCTGGGGCCTAATCTCCTCAAGCTCTCCCCACAGCACCGACCTTGGCTCCCACCTCACAACCTTTGTTCCTGCTGATCCCTCTTCCAGCACCGCCCGACCTCTTCTTTCTAGCATTCAGGACTGGCTCGAGTCACCAACTACCCACAATCAGATGACTGCCCCCTCTGCTCATGCGTACATTGCCATTTCATTCCGAGAGCGCACACAGCTACCAGGAATTGTTTTTCTTGTGGGTCTTCTGCTTCTGCCATGAGAGTAGAAGCTCTAGGAGAGCAGGGACCATGGCTGCTTGTTTTATCACCATCCTGTACCTGGCCCCTGAGGTGCACTACACTAAATGCTGAATACGTGCACGGGTGGACGGGTGGATGGGTATTTGGGAGGGAAGTGTCCACATAAACGTCCAAACCTATAGAACATTTATGTAAGAGTTTGAGCCAAACTGAGGACAGTTTCTGGGGAGCAAGCTAAATGGAGAGTGACGGTTTTGCAGTTTCTTCTCTGCATTTGGAATTAGGAGGGGGCTAAGGATGATGCCATGGAGGTGGAAGCAAGGTAGGGGTGGATGACAGGCGAGTTAACAAGATCACGTGCTCTCTTGAGGGCGGTCCCACTTGAGTCAGAGGTGTGTTACCTAGATGCCCAGACACAATGGACAGGGCTGCTTAAGGCAGAGATACGCCTCTCACTAAAGAAGCTACAGGCCTGGGGGTGACTCCCCACCCTGACCTGCCCAGTTAGGGGGTTAGCACCGGTTCTCCTTTGGAGGTGACATGCCATGGGACCCCTTTTTGGTCCACACTCGAGTCTGGCCTGCAGGCTGGCAGCACTGTAATGAGCCCTGATGTCCCTTCTGTGATGTCAGCTCCCTTTGGAGTGTTGGGGACAGGATGTTGCGGGGAGTGAAGAGCAGAGCAGCCCCCCAAATGCACAGCCTCCTTAGATGGGGCTGCTGGTGTGCAATGAATTATCGAAGGAGGGCAGCTGCAGCATCTGTTGAATGGCGGTGCTGAGAATTCAGCCGTGAACAAGGTGGATGTGGTTACTGTCCCCAGAAAGGTTCGAGTTTGGGGAAAGATGGACACTAACAGCCATTACTTGAGTGGTTAAGTGCTACAAAGAAGAAACGCAAGGGGCCATTGGAAGGCTCAACAGAGAGACCTGATCTGATGCACGTGATGAGAGGAAGGGCTTTCTGAGACATCCATATTTTCACTAGGAACTGAAGGATGCGAGGGAGTCAGGAGAACCTTCTAGAAAGAGGGAACAGGTGGCATGTACCCCTAAGGTAAGAGGACATGATGCCTTCTCTCTGAGAACTGAAAGATTCCAATAAGAACAAAAGTCTTTTTTTTTTTTTCTGGCTTTTTGCAGAGTTGGAAGGAAGTAGTGGGCTAGACCTGGCATGGGAACTCAGCATTAGACCCCTCTCCCTGGAAATCTTCAGGACTTAGGTTTTCTGGGCCACCTGATGTCGGAGAGGGAGACATCACTTACCTCCCCTTCAGGATTAGGTTTCCAAACATGTAAACGTTAATTAAAGTGTTTTGAAAATAGGCCTATTAAGTACCAATTGTTAGTTCTGCTTGTTACCTTGAGTGCCCTAATTACAGGGCTTGTGTATCCGATTATGGTATATGATCAGTTACAGTCTGAAGCTGAGCTGCTCAGAGTAGTGGGAGGAAGCCAGTTCAAGTCGGACTTTGCAGAAGGCTGCTGCCACTCTCGCATGCCAGACCTTCCCTTGTCACCTGTGTCACACAGCCGGGACAGCTTCGTCTGTTAATGACAGGGAAGTGAGGCAATCATTAATAGAAGTTAGTTACACACTCCCTGCCCCTCACAGGAACTGACTCACGGATTTTCATATGAAACCATGGAATTCTAGGGAGAGCCAGAAACTCAGAAACCTGTTTCCTTACCAGGAAAAATGTCATCATCTCATGTGGGTTTTTGTGAACGATGAGCCACAAAACACGCGGTTGTCTTGGTTTTTATGAATTCCTTTTAAGCATTTTCTCTGAAGCATCGTGGCCTTAAGAACTGGTGTTGAAGGTAAGACGAGTCCTGTTAACTTTTGAACTGGGGGAAGCAGTGCTTTCAGGCCTCGCCTCATTCCTCATTGCTCAAGAGGTCACCAGGGTCAGGCTAAGGAGGAGGGACGGTCATATTCGAAAGAGGAATTCACTGTGGGGCCACTTCCTTGCAGACACTAAATTTCTAGATAAGCACACCTCCTTGCAGCTCCCGTCTGTGTTCTTTAGCTGCTCAAATTCTCATGAACTCAGGACAACATAAATTGTCCTGAAGCGTTCAGCCTCCACGTAGCGCCCCTCCCGCTTGGGTTGGAAATGGGTCAGGCTCCCAAAGGGCCGCGAGCACCTCCTTCCCGATCCTGATGAGCCTGTTTGAGGAAAGCTCAGGACTCCTGAGGAGGTGTCCCCGTGCCTGGCCCTGCTGCCTGCTCGCCACATCTGCCCTGGTCCTCCCGGCCTGCCCATCTGGTAAATGCAGTACAGGAGTCTCTCTCCTAAGTCTGACCAATCAGAACCCTCCAGGAGCGGGGCTTTTTCTCTTTCCGGGATTTCTTGTAGATGTAGAAATAAAGAGCAAAGAAACAGGCTACAGTTGTTGCATACGTAAAAGAAAAGGGAAACACCTAATGTCCATCAGTGGAAGACTACACGCGATATCTTCATACAGTGTGGGCCGAATTGCAGTAGTGAGAACGCGAACTAGAGCTGCGTGTCAGCACATGGATGAAGCTTACAAATATGGGCAAAAAGAAGTTGCGGAAAGGCAATACCTTTTATACATTTTTTTTTAAGTTGCTAAGCAATGCTATATAATGGTAAATGTAAATATATGTGTGAGAAAAATCAATTCAGGATAGCGGTTCCTTTACGGAGAGGAAGGGGAATTCAATTTGGAAGAGGTACAGTGGGGGTTTCAACTATATATATAATTTATTCCTTAAGGTCTATTGTGAATGTATGGCTGTTAATTACATTATTCTATCTTTTTGTGCATCTGGGATATTGCATAATAAAAATGGAGATAACAGGAATTTAATTTTAAAAATGCATTTAGCTTCAGGGGACGTACTTAAGTTGGGTTGTGGCTAAGTCCTCTGAAATTAAGGCTGCTGTTTCAGAGTGAAAGCCCAGAGGGGACACAGACCCTCAGCCATCCTAAAGATTTCAGTGACACTGGCTGTACAGTTCTCAGGTGCACAAGGCAGGAAACCGACAATTTTGCAGAATATTTTCAATCAGGCTATGCTGACCTAAGAGGCTACAGCCTGATGGCCCCTGGGCAGACTTGAGCCTGCAGATACATTTTGTTTGGCCTTCATCGTATTCACATTTTCAAAAATGAATTCGTGTCTTTTTTGAGATTATATATTTTAAAAATCTGGACTGCCACCTATTGTTAAGCTATTGTGAAATCTGGCACCCCGAGGCCCTCACTTCTACATGGCAGCAGCTGGCGGGGGCTGATAGCAACTGTCCCCTTTTAAGGGGACAGGTCCTCTCCGGTTGGCCAGTGTCCCCACCCCAGCTGGGTTCCCTCATTTTGTTACCTGCCAGGCCCTGGAGGAACGTGAATTTGCAACCCATGCATATTAAATTCAAGTTCTCACTTAAATAGAAAATTCAGTTGTTCAAAACGTGCCTTCTCCTAGGCACTCAGGGTAGTGATATGATTTTACCAAAATGCACACGAAAAGCTTCAAGCTTCATGCCTAAGATACTCTGGTAAAGAATTTACCGGTTTAAAAAACAGTAAATGTGTGCTTCAGTTTTGTTTTGCCACGTTTGTAAAAATGGCCGTCACTGCAAACTGCACAGTTGAGCGGCTCCACCATGAGGTGACACATGAGGCCACCGAGGGATAACGTATTCCTACACCACCGTTCGGCAGTGCTGCCAAACAGATTTGTTGAGAAAGCAGTTATCTCCAGACTAATTAAAGAGCTTGATTAAAAAAAAAAATGTTCATCTGGCTAGCTGCCTACTGTCACTGTGAATTTTTATGCAAATTTTCCTTCTTCTATTTTGGTGGGTCGGAAGATGACAACAGCAACACGACACGAAGTTCTCGGCCTCTACCGCCGAATTTTCAGGCTTGCGAGGAAATGGCAGGCGGCATCGGGACAGATGGAAGACACCATTAAAGAAAAAGAGTACATATTAAATGAAGCCAGAACGCTGTTCCAGAAAAACAAACATGTAAGTAGGCCTCAGCTGGAGACTGCGAGGAGGAGAGCAATGACTTGTGTGTCTGTTCATTTCTTTTCTGTCCCCAAATGGAGAGGATGGAGCAGCACACGGCACAGTGGCAGAACGTGGGCAGGAAGGGAAGGGCCCAGAGGCCTGGCCGATGGGAAGCTGAGCCTGGCCCAGGGTCCTGTCTTCACCCGTTCCAGGTCTTGGTCCAGTCAGTAAGTGGCTCAGTGTCCCCAGGTGACAGGAGTCAGGCCGGTTAGAGTTGTCAGGGGAGGCGCGGTCCCTCGCAGATGTGCCTGTCGTCCGACACTCCCACAGGCGGTGCGCAGTTCATCTTTTTTTTTTTTCAATTTATCAACTATTCAAAGCCTCCAAGTATAAACCCATTCAGAGCAAAGAGAATAGGATTAAACACAGGGTTCCCTTCCTGACTTAGCTGTGAACTCAGGCCTCTTTGGCTACCGTAGTAAGCGTGCCCTTTGGGACCACGGAACTGGGTAAAATAGTGCTCCCATGAACTGGTTTAATGGAACTGCACACCCAGACACCAGGGAGCCAAACGCCATTTCTAAGAGGCTCGGTTTGCCTCATCCCGGTAAAGCATCCAGCCTTAGCTGTCAGCGCCTTAGAAGCCGGCCTGGAACCATGCACGGAAAGAGGCTTTCAGCCCCTGGCTTTCCTGGCCGTCTTTTCGTTGATCTCATGGACTCAGTGCCGTCACTGTTACCCTCGTGAAACTTCCTGACAGTCTACTCTCTTTTTCGCTCTCTGACCCATCTCTGTCTCCTTTTTGGCTCCGTCTTCTCTGCACACCTTGCTGCCAGCTGTGGGGTCCTTTGAGGGTCAGGCCTCTGTGCCGAGGCCCAGGAGCGAACAGCCACCTTCTGGCTCCAGCTCCCGCATCTGGACACCAGCCTCGGCCTCTCCCCAGACACCTGAGGACCCCACCCCCCAAAGCATAATGATCCAAGCCAGAGCTCGGCTTCCCACAAGAAGGCCTCCCCTTCCCAGCGTGCCCATTTCTGTCATCGCTCCTGTCACCACTTGGCAACACCCTGCTCTCGTTGTTCCACTCCACAGATACCTGCGTACCCACCATGTGCCCAACACCGTGGGGAATAGAAAATGAGCAAGAGCAACACGTTCCCGCAAAGGCATTTCACCGCAAAGGCATTTCAGAGTTAGATGGAAAGAAACATAAAATTATGGCTGGGATAGTGCTACGAAAGGAAACCCCCCAATCCCCAGCACCTTCCCTTCTCGGGATCCCTGCCTGGGAAGCTTCTCTGACTGTCCTCCATCCAGGTTTGTCTGCCTCTGGTGGAGACTGTGCGGGCCACACCTAAGCGCATATACCTGTGAGGTCCTTACACACTCCCCTGAGGGTAGAAATCAGATCCTGCAAGTGCTATTTCTATTTTTATTGCATCCTTTAAAAATACCTGTTTTGTGTATATTTATAATGTTCTTAGTACATTTACTAAACTTATACATACAAATCAATATAAATACATACATGGGATCTGTGGGCTCAGAAATCTTTGTTGAAAGGTTGATCAAAAAGTTTGCAGAGCAGTGACTTACACCTGCCCGCCCTGAGGAGTTGGTCATACTCGCTTTTTCCTTTGGGTCTGTTTCATGTATGTTGGCTTGGTCTCCCCAACAAGCTTGTCAGTTCCTCAAGCACAGACCATGTCTTAGACTCTGCTAGTGCATCCCACAGGCCTTGCCTTGTGGTTGTCAGAAATGACCGAGCATTGACCTCCTCTAGGAAGCCCCCTTCTCTTCTCTGCTCTCACCTGATCCCACCATGAGCCCTGTTCTGAATTCCCGTGTAGCAGCCTGCAGCAGTCCCTGGCTTGTGGGTTTTACCCCACTGGACCCTTTCTGTAGCCTCATGTGTCAGGTTTTCTGCCGGGTCATAAGGCACCGACTGTGGCCTCACAATGGCCAGCGTGCTGCTGGGGATGTCACAGGAGGATGTGCCCAGTGAGCCCTGCAGGCCCGCCCACCCAGAGACTGCTCAAGACGCCCTAGGGTTTAGTTGTGGCCATCGTCACTCCTTCATTCGCCTCTGCTCGAGTTGGCCCGGTGTGGTGCGAGCCAGAGAGAGGCGTGTGTGCCAGTGACAGTACACGCGTGAGATAGTGGGGGCTGCGTGGGCTTTTAGTCTGAAGATCTGTGCTTGCTTTACCGCGTGTTAGAAAGAAAAGAGTATCAGGCAATTTCACAAATACTATCTTAGAAGAGAGTCCATTTAAAGAAAAGTTGAATGTTAGTACAGGTGCTGCGTAGATGTGACAAAATCATGCGGGCAGCCTTGGAATGACTGAACTTGGGGGAACTCTAACCCACACTTGTTCAGATGGACAGCTGGACCCCCAGGAGCCCTCCGCCCCTTAGCCATCATTTTATCGGGGCTTCTTTCTCCCCACTCGCTCATGCAGACACAAGTAGTTTCTTGTAACCTGGCTTGCTGTAAGAGCTTGATAATAATCCAGAGGTGTCTCGTGCATCACTCTGAATCCTAATGGGAAAATCAGAAGGGCTGGGGCCATCTACTCCTGAGGTGGACATCAGAGCTACAGCTTCTGAGAAGCATGAAGGTCAGAAAGCTGGGCCTCTGCCCCAAGGGACTCGGCTGGGGTTCTGTGCATCGCAGTTCCTGGAACTCCTCTGCTCCAAGCGATGCCGCCACAGGACACGAAGGCCCTGGGAGTTTCCGAGCCATGCCAGCCCAGACTTCCCTGTGGGTGTCATCTGGTGCTGACGCAATCCCAGCTCGCCCTTGAGGCCACTTGCAAACTCTCAGCAGAGCCACGTGTTGACTTATTTTCCATCCTCAGGATGAAAGGCTCTCCCCTTCTCCACCAGGCTTTCTGTTCCTCAGAATGAACTTTTCATTCCTTTACTTGAAACTGGACCACCAACGACTTGACGATCTTGGAATTTCAGAAGCCATGTCTTCCCCTTACTGATGAGCAAGGCAGCTGACACTTCAAAACGAGAGGTGAATCATTGCCCAGTAGCTCGTCGGGGGTGTCTAGACAGCACTTGCTGAGACAGTTGGGTTACTTTAAAGTTTGATCAATGTGGCGAGGGTGTGAAGAAGCACTCTCACTGTGTTGGTGGGAATGTAATTTATAGCCGGCTTGTGGGAATATAAATTGGTGCAACCTCTTAGAGGATCGTTTGAATCGAGAGGGAGTATCTATGAGAATTAAAAATGCATGAACATACACCCTTTGACCCCACACTCTCTCTCTAGGAATTTATCTTTGAGATATAGTTCATACAAACCAAAAAAAAAAAAAATTAGAGGGCTCCATAACAGAATTGCCTATAATGGCAAAAGATTATTTCAAAATAACCTGAATGTCCATCAGTAGAAGGTACGTTAAACTATATTAATAATACAGCCTTATGTGGGAATTTGGTGCTGCTGATACAAAGAATGGGGCTGCTTTATATGTGTAAATACAGAAGGAGCTTCAAGCTGTTGGTGGAAAAAGCAAGGTCCAGAACAAAGTGAGCTATCATTTGTGTAAGGAAAAAAACCTAAGTATTTGCGTGCTTAGCATATGTACAGAACGTCCCTGGGAAGACAAACAAGAAACTGCCAGTAACTTGTCCTGAAGAAGGGGAAGTGGCAGACAGGGTCAGAGGGAGCCTTCTTCTGTCCCAGTATATCCTTCCGTATCATTTGAAATCTTTCTTACCATGTGCTTGTATTGCCTGTTTCAATCATTTTTAAACGTTGAACTCACTGTACATTTTGCATTTAAATCGCGTTTGATTCTTCAGATTATCAATCTGTAATTTACTGGCTGGTGAAACTGGAAGAGTTTCAGAAGACGTGCTCCTGTATATACTCTGTGCAGCAGCAGAAAGGAGCTCACAGGCTCTGTCCCTCTTTCCCAGCTCACAGACGCAGGCCTGATTAAGCAGTGCATAGATGAATGCACAGCCAGGATTGAAATTGGACTCCATTACCAGATCCCGTACCCGAGGCCAGTAAGTGCGACGCCAGTCAACACGTGGTGGGTACTTGGCCTCGTCAGCCCAGGTGCTTCCAAGAATGTGCACCAAGCAGGCTAGTGTTTGCCGAGGAGGATAGAGCTGCCGTAGGAGGCACGTGGGAAACAAAGCTGTCCTTGCACGCCACCGGCCCGTCAAAACAGACTGAAATACCGAGGAATGCGTGGTCCTACAGGCACCACTTGCCCACATACAGAGGCGCTGACACTGCTGTCTCCCGCCTTTCACTTTGTGATGGAAAGATTTTTATTTTCCTTATGTAAGACAGGTTTGTTGTAATAAAAGAATAAAGTTAAACATTCAAGGAAGGCATCAAGTCAAAAGGGAACATTGTCAAAAATTCACACCCTGTGGAGTGACCATTGTAATCGTCAGGTTTGACCATATGAAATAGCCAGTGTTCTACTCCTGACCTCAAAAACAGCCATTTTATATCGAATTGGCTTAACCTGATAGTTTGGTAATGTGTCCTTGTAGTCTTTGTCTATACTCATACACCATATTTACCTGAAGGCCAGGGAGCCCGGGCCTACTGTCTACTGACTGCTCATTTTACTCGTCTCCTCTGGACACCTCTGCCTCCATCTTTTTAGATGGTTGCGTTGTATCCTGTTACAAGAACGTGTCACCATCTGACCAGTGCCCTTTCGGTAGGCATTCACGTTGGCCCTCATTTGCCACTATGCCCAGGACCTCTTATGGACACATTCTCTCTCACCTTCTTTTCATCTCACTGTGTGATCCATGGCCATTTTCTCCTCCATGCGGGAAATATGGTAAGACGAACACAAGCTCTGGAATCAGATCTGAGTTCAAACCCTGGCTCCACCACTTACTGCATAACTTGGAGCAACTTATAACTCCGGAGGCTCCCTTTTCTCATCTATAAATATTGACATCATTCCCTATGAGATGATTGTAAGCACTGATGAATCCGTGTAGATTTAGGGCTTAGCAGAGAACATGGTAGTTAGTAAATCCCCAGTGAGCATAAGCCGCAATGATGATAACTCTTCTTCTTCTTTTTCAGATTCATCTGCCTCCAATGGGCCTTACCCCACTACAAGGCCGGGGACTGCGAAGCCAGGAAAAACTGAGGAAATTTTCCAAACCCATATATCTCAAGTCCCACGATGAGGTTTCCTAACCCGGAAGAAAGTTGATTTCTCACAATGAGCCAACTAGGTCTTGAATGTAAACCAGATAACAAACCCCCCAAATTTTGGTACTCACCGTATGATGTGTGCTGCTCAGTTTGTCAGGGTCTTGTCGCCTGAGTGGACGACACTAATCCTAGAAGTCCAGGACCTTCCATCCTCCCTGAAGCGTCAGGAACAAGACTTCGGCCTATGGGAGGAAGGCTGAAGAATGACAAAGCTCTTCATGGGAATGCCTTCACTAGCCATGCCAGCCGATACAGAGAAATCACCCAGGGGCCGCAAGTCCTCAAATAGCATACCACTCTCAGAATATTTCTAGGCTGTTTCTTTAACTTCTAGATTTGCTTAAAAGGGGGCTTTTTTGTGTGTTTTGTGGTCTTTTGACTCTTCCAATTTCCAGATAAACTCCCCTTAAAAAGTGCATCATTGGATTGATTGTGGATTTTCATGGAAAGTTTATGAGACCCGCCCCTGCCCCAAAACCGTGTGTCTTAGTTAAATGCATACGTTTACTCTCTCTTATCTTAAAGCATGTCATTACTTAGGATGCACTTGGGATCTGAAAGGCTCACTTGAAACTCATACTGCATTCATTATGAGTATTTTACCTTAACATAATTAGCATGTACAAGGGCCAAACTGGCTTTCCAATTATGTCTAAACAGAAATTGAACAAGGAGAGATCAAAAGACAAAGGACTTACACCCCCTCGTGTGTGTGGAGTCAGGTGAGACTCCCATGGTTTGTACATCGGTATCACTCTCTCTTACTTCCAAAGTGGGTGGGCGTCACCAGTAAAGACATATCTCTATCGATTCTGGTCTCTGTATTCTTTTCCAAAATGGCCTTCTGACCCGCCCAAGCAGCAGTTGAGAACTTCCTGCCCTCATCACACAGATCCTTTTAATTCAAAATAAGCCCTATATTCCAATCTCAAAACCTGCTCCTGTCAGCAGGGGTGTCTTTTTTCACGCTCCATCGCTCGCTGTCTCCTTTATCTGGCCTCACTGTAGAAGCACCTCGCTGCCCGGAAGTGGTTCTGGTGTTTAAGTATTTCCCATGCAACACGGGGCCTGTGAACTCAAATCAACTACTGCATCTGGTGGTCAGCCGGTGACACAGCGATCCAGCTGTTCTTGCATGGGAGTTAGAGCTGGCTGTGCTGACCAATGGAGCCATGGCTTGCCTGTATCCACCGTGGTCCCTTTCTAAGGTGCTTCTGACTGTGCCACTTCTGTCTTATTCTGTTTCCCACCCAGCCTCCTCCGAGATGGAAGTCCACCTCATTGCGACTTAGCCTGAGTATCTTCTGTGTGCCAGAAATCTCACCTAAATACGAATTTCAACTGCCTAGCTTCCTTTGTAAGGATGCATATTTTATTACACAAAAACACAATTGTCCATTTATTTCCAAACCTTCCATGTAACCTGTGTTTGTTTATAATAGCTTTTTAATTTTTCTCTCCAAGAATCTCCCTCTTTTGTCTCTTAAAGGCAGAACCTATCTTCCCTAAATCCCCTCTTTGAAAGAAATCTTCCAACGCTGACAAGGACTGAAAACTATTTACCCAACAATTAGATGTTTAAAGAGCAAGGACTGGCTTGGTGGCAAGTTTTGTCTGATGTCACCAGCTGAGCAATGTACAGGTCGGGTCCACAGCTTCTCACTGAGCTGCTCTCAGGCCATCTCTGCCCCAGGACCCCAGCCTCTAACTCACCAGGACTTCTAAAGAACACACTGCTCTTTCCCAATGTGGTGATGAAGGCCAATTAATTACCACATTGGTCCCAATAGGAAATGACCTCATGGCAAACTTAGGACAATCTTTTCAAAGTGGAGGAAGTTTTTAAATTACAAAAATGTAATCCATTGTACGAAAACATTCTGTCCCCTGACCCCTGAGGAATGAAACCAGTCCCTGCCTCCTGCTGAAGCGGGAGTTAGATGCCTGTACTTAAAATCCAGCTGTTTTCTCAGCAACCCCCTCCGTGCCTGTAGCCTGCAGTGTGAGTCGGCTAAGGAGTCCAAGACTGAGGGGTTTGGGACCCTGACCATCTTCCCACCTCCCGTCACTAACGATTTCATTAGGAATGATGAGGCCGTTCCAGCTAGCTATCCATTTTGATTTTCTTTCTCCCATGGAAAAAAGTTGTGTTTCTTGAAAAGAAAAATAGCTATTAACCTACCTGCTTTGAGCTGGAAGAGGCTGGCTCCTTCTGTCTCTCTGTTGCCCCCTGGCAAGATTAGGAGAGCTAGCCTTTGGCACTCATCTCTGAGGTCACTTAGATGATTTGTTGATCTCATAATTCACAGTCCTCAATCAGAATGTGATTGGTGCCATATTCCCATTGAGAAACAAGGTTTTCGGGATATGTTTATTTGATTCACAGATGCTTCCCTGCATCCAGAAGAAATCAAAGACTCCGAGTTGGGACATTTCTTCCAGTGAAGAAGCAGAGAAGTCAGGCCAGACACAGTAAGACTCTTTAAACAGACTTAGGTCTTTTCTCAGTGATGAACTGTCCAGTGGAATGTCCTGAAAGAAGCCACTTCGAGCCGAAGAGCTACATGAGAGAGTCAGTGGAGAAGTCATACATCAAGAATTTGATTTTTATCTCCCTCAGGATTCTCTTCCAGCTGGCCCTGGGAAGACAGTGATAAACTAGAAATTTTTTGGACATGGGTGAAGCTAATTTCATCTAAGATTCCACATAACAACACTGCCAAGTTCTCAGCAAGGAGGCAGCGTGCGGCAGTGAGAAATGCACTGGGCTCTACAGCCAGACAGACCTCGGCTCTGCCATGCTGAAAGAGCTGGGTGATCTCAGGCAAGTTACTTAATCTCCCTGAACCTCCAGAGAGAGAGCCTGTCATACCCGACATAGGAACAAGCAAGACATCTGAAGGCTGGCCACAACCCATGGCACATAGTAGGCATACAACAAATATCCCCTCTCGGTCTCCAATCTTGCTGAAATGTCAGCCCATCTGTGTAGGCTGGTAGAGAAGCATCTGGGTCCCAGTGCGACCACTGACTAGCGGTGGACTTTTGGGCTAGTTTTCTAAACCTCTGTTTCTGCATCTCTAAAAATGGAGAAAATGGTAATACCTACCACATGAGATGGTTGTGAAAAGTCCATTTTAAATATACCAAGAGCCTTAAAAAACTAAAAGTGGCCCAAGCCTCTTTCAGCCTTTGAGAAACCCTGGTGTTAGGCCATGTGAATAGACTAAGAAAGAAGCAATTAAAACTCAGTGACAGTTACAGCAAAATAATAAGGAAAGGGTAACTGCACAGGGCTTAGCCCCACGGCTAAAGGTCTGGGTTGGAAAGTCCCACTGTGAGTGTTCAATCCAGGCTCACCATTTTAGTAGCTGTCTGATTTGGGGGATGATAAGCACCTTCTCTGTATCATGGTTCCTGCAGCTGTAAAATAGGGTGATGGTAACCTACTTTCTAGGGCTGCTCTGAACACCTGGCTCACAGGAGTGCTCTATTAGTATTACTGCCATCATGATCACCATCATCACTATAGCACGTGACTCTCAAGAAAGGACAGCTAGGTTGTAGTGGAGAAAGAGATGCCGTTTATTTGCGGTGCTGAGACAGACGCCTTCAGTTATCCAGCTGGCAGAGACTGGCTACCCCTCGGTTTATCCAGTGCTTCTGGGGCCTGTCCGTCGGAAGTTCGATGGAGAGAACGTAGTTGGTGGAGTGGCCCGTGGTGGAGAGGGTGCCTCTCCGGGCACTTGTTTTATACACCGGACACACATAAATGTTCTGATGCAAAAATGTCGCACTTTCCCCAGGTTTCAGCCAAATGATGGGCAGTGAGTCATACAGGATTTTGGGGAGAGACTCCCCAAGCTGCATCCTTTTCCTGTCCCAACGGGCACCTTCTAGGAAGAGTCCTTTTATGTAGGCCCCATCTTCTGGGTTTCTCTCCATGACCGTTTCTTGTGTGGTTACCTGGAAGACAGGAAGCTGTGAGTTTCGTGACCAGCCATTTTCCTAAATGGGACACCGTGAAGAGGCTGCAAAAGTGCCACCTGGCTGCAATGTCTGCCTTTCCCAGGATGCATCTCACAGGACACTGGGCTTCTGTGCTAATATTCCTGCCTGCCATACACGGGTCAGGTATGATTTCTAGTCAGCTCGCTGCCCTGAGATATGGGAGGCATAGAGAATGCCTGAAGTAGGAGTCAGGGGCCAGCCATATTAACTGTACCTAGATCAGTGACCTTGAACCATCTTTCCCCTTTGGGACCAGGGTCTATACAGTGAGGGGTCCGAGTCAGATGGATGCTGGTAAAACAGTGCTCAGGGGGCAGAAATAAAGCCTTGATTTGTGGTTCTTGTCACTGTGGTGTACAGACTCCCACCATGGTCAATTTCAGGCTATCATCTATTTAAGCAGCTCCACCTGGAGAGTTGGTGGGATCCAGCTTCAGCACACCGCTACCGTGTTTCCCCGAAAATAAGACCGGATCTTATATTAATTTTTGCTCCAAAAGACACATTTTATTCATTTATTCATATACAAAATTCTACATTTATTCAAATACAGTCATGTCTGGCTGACGATCTTAACTGGGGCTTATTTTGTGTTAGGGCTTATATTGTGAGTACCCTGAAAATCATGCTAGGGCTTATTTTCCAGGTAGGTCTTATTTTTGGGGAAACATGGTATCTGGATTCACGGGTGATAAACTCAAATTCCTTTAGGTAAGTGTAGAAAAGGGTCTAGGTGTAGGAGAACAGGCAGTAGTGGGGATGATGGTGAACCAGACAGCACAAGCTCCATTTAAAATCATTCAAACTCTAATCTTTTTTTCCATTTCCACCTCTAAGTACTTATTGTTAGAACAGGAAAAGGCTATCGATTTTTGTATTGTTAACCAGTATCCAATCACCTTACAAATTCAGTGAATTCTGTTAGGTATGTTTTTAGGGCCTCTTGGGATTTCTAGGTAGACAATCATTTCAACATCAAAAATGATGATTCTTATCTTTTTTCCAATATTTATCTGTTATTTTGTTTTATTACTGCATTAGCTTTGGCTTAACATTTATCTTCAAAGGCCCATAAAGTTAAGTTTACTCATAAACTAAAGTGAGACCTAGGGCAACCAGTTGGTGACCTCTGGACTAGCTGATCTCAAAGGATCTTAAAATTCAGAACTTAAAATTCTACACTGCTGTACGTAACAGTCCATCTTACCCCTCTCTCTCCATTTGGTATGGATAAGGTGATACCTGATGACTGGCAATTCCTTTAAGTTTATTCTAAGCCAAGGACTACCCAAGACCAATAACATCCTTCCAAGTGCAGAGCCCACTGTGCTGAATAGACAGCATGAGGATGCTTTCATTTCTCAGATATGATGGTGACAGGTTTTTCCTTTTTATATACACAGAAAGCCTTGGGAATCCTCCGATTCTGTCGGGATAACTTTTGGAGCCACCTTAATTCATGCTAAGACTTCATTTGGGCTATCTCAGAAGCATCTGGGCCTTAACACATGTTTGGCCTAATAAGGAAATGGGCAGCAGTGCTTTTCTCTGGCTGATCCCCTGAGCTGGCCTAACCCGAAGTACTCCTACCTCAAACTCAAATCCGATGTGGTCGATGGGGATGGTGTATTTCCGGGCATAATTCTGAGAGACACCCGTCAAAAAGGACTGTGTGAAGTAGAATCCAGAGAGCCAAAAGACCACAGGGGGCCCATTGTCAATCCATTCCTGGAGAGGCACAGAAACAGAAATTCAATCTCAACAAAACGTCAAAGGTAGTTCAAGGGCAGGTAATGTAAAAGAGTCCCATTAAGAAATAGGCTTTTTCCCATTTTCCTTGGAACAGGCAGCCTTCTCTGTTTCACTATTTTCCCATTTTGAAATGAAGGTACGAAGAAATATGTCTGCTTTAGGAAAAGCACAGGAGCAAGCTGGTGTCAGGGATACAACAGAGAGCCGCGGAGAACAGGTGCTTTGTCTGGACTGAGATAGACACTTGCCTCCAGCAAGCAAGAATGCAGGCCCATCATTTCCTTTTTTTTTTTTAACCAGACAAACTTCTTGATTTTTATGTGTAATAATCCAGCATTTACAGGCAGCTCAGAAATCTTTAAGTTGCCAGGTAGCCAAAACAAATAGATCTTTTAGCCAAATCTGGCCCATGGGCAGCCAGTGTGGACATTTATTAATTCCTCCTCTGGCCTCGAGAGGCGAGAATCTTCTCTAGAACTTTGAAAGTCTCCCTTCCTGCCCTCAGCTCCGGGAAGACTGTTTCCTGCAGGAGTTCGATCCAGGATGCTGCGAGGAGGCCTTCTCTACTCCCTCTGCCTCTAGGCTGTCATTTCAGAGCTGCCTCCCCACCTGACTGAGCTTGCCCGGTGCGCAGTTACCCCAACTCCCAGTTACCTGGAAGAAGGCCAGGCGGGCCAGCAGGTCAGCCACATAGCCCCCCAGGGGCTTCAGCGATGGGTAGGACTTGGCCATCCACATGGCTGGCACTTTACCCACGAGCATGCTATTGAAGACATCCTCTAGCTCGGAGGACATCAGGACCTGCCCTTTAATGGCTCGGCCAAGATTGATGAGGCTTCTGCGAACCACTTTGGTCAGCCTGTAAGAACAAAGGAGCCAGCTCAGCCCAGCTCTCCAGGGTCTTCATTCTACCCAAGTACACTGACTCCAGGTATCCTTTACCTTCCCCACCTTTAAAAGGTCAGACGATTAATGTGCATTCACGGAAGAACACTTACGGAGATGAGAAAAAAATTAAATACCCATTATCTCACCCCCTAAAGATAGCTTGGATGGATATATGGGCTCGGACTATTACGTTTGCAAACTTTCCACCATGCACTTACATGGTGGAAAGTTAATGAACTTAACTGTCCAGCCTTTGTATATCTTTCCAGATTTTTCTGTATGGAAACAAATTATTTTTTAATGGGATCATGCTATATTACTTTTTTATAATCTGTTTTTCTCTCTTAGCATATAGGGATCTTCTTCCCAATTCAGGAGACTTAAATTATCCTTTTTTAATGACTGTAAGGTGTTTAATCTTATTTAACTATTCCCCAACTGATGAAATTTATTCTTTCTAGATTATTGTCACTGTAAACAACATTGCTAAGAACATCCATTCATATCAATCTTTGTGGAAACATATAATGATTTTCTTACTAAAATTAGAATTTTTAGGTCAGAGGGTAATGCAATTTTAAGGGTTTTGAACCATATTGCCAAAGTTGTTCTTTTTATAGACTATGAGGTGCATTCCTGACAAAAGGCGGCTGAAGGGCAGCCTGGGAGATGCGAAGATCACCTGCCTCCCTTTTTCGGTTATGAGGCCTCACCAAGCCCGGAGGGAATGCACTTGAGATGCCAAAGAATCTGCGACCAGAGAGAGCTTGTCATCTCCAAAGATTTATGAAATCCCAAATGGACACAAGAGTATCAAATGCAAGAAGAGATTCCGGATGTGTAACCACTAAACGTCCATACTAAAAGGGATTGAAGGTTCAGACATTTGGTGTGTGTGCTTAGCTGAGAAGTCAAAGGCAAAGCTACCATCTGAGGGATTTTACCGCAGACTTCTAACTATTCTACCTAAACACATACTTGCAAAGTTTTCTTTCTATTCTTGCAACTAGGAGCTCTGCTAGTTTCAATGTTTTTAGTATAGAAGGAAGGAACATTTGCCCCAGAAGACACAATAATGGTTCCCTGAATTGGAAGCTGAATGGTCACCTGGTCATTTGGGGCTTCTCATAAGAGTGGGTGAACAGGCCAAAAAAAAGGTAGCAGGGGAGGAATGTTAGAATATGGCCTGATGTGATTAATCCCGACCATCATCAGAAAGTAAGGTTCTGTTAACCTGTTCGTTTGCATTACAATGGCCAGTGGTAAAGGCTAGTGAAGGCCCTGAAACCACCAAGAGCTCCAGTGACTCAGCAAGGAAAGGGGGCCATTGTGCCTAGTGTCTGGAGGGACGGGGACAACATCCCATCCCGCCGAGTGTCTGACTCACAGCAGTGCTGCCGAATCCTAGGCTCACAGCCCACACTTTGCTTGGTCCCTATACAGCCAATGGCATATTAACTCTAGAAATCCTTAGAGGACATCCTTCGAGTTTCCCAGTCCTCCTGAGTCTCAGCTGTTTCTAAAACTGAGCAATGGCCAATGAGGCAAACGGAGAGAGCAGGGCACAGAAATCTGGAGCAGGGAGAGCCCTGTCCTTGAAGCAGTGAGAGCCTGGTACTTGGAGCAGGGAGAACCTGCTACCTGGAGCAGTGAGAACCTGCTACCTGGAGCAGTGAGAACCTACTACCTGGAGCAGGGAGAACCTGCTACCTGGAGGCAGGCATGATGAGCGGCCTCACCTGGCCTAAATGGCCTGTGGGAGCCCTTTCGGTGTGACTATTTACAAGTCAGTCAAGGTGACCCCGCTGGGCTCTATGCCTCAGTAACTAGAGAAGTGAGGAGAGAGCCCCACGGCCAGCCCGTAACGCCCCTCCTTACCTCTGGGATGAACAATCTCCCCTCCCCTTACTACATTCACCCTGATTTCACATATCGGCCAAGTGCACAGGCTCTGGAATCAGACAGCCTGGGTTCAAACTCAGCTCTGCCACTGAATGACCGTGTGGCCCTGCACAAGTGACTTAACCCTCTGGGTCTCAGTTTTCTCATCTGTAAAATGGTGGTAGAGGGATGACTAGTTACTTATTTCTAGACTATTGTGTGGTTGGATGCAAACACGTGCACGGTGCTTGGAGCCACATCGGGCACCAGGGGCTCAATAACAGTGGCTCTAATGATTCCTGCTGCTATTGGCCTGTGCTTGGTAGTGGTTTAACCTGACTCTGAAGCTGTCACATGAGTGAATGGGAGAGAATGAACAGAAGGAGTGCCTGAACCCTGGGCCAGCACACAGCCCTCCCTCCCAATGGGTGGGGCACAGCACTTCCTCTGCAGAGCAACTCCTTATCAAGTGTCCCTCTCAGCCACTGCCCGCAGAGCCACCTCTCCCCTCCTGGCACCTGGCACCTGGCCCACCTGTTGAACCTGATGAGCTCCTGCCTCAGGACCGTGTTCATGGATTCCTCATAGACCATGGGGTACAGCTTCATGACCACATCCAGGTCAAAGTCGCTGGGAAGCTTGGAGAGTATGTCCTGGGCCAGCTCCTCAATCACTTCCTTCAGGGGCAGCAGAGAGGCGAGTGAGGAAAAGCCTGTGGTCTGCGGCTCTGGGTAAACCTGGAGCCGTCAGCACTTGTCTTTTTAAGCATAGTCTGTTGGACCTTACCGGGAACGCGCCTACAGAAGCCACTGCTGCAGGTGAAGGGGTGGGGAGTGGATGCAATCCCCCCCACCAGCCTTGGGCAGGACATCACCCTTCGGCCCAGAAAGTCCCAAGCGAGCCCTGTTCTCACACCTGGAGCACGGCCCTGAGGCCAGGCAAGGAATTCCTGCTCAGCCTCAGCCAGGTAGCCTTGGGGCAGCCCTGACCCTGCAAACCCCTGCCTTCAAGGTCACCTCTAGGTGACAGTCCCCCATGGCTCTTGCAGCTGGCCCTTAGGACCACCTCCTGGTACAGATGGGGCTCCTGCTCAGTGCCAGTGACACAGACGCCCTGGGAGGCTGGAGGCCATTCCTCAGCATTGAGCAAGCCCAGCCCAGGGCAGTGGGCTCAGCCAATAGGGAGGGGACAAACCCAGAGGAGCAGGACCTGCGCGTGGGCTCCGCCATCCTGCCGGTCCGGGGGCTGGAATGTACACTCCTTCCCTACTTTCCACTGGGAGGGGAAGCTCCACCCCTAAATTAGGACACCCCCCGCCAGGCTGGTTTACCTTCATACCTATTACTACTTCTGGCACCATGAGCCACATCAAGAAACCAAGCATGCAAAATCCACAGCTGAGAGGGACCGGCTGTGGGGGCAGCGGGGGAGGGAAGGGAAGGACGGGAGGGAAGGGGGTGTGGTGGAGTCAGGAGACAGCGCTTCTGCCCCCAGGTTGATGGGCGCCTTGAAGCGAATCACTTCCTCTCGCAGGGTTCCTGTCACCTTCATCTGTACACAGGAGGGTGGATGGGTCAGCGCTTCACAAAGCATGAGGAGGCTCCCAACACGATTCCAGGTGTTTCCAGGACATGAAGCAAATCACGTTGAACCACATGGCAAGAACGTCACCCTCTTTGCAAGTTTCAGCCACTTTTCTCCCTTCATTCCCCTCAAGGACAACGTGAGGTCAGTGCCTACTGAACACCCTGTGCCACCAGCTCCCACAGGAAGCCAACAAGGCCTCAGTGACATCGCCTGGGAAGAAGCTCGTACATGCTTGGCTTTCATTTTCATTCTGTGGTATCACGCCTTGATGGAAATGGCCCTGGGTTTCCATGTATGGTGCTGGTGGGCAGTTTTGGAAATCAGTGATTTTAAGCACAGTAGAGTTGGTCTTAAATACCATGTGTAAGTGGAGTACAGACGATATGTGGGTACAGGTTACACAGGAACAGCTGACGTCTTGGAAACACGGGCGCTTCTGCGGCTCTGTATCTGAGGATGCCCAGTGAGACCAGAGCACGCACTCCCTCCCTCGGGGGTCTGCCAGGCCTCCATTTGCCCACCTTCTTGGTCATCACACACACTCTGCATGCCCCGCAGACAGCACACTGCCTGGAAAATGGAATGCCAGCCCGGTTACCTGAGGAGACTTGCCGCTCCCTCCCGACTGTCTGGGCAGGGTCAGCAGCACCCCTTGAAACAGCTGGTTGGTTTCCTGGTTGTCCTTGGTGATGTCAGCATTCTCATGGAGGCCGAACACTTCTGGGTGGGCTGTGATGGGGAGGGTCCTGAGATAGTCGATATAGGACTGGAAAGGAAATTTCCAGGTGACATAAATGTGGGTTTCCTGGAGTCCTACAGGCCACCCAGAGCTTGGTCAGACTCGACCCGAGCAAGAGTCACACTGGATCAGGAGCAGGGGACAGACACACACACACACACACACACACACACACACACACACACACACACACACACACGGTGAACACGTCCCAAGTTCTTCTGCATTTTCTGGCTTTGGAGTCAGACNTGACATAAATGTGGGTTTCCTGGAGTCCTACAGGCCACCCAGAGCTTGGTCAGACTCGACCCGAGCAAGAGTCACACTGGATCAGGAGCAGGGGACAGACACACAGACACACACACACACACACACACACACACACACACACACACACACACGGTGAACACGTCCCAAGTTCTTCTGCATTTTCTGGCTTTGGAGTCAGACAGAACTGGGTTTGGGTCCAGCCCCATCACAAACTGTGTCACCTTGAGCCTGAAAGCCCAGTTTCCTAGTCTGTCAATGGGAAGACAGATGAGGTTATGAAGGTGTAAGGCCTTGGCAGAGAGCAGGGGTTCTGTAAAAGAACCCTCTTCCTTTGACCTTCAGATCGCCTGTTTTCTTCTTTCCTTTCTCATTCTCCCGTCCAATGTTTCAGTCCCTCCTTTTTTCCCCACCTTCTGAACCTTTGTTTTCAAGTAGCAATTTCCAGCCAGTTCACTACCAAGGCTTCATCTTAACTTCCCTCCCCACCCCAGATGGACCCCATGTTTTGAAAGACCTTGTCTATCAAACACATGGCATTCATTACACAGTAATGATGGCTCTCCCACAGGCTTTGTGGAATACTGGAAATAGCTTATGGACCCAAGTCTGGGAGCTCCAGGCTACCCCTCAGCCCTGTTTGGCTGCTCTGCAGCCTCTGGCCGCTTGGAGAGTGCCCAGCCCCCTGGGGGACAGAGGGGCCTCTCCCTCCCAGCCCCTCACCTGGTAGGAGCCATGGGGAGGGATGTAGTAGGTATCTCCAGGAGCCACAAAGTAATGGTCCTGCTCGATTTCCTTACAGTAGAACGTGGACAGAAGGGACAGCAGGAGACGTCTGTCTTTGTCATCGGTCACTCTGCCTCCATAATTACACTCCCCTGGGGATGACAGGCAGAGGAAAAAGTTGAGCCCAGGGAAGGTCAGCATGAACTTGGTCATTAACCTAAGACAGCAGGTTCTTGGAGCCAAGGAGCTTGGCTGGAACCCAGGGTGGCTGAAGCCGTACTCAGGCTGGGTAAGAGCGGGCCTCTTTGGTTTTCTGGTTGCTACAAAAACAATCCGTGTTCACCACGTTAGAAACTAGAAAGCAGAGGTAAACTGAAAGAAAAGCAACACAATCACCAATAATTCCACCAAAGGTAACTATTAATATTCAGGCATCTTCCAGGTGTGTGTGTGTGTGTGTGTGTGTGTGTGTGTGTGTGTGTGTGTGTGTGTGTGTGTGTGTGTGTGTGTGTGTGTGTCCTGAAGGGTGGACTCATTTCCAGCTCCAACCATTCCAGGCAGAGTTCTACGGGGAGAAACAGGAAGTATGGCCCAAGGTGGGGCAGGAGACCTCAGCCTCAGCCTCTTTGGGTCCTGACCTGGAGGATCTAACGTCAGGGGGAGAATCCAGGTGACCCATCGAGGGACAGGTCACGGACTCAGGGGATGCTCGCAGTCTGAGCCGTAAGCCAGACCATCTAGCCCAGGGGTTGGCAAACTGCAGCTTGCGAGCCACATGCGGCTCTTAAATTGTTGTGAGGGACAGGATTGGCTCTTCCAGGGGCCGGCAAACTTCTGAGACAGGACATACCCAAAGAGCCGCATGTGGCTCGCAGGCCACAGTTTGCCAACCCCTGCTCTAGACTTCTGAAGCTCTTTGTTGCCTTCTCAGGCCTTTAAGGCAAAACAGAGTTTGAACATCACAGCTCGTCCCAGCTGTAAAGAGGTCTGTGACAGCACTAGAGCCACAATAGCCAGGGAGGGTGGTCTGCCCGTGAAGTCGGTGTGGCAGCGCTGGCGGGAACCAAGTGACGATGAACCCCAGGCATAGTCGTCACGGTGGAGGTCCTGCCACCACTCACCCTTCAGCACATTGTCCTTCAGGGGACACCCCTGCGGGCTCTGGGTTTTGTGTTTATGAAGGGAGGCGTATTTCTTTACAGCTACTTCTATGTCCACAAGAGCACAAGTTCGTACAGGGGCCAGGAGGAGCCTTCTATCTCTCCTACACCCCTGCTATTCCTGCCGCAGAGCTGGGGGGACCAGGTTAAGAAGTTACTGACTTCCGCTCATCAAACTGATACCCGCTCTCCAAAGGAGACCTGTCTCCGGCGAGTGTCAGGAGAGAGTTCTAGCGACCATCTGTATCTGCTGCTGCTTCTTGCCAGGCACACAGGAAGAGGACCCTTCAGTGGGGTGGGGCCGGGTGACAAGTTCTTCTGCCGTTAATTCCTGGCATGAGTCCTGCAGGGCTCTCCCTGTGGCATTGACCCCATGAGTGTATGTTGAGAGGGCGGCATCGAAAGCTGGTGGGGCTTTGCCCACTGTCCCCTGACGGACAATTACAATGAGCAAACCTTGGCTGAGTCACGCTGGACACGCAGAGGGGGCAAGCCATCGGCCTTGAATGTCTCACACCCTTGAGATTTAGGGACTGTCGGTTATCTCGCCTAGCTGGTCTATGCTGCCTGAACAGGGCAGGTCTGAGCTGCAGGCAGCCTCATATTGAGACCGGACCCCGGACTCTGCTGCTGTGCAGCAGCAATGGGCGCAGACTCACTCCAGGGGAAGTTCTTTCAACAAACCAACATCCACTGGACTTGCGCTGCATGTGACTTGGGGATTTGTGGTAGGGACACTGTGCTGAGCGGAGGTCTGCCTGACCTTCTGCAACTGAATTTAATCCCTCGAAAGCGGGATTTCTCAGTCTCGGCACCATTAACATGCTGGACTGCAGCGTTGTGTTGTGGGGACTGGGCTGGGGGTTGTAGGATGTTTAGCAGCAGCCCTGGCATCCACTCAGTAGCACCCTCATTTAGTGGTAACAACCAAAAATGTCTCCAGACATTGCCGAATGCCCCCCTGGGGGACAAAATCACCATGGCGACAACCGCTGTTCTTAAACCCCAGTCTCATCAGCTGTAAAATGGGCTTATAGCACGGAGCTCATAGAATGCTGTGAGGCTCAATGTGCTGATTGTGCGGTGGATGAAAAGGGGTTCCGCGGAAGTCACCTCCCAGGGAGACCAGGTGCTAACCCCCTAACTGGGCAGGTCAGGGTGGGGAGTCACCCCCAGGCCTGTAGCTTCTTTAGTGAGAGGCTCATCTTTGCCTTAAGCAGCCCTGTCCATTGTGTCTGGGCATCTAGTTAACACACCTCTGGCTCAAGTGGGACTGCCGTCAAGAGAGCACGTGATCTTAACTCGCCTGTCATCCATCCCCGCCTTGCTTCCACCTCCATGGCAACATCCTTAGCCCCCTCCTAATTCCAAATGCAGAAAAGAAACTGCAAACTTATTTTGAGAAGTATTTTTCTCAGTCTCTTGAGATCTTGTCTCTAGGCACATCCTCTGTTGGCTCAAATAAGCTCTTATAAAAATTTTCTGGGCTGGCCGAGTGGCGCAATGGTTAAGAACTGGCTTGGGACGCCAGAGGGCCCCGGTTTGGATCCCACATATGAGGGCCAGTGACACTGCCCTCCACAGCTAAGATGCTGAACAACAGCTCAACCTGGAGCTGGGCTGCCGTGAGTCGCCGGTGACGGCGTAGGCTGCAGCCCCTGTGGCAGTGGGTTGCCATGGGCTACCGTATGTAGCCAGCAGCCAGCGTGAGCGGCCAGCAGCCGCCATGAGCAGCCGTCCAGAAGCCGGTGACTGATCTGCCTCGCCCGGGAAGAGCACAATGATGGTGTCAACTTGGGCCAGTGAAGCAACATCCTCCACAACTAGACCGAAGAACAAAAACGACAGCAACTTGTCTGTTCCCCTTCCCCCAATTCCCCAGCACTGTTCCCATCCCCCCAATTCCCCAACTAAAAAAATCTTTAAAAAAAAAATATTTTTTTTCTACAGGGTTGGACATTTCTTATGTCAACAACGTATGTAATGTGCCTGCCAGGTGACTGGGCAGAGGATCCAGACAAACCCTTAACATATGGAGCTCAGGAAGGAACCTGTGTGTAATCTTGACCTCTGGCCGTGGCATCCCATCCCTTTGGCACATCTCTATTTCATCCTTGACGGCAGTGACCGAGTCCATATTATGTACTAGGTGACCAATAAAATGTTGGAATCTGCTGATTGGGTTGTTTTAAACATAAAGCAGCAGGTTTTCACCACAGGGTCCCTCTCCTTTGTCCCTCCCACTGCCTGCCCCCACTTTCTTCTTCCACTTATAAAACTCCTACTCATCCCTTAAACCCCATCTTTATGCTTTCAGGAGGTTTTCCATGATTATCCCCTGCCCCATCCCTGAGATGTAATCATTGGGCTGCCTTTCTACTTTATAAGTGTTTCTCTTGTTGAACTTATCACTGTATTGTCATTAAAAAAAAAATCTCTCTTTGTGAAGCATTTGAGGGTAAGAATTATATCTTACTTTTGTTGTTGTTATGTTATACAATATCCGCCATGGTGAGCAGCGTTAGTCAGAGCTCAAAGGATGAGTGAGCGAATGAATGGCTGGAGATGGGAGAGGAGCAGGCGGGTGGCTGTGACATTGGAGGTCCCCAACTGCACAGGCCCCTCCCATAAGTACCTGTCAGGTAGGTCAAGGCATCGAATGGCACCTCCTTGTAGTCGTTCAGAAACATCTGCGTCTGCCGCATACTAATCCTCAGGTCGGATTCATTGAATTCATAAGGGATATTCCAACCTGGAGGAGGCAGAGAAAAATGAGAGGCTTCCTTCAGGACCGAGCGCGCTCAGTTTCCACTCGGTAGATGGAGCTGGTGTGGTTAAGAGCAAGAGCCTCCTTCAGCCCCGTGAAGGTCAAGTACCAGGCCAAATGTTCACGTTGACGTTGGCTGACAGGGGAGCCGTTCTGCCGGAGAAAACATCCATTCTAAAATCAGGTTCCTTATGGAGCCTCCCATGTGTTAAGGAAGATGTGAATGGCCTGGGATTTGTGGAATGAGAATTATTCGCCCTGGCTGGAATACTGTGACAACGCGCAGAGCTCCAAAAACAACACGAAAGCATAGCTGGAGGGCAGCGTCTATGGCTGGGTGGCAGCACATGGTAGCTTTGAGAATTCCCCTCCTCGGGGTCATGGTAGTCCTGGCTGGCTGGCCTTGAAGAAACTCCCTCGTGGATTTCCAAGGGTATCCTGATAAATGCCCAGCAGGGCTGGACCAATGACATAAGTGTGTGAGCTGGGCCTGGGTCAAAAAGCAGGGATGGTGGGACCTGTGCTTGTTAACGGAGATATTTCCTATCCCCCTAAACATTCACATTCAAAGGAAAAATATGACAAAGTACTAGCATTTGTGTTCTGGCAAACAAAACACAACTGGGAAGTTGGCTGCAAGTGAAACTGCTGCATGGATTTTCGGAAGCCTGGCCCCGGTGGGAGGACATAGGTGTGAAAGACAGATGCAGGGCGAGCGTCCGCCTTGGGGGTGTGGTCCCTGCACCCCTCAGTGGGAGGGTCAGGTGGTCTGGGGGGCGAACTGGGGCTGAGGTGTGTGGGTAGAAGGAAAGGAAGAGGATGGCAGAATCCACATGAGGACAGTTTGCCTCCTTCTCTAACCCAGAAGAATGGCTGACAGTACCCTGCGGTGGGTCATTTCAAGGCTGCTGAACAGAATCCGAGGCAGCCCGTGGGTGAGAAAAGGTCATCCAACCTTAAACCATGACGATCTGCTCTCATGAGAGCACTTGGTTAGTATTAATTTAGGCTACAGGTTGGTATGTCAGTAAAGAAATTTATTTTTATATTTTCAAGAAGCAGCACAGACAAATGTCCCAGCTATAGCTCTTCATTGTTAGGCACATGTAAAGAGAGCCACCTGGAATGTTATAAGTTACCTGGTGACACTCCCCGGGGAATGGCTGTCATGCCCGAGATAGTCCAAGGTGCCAAAGAGAAGGGCCTACAATCTCCTCATTATCACATCGCTTCAGTAACCAGGGGACCTCTGATCCTGGAGCAATGCCTCTTTCCTTGACATTGACACTGACCTGGTTTGGAGGTTGCCACATTTATCAAATAAAAATACAGGATACTCAGTGAAATTTGAATTTCGAATAAACAACACGTCACGTTGAGTATACGTATGTCCCAAATGTTGCATGGAACATACTTACACCATGTTTTACTGGCAACCCCATCCAAGGACCAAGTCGAGCACACACCTGTGTCTGTCTATGATTGTTCCCCAGGGGTTACCCAGGGATCGTACCTAGAGGTCCAAAGTTCCTCCTCTCTTGAACGATGGCATGGAAGAAGCAAAGACCAAACAGCAGCTTCTGCCACATCACGGCCTTCGTGCAGCTTTGGAAGAACATGGGGTCCGAGATGGGGTCATTGAGGTAGGAGCGCAACAGGTTGGCGCGGAGCCCTTTGGGGGGCTCATTGGTCATTTTGATCCCGTTCTGCAGGATGCTGACTGGAAACTTCTCCGATGGATAGCTGGTTAGCCAGAGTCTGGAAGAACGACAAACTATTGAGGGCAATGCAACAAACTGAAAAACGGTAACAAAAAATAAAAGCTACCCTTCATTAAGCACTACTAGATGCCACCCCAGTGCTAAGAGTTTAATGTCCCTCATTTACTTTCGTCCTCACAGCCACCCTATGTGGAAGGGTTTGCTATCCTCTTTGCCACGGAGGAAACAGAGGCCTGGGGATGTCAAGTGGGTTTTTCAAGGACACACCACTTAGAAGCAGCTGAGCTGAGATATAAACTCGGAGCTCCCTGGCTGTAAGGCCACTGCCTGAATCACCACACACAGTCTTCCCCACGGGACTTCCTGAGCACCTGTTATGGTCAAGTCCTACACCCGGCACTCCAGGAGGGGCCAAAGTGAGCAAAGCATTGTTTCTAGCGTCCAGATACTGACAGACCTCCTGCGAGGGGAGGAAATAGGGCCGAGCAAGCACCCAGAATGCTCTAGGACAAGGCATTATAAAATCAAGACTGGGGCCAGCCGGGGTGGCTCAGTTGGTCAGAGCGCGTGCTCTTAACAACAAGGTTGCCGGTTCGACTCCCACATGGGATGGTGGGCTACGCTACCCCGCAACTAGAGTGAAAACGGTGAACTGGACTTCAAGCTGAGCTGCACCCTCCACAACTAAGATTGAAGGAGAGGGACCTGACTTGGAGCTGATGGGTTCTGGGGAAAAAACACACTGTTACCAAATTAAAAAAAAAAATCAAGAATGCAGGGAGGGAGGGAAATAATGGGCTGTGGGGGTCTATGGGAAGAAGAGGTTTCGATGGGTTGGGGAAAACAAAGTCTGGAAACTGTGGCCATGGCCTGTTTTTGTAAATAAAGTTTTATTGGAACCTGGCTGTGTCCCTTCGCTTACGTATTATTTACGGCTGCTTCTATGCAGAGTTGAAAAGTTGTAACAGAGACAACATGGCCCACAAAGCCTAAAATATTTACTATCCGGCTCTTTACAGAAACAGTTTGCTGACAACCTCTGGCATAGAGGAAACGGCATTTGAAACGGGCCTTGAAAGGTTGGTAACATTTTGGCACACTGTCCTCTAGACTTTTACTCATTTGTTTTTCCTGCCCAAGCTCCAGTTACATACACACCATGGCATCCTGTTTTGTTTCATTTTGCAGGGTTGTTTTTGGCTAGACATTAGAGAGGTTTCCAACAGGTGGATTTGGGGATGGAAGGTCATTAAAAACACAGGACGCCCTCTGAGGCCTGGATGAGGGAAGGCTGAGATGTGATAAGGCCTGGTGGGCAGGCTGCCGTGTCCGGGCCCAGGGCTGAGAGGGGTGGAAAGAGGCCTGAGGCCTGGCTTCAGGCCGCAGGTGGGTGATGCACAGTGCTATGACGTGTTTTAGAAGTAGGCGCCGACTTCTAAAAACCCAGGGCTTTCTTTTAAAGTTCTGGATTTTCCTCTTCCCTTTAAAATAATCAGCAAATCTGGTCACAAGAGGCCTGGCCTGCATTCCTCGAGGGCACCAGTCAGCAGGGCTCAGACGGTAGGTGCTCTGCTCTATAGGACATGTTTCCAGTTCATCGCAGTCCCCACCGCTCTCTGTCACCTCGTCTCCAACGTGGAGGCTGACTGCGCATGATGGCTGCTCCTGTGCTGTGGGAAGGGGAGTCCTCCTCATGCGTTTCTGTTACATTCCTGCTACTATAGGCACCTTAGTTCGCGGCTTTTGGGGTTAGGGCCATATGATAGAAGACCTTAAATGTCGGCATGAATAATTTTTTTTCTTCCTTGAGTGTGTTATGGATGGTTAATGAATCAATTCACCATCGCAAACCAAATAAAATTCTTGAAATGAATGCACCCACCCCACCCCCCACCCCTGCTTTAAGCTCTCACATGAGTCTGGCATGAACATAATCAACTATGACTTGGTTATGTAAATAAACATTAAATACTTTCCTATTTTCAGGAAGACATGACTGAAATGAAAATAACCAGCAAGCTTTGTTGCCTAGAGCAGGAGGTGGCAAACTTTTCCTGTAAAGGATCAAAGAGTAAATGTTTTAGCCTTTGGAGGTCATGTGGTCCTGGTCACAGCTTATTGTCGCTTGAAAGCAGCCGCAGACAGCATATAAGTGAGCATGGCTGTATGTCAATAAAACTTTATTTATGGACACTGAAATTTGAACTGCATATAATTGTCACGTGTCATGACATATTATTCTTTTGACTTTTTTCAACCACTTAAAAATGGAAAAACTGTCCTTAGCGAGCAAGCCACTCAAAAACAGGCAGCAGGCTGGATCTGGCCCTCGGGCCATAGCTGGCGGACCCCTGGGCTGGAATAAGAGAATCACTGAAAATTCTGAGTTGAAAGGGGCCGTGACTTCTGTCTGGTTCGTCTCATCACTCTGTAAATGCAAAACCCAAGGCCCGGTCTTGCTGGACTTTAAAGTTTACCAAAAACAAATAGCTATTTGTGATGTTACTTGAAATTCCATGGAGCCCAAGAAACACAGGATAAAGCAAGGACAATGGTATCTAGACTACATGTAAGGTCTTTATTTATTAAGACAAATATTTTTAATGTGCCGGCATTTAACCTTCCTTCCCAGACACACTGCCTATCACCTCCCTCAACAACTCCTCACAACATATACCCCAAGTCATAGGATAACTTCTCAGTGTTTCCTTAACGGGCATCTTTCCTTTTACAAATGCTGTCCCTTCTGACCGGAAGGTCATTTCCGGCAAACTCCTATTCATCTTGCAAAACCCCGGGCACTTGCCCTTCCTCCAAGGCTTCCCCGATTTTCCTTTCCCTTCTCTGTGCTCCATGGTTCTTCTTAGAACATGAACATTGTTCAACTATGGGCTGCTTTCTGTTAGACCGGAGCTTCTTTTTTTTTAACTTTATTGGGGAACAACGTGTTTTTACCAGGACCCATCATCTCCAAGTCAAGTTGTTGTCCTTCAAATTTTTTTTTTTTTAGCTGAGCCGTCCTGCCACCTGTTGGTAGCTCAGCAGCAGCTCAGCTTGGGCCAGGAATCAAACCAGCGACCCTGTTGCTCAGATCTTGCACTCTTGAGCAAGCTCTTAACCAACTGAGCCACTTGGCTGGCCCTCATCCTTCAATCTTAGTTGTGGAGGGTGCAGCTCAGCTTCAAGTCCAGTAGCCATTTTCAATCTAGTTGTGGGGGGTGGAGAGGGGTACAGCCCACTAACCCATGCGGGAGTCGAACTGGCAACCTTGTTAAGAGCACACGCTGTAACCACCTGAGCCATCCAGCTGCTCAGCAGCAGCTCAGCTCAAGTCATTGTCTTCAATCTAGTTGCGGAGGGTGCAGCTCACTGGCCCATGGGGGAATTGAACCGGCAACCCTGTTGCTCAGCGCATGCACTCTAACCAACTAAGCCACACAGCTGCCTGAACGAGAGCTTTTTAAGGGGAGAACCGTATCTTGTGCCCATCTTTCCTGCCAGCAGCATGATGTCAGGAGCTCAAGGTTGGGGCTGAGACAGGTGGTGGGGGGTGGGCAGGGGGGCAGTGTCTCACCTGAATCTGCGGTTGGTGGCCTCGGGAACAATCACCTCCTCACAGATCTTCTCCAGCGCGGGCATCCAGCTCGTGGCCAGATGGCAGTTCTGTAAGATCACCCACGTCCCATCTTTGATGGCGGTGTGGATCATTTTGGCCGCAATAGGGCCTTGGCCTTGGCCGAGGGAGATGGTCTGTGTTTTGGCACCTCCCATGCCGAGATCGTCAGCAAACTTCAGCAGTCCTGAGACCAGGAGGAAAAGGGGTTTTTGAAAGAGAATGAGCCGGACGAAGACCATATTAACAATAACAATACAGGACAGAATACATTAAAATTCTGGGCTCAGAAAGAAACTCACTGGTTTCTGTTAATTACAAAATTAGCAAGTCTCTGGGGAAGCCTTTGACTTCTCCGGTAAGATGACTAAATGAGGACACTATTGATTCCTCTTTTGCTCTGAATACACAGACATTCTTGATTGAAGGAAAAAAAAATTACACACAGTGAAAATAAAAAATCAGAGTTTGAAAGACAGAGACATTCCCAGGTGCCAAAAATGAACAGGAAACTGAAAACTAGAGTGGGGAGCACATCACCAAAGCAGCAGGAACTGGATTTTTATAAATTTATTTCACTAGGAAAAACAGGTGTTTGTACAGGGAAGTTTCAAGTCAGCCTCTCTCACTGAATCCTTTCAGACACATCTTATGCATTTAAATAAATGCAGACATGCTATCGTACTTACATGAATTGTAGAAGCCTACTTTGCTTTCTGCAGAGATCGTTTCCACATCAGTACATATGTAAAGGCCTCGTTCTTTTTCATGGTTACATAGGATTTCACCATTGAAAAACACCCTGCTTTATTTATTTAACCAGTCTAGTGGTTGGAGTTTGGGCATGGGAGGCGGGGCACTGGATCTGAGACTTTTGTACAAAGTTAGGATCCTCAAAAGGCTGCGTCTTCATGTTAAGAAAACCCAGAAATCTGGCCACTGGCTCAAGATGCGGAGTAGAAGCTGGTCACTGGCCGGTAGCCCGGGTGGAAAAAATTAACAAAAACTCCCCAGTGAGACATCAAAGCAGAAAACCTAAACCGAATGCCATGAGGGGGTGCGGCTTCACAGTGCACCCTGTGGTGTGGGGTTCCCAAGCTGGAAATCTCCTACAACACTGAGCCAGAATAGCGGCACCTCCGGGGCCCCACTGTTGGTGTGTGCAAAGTTGTTCAGTTAGGGCACTGAAAACCCAAGGACCTGACAATCCCACAAAAGAGAAAACCTACCAACTACATGAGGAATCCATCACTGTTGGGGACAGTCAGGAGAACACCCCAAGGAGTACATGTGCTCTCTGTTATAGGCTGAATCGTGGCCCCCCACCCCCAGATCCAGATGTGGACATCCTAACCCCCAGGATCTCAGAATATGACTATATTTGGTGATGGGGTCTTTAAAGAGGTAGTTAAATTAAAGTGAGGTCATGTGGGGGCCCTCATCCAATAGGACTAGTGTCCTTCTAAGAGGAGGAGATTAGGACTGAGAGAGAGACTACGTGAAGACACAGCGACAAGATGACACAGAGAGGGGACAGCTAAGGACAAGCGAAGGAGAGAGGCCTCAGAAGAAACCAACCCTGCCGACACCTTGACTTTGGACTTCAAGCCTCCACAGTGGAGAGAAAATATATTTCTGTTGTTTAAGCCCCCCAGTCTCTGGTTTTGTTGTGGCAGCCCTCATGGGTGATTACCGCCTCTGAAAAAGACCATCAAAGAAACACATCTGATAATCATTAAAGAAGGAACACAAAGCAAAATAAAATTTAGAGCTCTGTGAAGAAAAAGGAAAAACAAAAAGCATGTGGATTTAGAACAAAACCAATAAAAACGTTTAGAAATGGAAAGCATTGTCACTGAAGATAAAAACTCAACGTGCTGATTGAAAGAGCAGGTTAGAGGCAGCTAAGAAGAGGGTCAGTCAATTATCGAGCCCATAGTAATGGGCACCCCTGGCACCCTGGGTGTGGTCTCGGCTACGGCTGCAGTTCCATGGAGAAATGTCTGTATAAGATGAGCCTGGAACACATGGAGCATAGACAGGAAGGGTGCTGTCAAAAACTGCCGGGGTTCTGCGAGAAGGGCAGGGGCGTGAAGGTGTCCCCATGGGCCAGAGACTGAATCATTTGAGCATCAGAGAGAACAAATGATAGCAGGGAAGTAAGACACCTCTGTAACTGAAACATTCAATGTGTTCAAAAAAACCTTACTGCATAAGTAACTTGGGAGGTTACTAAGGCACCAATTCCGTACCCGGGAAGCTGGTAAAGAAAGAGAATGAACCAAGCATCCTTCCTGCCTGTCCTTTTTGAACACTATTCAGAGTAAACCAAAGAGCTGACAAAGGAACATTCTTCTTCTTAGACGAGTTCCAGCTAACAGGTACGGAAGGAATGAGAGAGTTAAAACATCACCATTTTGCAGCCCCTCAGGAAATCATGGATCTGGGCAGCGATTTTCTATGGCCACTAAAACCGTTAGGCCAGTGGTTCCCAATACGGGCTACACAAGGGAATTAATTACCCAAAAAGCTTTATCAAGCATGATGCCTGGGTCTCACCCTCAAAGATTTTAGTTTAACCGGTCGAGGGCTTGTCCTGGGCATGGAGATGTCCCTTACAGCTCCCCAGGTGATTCTGACAGGCAGCCAAGATGGGGGACCGTCACATTACAGGAAAGGCTAATGGGCAACTTTCTCAGGGAGGCAGTGGAGGAGTGGGGACCTGGGTCACATTGACAGTGCTTGAGCCCACGGATCAATCTTCATCAGAAGAGGAAAGACAGTATGTGCCCCCGGTGTGAGGCGCTACGAGGGGCACAGTTCCTGGGACATTTCCTGGGAAGTTATCCACGCCGAGTGTGGTCAGGCCTGCAGTGTGCGGGGCAGGAATATGCTCCCTACTCCCCTGGATGGAACTGGCCCGTCCTCACCCAGCACATCGTCATCCTAGACCCTATTCTGACCTTTCCCCTACTTCTCTTGTTTCTATCTGCCACCTTAAAAGACATAGGGGAAAAGCAAAGGTACTAGAAAGAAGTCATGAATTGATCTCTGTCACTAACATTTAGGTACAGGGACCTGGACAGGGTGCCAGCTCATTTCGGCTCCCTCCTCTGACTTCCTTCGAGAAGCAGGTGCTGGCTTTCTATCCGGGTCAGGCTGTGGATGGGGCGGGATGCTCGGCAAACCCCTCAGCTTGCACAGACCATCAGCCTGGTCCTCTGCATTTCTGGAACTCGTGTTTTCATTCAGCAGCAGCGAAAAATAAAGCTTTGAGATTGAGATGCTCCCTACAAGAACAGAAAACGAATCTATTCCTCTCAACCACTCATGCCCTTAGTAGGCACCAACAACTTCTGGAAAGATACGCAAACTGGGAATAGCGGCTACTTCTGGGAGGGTTGGGAGGAAGATGATGCTTTCAGCCCATACAAGGATTTCTCAACCTCGGCCCTGTTGACATTTTGGGCAGGATAATCCCTGGTTGTGGGGGGCCGTCCCGTGCACTGTGGGATGTTTAGCAGCACCCCCTTGGCCTCTGTCTCTGAGATGTCAGTAGCATCCCCTAGTGGTGACAAAATGTTTTCCCACTTTGCCAAATGTCCCTTCAAAGGGCAACATGGCCCTGATTGAGCCACCACAGTCCTATACATTTGCGTTCTTTTTAAAATTACACACAGTATTAATGATTCAAAAAATTATAAAAATTAAAAGAAGAAAGGAAAGCCTATCTGAGAAAGAGAAGCAACAGTCAGACAAAATGGTTTAAGGCAAAGGTGACAAAAGTAGCAGCCAGCAGGCTACATCTAGCCCTGGGTTGCCCCTCACCATGTTTTTAAGAAAACATTTGAATGAGTTATCAAGATGTGAAAATGGGCGATTTCTGCATGTCTTGGTTTCTCTTGAGATGATCTGGCCATCCTGGGCTCCCATGACCAGATGGCACGTCGTTACTGGCCCCCAGATGTGGGAGCCGAGGATCAGCTGGCCCTTCGGGCTGGAAAGGAAGTCACCCCAGCCCTACTTTAGACAATTCACTGCTTGACCTCCATCTGAGTTTGAGACCCCTGCTGCAAGGGACACACTATTGTCATCCATCCATGCATTCTGTCCTTACCTGCCATCGGGTCGGCGCCCGGAGACAACACAAAAATCAGTGGCGCACAACAGCTGGAGTCATTGTAGGAGCCCTGGAGGTCAAAGGTCGGGGCCTCGATGTACAGGCTGCCCATGTGCTCAGCAATGAATTCCCTAACAGCTGGGATCATCTTATCAGGCCGCAGACAGCGAAGGACCACCATCCGCTCCAGCCCCTGCAGGAACTTTGAAGGCCCAGGGAACTTCTCCTTGTGGGGAAAGGCCGAGTCATAGATGACCTTCCATGCATCCGGGTACTGTGCCATGTGCTCCATCAGGCCTCTCAGTTTTGGCAGCGCCGAGGCCCGCACCACTTCTGCCCACGCCTTCTCAGACAGCCAATCGGGCGCGGGGTTGGTGAAGGGGTTGTCCAGGGCCACGCCTCCGGTCAGGAGAAAGTACCACACAGCCTCATCCACCTGCCTCTTCTCTTTCAAGATGCCGATGGTCAGCAGGAGGGAGAAGAGCAGCTTGTCCTTCTCGAACAGAGAGCGGCAGATGTTGTTGTAGACGCTGAGGGTGAAATGCTCCATGATGTACTCGATGCGTCTCTCCAGCTGCTCGCTCTTCTGGCTGTGGGCCAGCGAGAGCACGTAGAGGTTCAGGAACCAGGTGAGGGAGTACTGGTACATGGGCTCGATGTGGGCCAGGTCGGAGATGCAGAAGAAGATGGTGGCCGAGTGGACAGCCACCGGCTTGTAGCCCATCCGAGTCTGGTCAATCTGCATTTCTGTCACCGAAGCGATTTCCTGCTTCTCTGAGATTTCTTTCGACAGCTTTTTGGAGGAGGACAAAGCTTTGATGGCTGTCTCGTCCTCCAGGATGTTGCCCTGGGACAGGGACAGGACCTCCAAGATCTTATCTTCGATCTCTTTCAGCTGCTGCTTGTTCCTGGCGCTTTCCACTATCAGCTTGTTCTTTTTCTCTTCCAGCTCGGGCTTCTCCTTGGCGGCCACGAGGCCAAGGAGTTGGTCTTGGAGGCCCAAGGGGGTGATCATGAAGTTGAGGAGGCAGACTTTCACGGCGACCTCGGGGAGGTAATGTGGGTTCCTCAAACGGGTGGTGATGTACAACTTAAAATCCTTGGAGTATTCGATGATGTTCTCGCCCAGCCTCATGTACTCGATGCCTTGCTGCTTGAATGTGGACTTGAGCAAGATGGGCTCGATAAAGGCGTCCAGCTCTTCGCCAACGTTCTCCAGTAAGACGGGGGTGCCAAACTGCAGGGCATTTTCTAGCGTCGTCACATAGCTGGTGTCCGAGAACTTGATGATGGACAGCTTATTCGCTTTCTCCATGTTCTTGACCCACTTATTGGCCTGACCCTGAGGGTCGATCATCAAGGCCCAGCGTCTGGAGTTGGACACGATGATGCCATTGTCAATGGAGAAGGAGTCGATGGGCAGCCCGGCGATCTGCCAGGCCCGGATCTTTACGGGATCCCCTAACGTGCTGCTGAGGCTGAAGTCGTGGGAGCCGGGGATGGCTCTGTCCTTACACTGGGCCAGCCACTGATTTTGGCAGTTGGCCCGGTAATCTACCGTAAAGGCCCCCAGGTAAGCCACGGTCCCCGAGGACACCAGCACATCGCCCGTCAGGTTAGTATAGCAGACCTCCAGCCCCCGGGCGGCTTCCGTCCATCTGTCCTTCTCACCCCCGAGACCGCTGATGAGCTTCTCGGCCCGGATCAGCTTCTGGGAGCAGACAGTGATATTCTCCTCCAAGGTCATTTTCTTGGTGTTCATCTCCTCAAAGTCATCGTTCAGGGCCTGGAGCCGGTCTTCCACCAGCTTCAGCTCGGCTCGCTTCTGGTTCAGCTTCTGCATCTGTGTGTCCAGCTTGCCCTCGGCCTCCTTCAGCCGCTCCCGCTTGGGGGCCACCACTTTGGCCACGCGGTCGTACACCTCCATGGCCCTCACCCACTTGCACAGACCCTCGCAGGCAGACGACACATTTTTAATGATGGCCGGCTGGAAGTCTGGGTGGTCGATAAACTTTTCCCGGATCCGCTTCATGACCACTGCGGGGATGTTGTCCTTGTCATACGTCTTAAGGCTCTCCAGGAATTTCAGATCGCCAAGGATCTTTCTCGATAACCCCCAGTAATCTTCTATCATTTTACCTGTTTGGGACGAAAAAAAGACTGTTATTAAGACATTCTGGCTGAGACGTAAAGCCTTACAGTGAATACTCTTCATATTTGGCAAAAAAACTCAAGCTCCTACAAAGGGTTTTTAGAACAAAGAAAATACTCCATAGGCTACCATAATGACGTACACATGTCATTACATACTTATCCAAACCCACAGAATGTACGCCACCAAGAGCAGGTGCTCATGTAAGCTATGCACTTAGGGTGACACTGCTGCACTAATGCAGGTTCATCAGTTGTCACAAACGTCCCACTCTAGTGGGGGCTGTTGATAGTGTGGGAGGCCACGCGTGTGGGGAGAGCAGGGGGATGTGGGAAATCTCTTTGATGTGACTTAAAACTGCTCGAAAAATATAAAATCTCAATTAAAAAAAAGTCTAAGTTCCTCCCCATGGCCTGGGAGGCCCAGTGACCTCACCGCCCTTATCTCTGCCTTGCTCCCCGACTTCAGTCCCAAAGGGCCTTCCTTTAATTCCTTGATGACCCTAAGTGCTTCCCTACCCAGGCTCCAAGTAGCATCTAGCTGGCTCCTGACCTGACTTCAGGCTCATTTGAAAGCCACCTCCACAGACGTCTTTCTCTAAGGCAGGCCCCTCTAGCCTTTCCCTAACGTTTTCTTTCATCTCAGCTGCTAGAACGTCCATTCCCTTTATAGCAGTTATCACAATCTGAGATGTTTTTGTTTACTTTTTCTTGTCTGCCTCTCATTCCCAGCTGTGAGCTCCTGCTGTGTTTACTACACTCTAGCTCAGTGCCTGCAACTCAGTTATCAATAAAAATGCATTGAATGGGGCTGGCCGAGTGGCGCATTGGTTAGGAGTTGGCTTGGGACTCCAGCTTTGAGCAGCAGGGCCCCAGTTTGGATCCCACATGGGAGCCAGTGACGCTGCGCCCTCTACAGCTAAGATGGTGAACAACAGCTCGACCTGGAGCTGAGCTGCCACGAGTCGCCGGCAACAGCGTAGGCTGCAGTGGGGCTGACCAGCTGCGGGCATGAGCTTTCGTGAGCTGCCATGAGCCACCGTGAGTGGCCGTCCAATGGCCAGTGAGCGACTGCCTCACCCGGGAAGAGCACAATAATAATACCAACATGGGCCAGTGAAACTACGTCCTCCACAACTAGACTGAAGAACAAAAGGACAGGGGCTGGCCAAGTGGCTCAGTTGGTTAAGGGCTCACTCAAGAGTGCGAGCGCTGAGCAACAGCGCCACTGGTTCAATTCCAGGCCCGAGCTGAGCTGCCTCTGAGCTGCCAACAGGTGGCAGGATGGCTCAGCTGAAAAAAAAAAAAAAAGAACAAAAGGACAGCAACTTGTCTGTTCCCCTTCTCTGATTCCCCAAAGCTGTTTCCTTCCCCCAATTCAGGCACAGATGGACAGGGCAGACAAGCTGCGGGCATGCGTTTTGAATATTCTTTTTCAAGTCTGGGAGGTGGGTTAGATGGAACCCAATCAGCCCTCCTTGTGAGTGAGTGGGTGAGGCCCAAGAGAAAGCAAGGGTGGGGAAGAGACTTGCAACTGGACAGAAGGCCACCTGTGGCCCGCCCCAAATGAGGCAGGGCCCTCATTTTCATTAGCACCCATCATGCAAAGGACTGACTGACTGAGCCCTGATCCCACCTCAGGGCAGTTGCCATGTCAGAATAAGGTTGGGGGCTTTTTTGGCTCATGGCGCTGTAAACACTTGCCAAGCTCAGGCTCACCAAAAAACGTTGTACTTGAGACACCAGCATGAGTAAAATAGGTCAAATGTGTCCCGCTCTCAATGCAAACACAGCAAACAGATATCCCCGTGAAGGTTTTTGTTTGCCTTAAGGAAAATGATCTGCTTCGTTTAGATTCAAGGTGCCCCCTGAAACACATTCAGTTGTTCTTTTGCTCCATCCCAACGTACAGGCTAAATTTTGTGGGTTAAGTGACAATTACACACCATTTGCTTTCAGTTTGAAGTAAGAAAGGCAAATGATGGGTCCTGTGGGGCTCATTCCTGATCCAAGGAGAGCGCTGACTTTTGGGACCTGGCCACGTTTTGTGTGCTGCCCCGTAGGCCCAGCCAGGAGCCAGCCAGTCGCACCCCGGCTGCTTCCCTGAAGGACCCTCTTGTAAAGTCCACTCCCTGCTTGTCCATTCCTGACCACCTCCGCATCTTCTTCACGTGGTGTTTGGCCTGTTTGGCCTCAAACTGGCCAGGGAAGAGAGACTGCTGATCCACGGGAGGCAGAAGTCAGAATTCTTGTTCGGTTCCAGGAAACGGGTCTTGATACGAGACCCTACATCTACTTCAGGTTTTACGGAGATGATTGAATTTGCCCATGCTGCTTCCAGGGTTGATTGTAGGAGGATCTTCCTTCCCTCCTGTCTTTCTTCCCCTGTCCCTCTCTCCCCATTTCTAAGTCTCAGGTTCCTCTGTCTCCCCTTCCAGTTTCTGTGCTGGCCCCACTTTGCCCCATCTCTCTCCCTCTCATTCCTCTCTACCAGCTCACGCTCCACCCACCCCAGCTCCCTCCCTCCCTGGGTGTCTGTCTCTCCTTGTCTCTCTCTTCTTCCCACTCGCTCTACATTTGTGCGTCTCTGGGTCTGTCTTCATCTCTCTCTCAGCCTTTGGGTCTCAGTCTCTGGTCCGTCTGTCGTTCCGTCTCTCTCTATCTGACATTGTGTGCCTGAGCCTCTCCCTCCCACACCCTCTCTCGCTGTTTCCCTGTCTCTGTCTCACTTTCACTTTCTCTGGCTCCTGATTTCTCTTCTAGTCCTTTATCTCTTTGTGTCTACGTATGTGTGTGCGCTTGCGTCCAGATGTCTGGGCCTCTCTCCAGTCTCTCACCCACACAGTACTGTGTATGTGCTCGCCCCACATCAGGCCTTTTGTCTTCATAACCTTCATTTTTGCAATGATTTGCAGGCAGAGGCCTTGACTCATTTGGCTTCCCCTAAGATCCTGGCATTTCCCCTGACAGACTGACGAACAGGATAGAGGACGGAGAAGAAACACAGGAGAGCTTTCTGGTGCACACGCACGTCTGGCACCTTTCTCCTTTCCTCCAAGACTCCACGCACTGCCCAGGGGCCTGGGGTGGGGTGGGGGGCTGGAGGGGGCGTGTTACCGGTGCCGCTGGGGTCCGGCTTCCTCTCGGGTCTCAGCCCTTTCATGACACAGATGCTCTCCATGACCAGCTTGACAGGGCCTGGGGGGTTCTGCATCGACTTCACCAGTGAGATGTCGGTCGGGTTCAGGGTGTCGAGGGCCGCGAGAGCAGCTTCCAGGGCCGGCATCGCCTCGGCCAGGTCCCCCTCACATTCGTTCTGCGGGCAGCACAGGGACAAACGGGCACACTGAGGGGAAGCAAAGGCGGCCCGACCACTGCCCTCCAGGAAGGTGCCCTGCCTGGGCTCTGTGTACAGGGTGGCGCGCACGGTCCTTTGGGGCCGCAGTTGGGTGCCTTGGACATTTAAGAAGTCACCTGGTCTGTGATCTTAACAAATCAAGCTTTTGGATTTTAACAAATTCCCAAGAGATATATGAGTGGGTGACTTCACAGCCACTGATCAAGAATGACAGATGGAGGATGAGGCTTTGGGGATGAGTGACAGGTGGGGCTAGGGTTAGGGCAGAGTAAGGCAGGGGGGTGGGAGAAGGTCAGAGAGGGGTGAGGGTCTGCGATGTGCTGTAGCTCAGCCATGGGGAGGGGTGCAGTCAGGGATGGGGGAAGCCTGGGGTCAGGGTGGGGTTTAAGGAGGAGGGACAGAGCTAGAGATTAGGGCTGGGTAGTGCGCTCTGGGCAAAGGAGACAGCCCGTGTTCTGTCCATTTTTCACTTCAAAACAAAATTCACACAATGGAATATTACTCAGCCATAAACAAGGAGTGAAGTACCGATTCACATAACAACACAGACACACCTTGAAAGCATCGTGCCGAGTGAAAAAAAGCCAGACAGAAAATGCCACCTGTTACCTGATTCTATTTACGGGAAATGCACAGAGAAGGAAAGTCCATAGAGGCAGAAGGTGGGTGAGTGGTTGCCACGGGTTAGAGAGAGGGAGGCCTGGGGTTTCCTTCTGGGGTGATGAAAATGTTCCAGAATTAGAGAATGCTGGTGGCTGTACAACTCTGTGAATTTGCGAAAAACCACTAAACTGTGTAGTTGAAAAGGGCGAATCTTAATGGTTTGTGAATTTTATCTCAATTTTCTTTAAAAGGAAGCTTAACATTATAAGACTTTTAGAACTGGAAGGGACTTTACAGGTGCCTTAGTGTCTAATTACCAAATCGAGAGAGAAAAAAAGAGAGAGAGAGAGAGAGAGAGAGAGAGAGAGAGAGATCAGTCTCAGGAGGCAGAATGAGTTAGCTAAGGTCACAGAGCTGGTCGGTCACAGAGCCACGCCCCAGCCCTGGGCTCCTGTCCTCCAGCCCAGGGAACCATGACTGAAGTACAGCTTCACAAGAGAACATCCACCCTGGAAGGGAGCAGCAGGTACGGAAGTCCGTATGTTGAAGGTTTACTGTGACAGGCAAACAAGATAAAGGTGGCTCCATTTTCTCACATATATGTATGTTTATGTGTGTGTGTGTATCATGGATTCTTTATTTTAGGTTTTCTGCCTTTCTTATAAACTTACAGCAATGTTTTATTTGGCTTCGTTATATTTAACCCCTCCCCCACCCCGCCCCCAACACACACACTCAAAAGATGAGCCATGTCAGATGTCCCCAGTTTCGAAGATGGAATATCCTGCTTTCAATGGCAATAGTGGCTGAGTCCCCGGGGTGAGCCAGTTTGTCCTATGCAGCCCTGGGACACATGCTAGAGCACGAGGCAAGAGGAAGAAGAAGCGAAACTGGCCCCCACTGTTTCTCACAATCAGCTTCCAGAAGGGTCTGGTGGCAGAAGAGACCCAAGGCATTGGCTCGGCCACAGCTTTGGATTCTGGGTGGATTGACTTTAATCCTCCCCGGTGGCTTCATGTCGCTTTCTTAGAACCTGCCAGACAATTAGGGGCCCACACGCTCTTCGTGTCTCCTGGTGGCCAGGTCTCTCTGCTCCCTTTCCTACTGGGCAGGGCCTGGTTCCAGCAAGCTTGTTTGTCAGGTGACTCAAAAAGGCTGTAATTATACCATCATCTGTCACAGTGATTCTCAGCCCTGGCTCTGCCTCCGAGTCACTGGGGAGCATCTGGGCACTCCCACCGTCAGGCCCCATGCCCACAGACTCTGATCCAGCCAGCCTGGGTGGGGGCCAGGCATCTGCACTTCAAAACTCCATAGGTGACTCTGATGTGCAGCTCAGCTGAGCAACTCTGGTTTATCCTCTCGAAACACTGCAAACAGGGCGGGAAGCAATAGGCTTCAAGGCCCAACAGGAGAATGGCTACTCGATGGGCGAAGCACCTGATTTAAATGGCCACTAAAATGACTCTATGACATAGTGGAGAAAAACATTGGTGATAGGATGTTAAGGGAACAAAACAAAACAAAAAAGCACGATGCAAACAGCAACCATGCTATGATTGTAATAACATAAAAGTATCCACATGGTGTAGAGAGACAGGCTGGAAGGAAAATTGAAAAATCAAATAGGTGTTAAAGTTGACTTCTTCAAAAATTCTTCCATATGTGTTATTACTGCTAAGTCATTTGTATAATGAAAAACATTATCATTAAAAATGACCCCTGTGGCTGAGCAGGGCTGTGTGAGAGACGTGCACGCTGATGAAACATCGCCAAGTCTGCAGACACTCAGGCATCGCTTATTTTCCTCATCAGGGGAAAAAGAAACGATTCATCAGCTTCACAGGAATGGACCCCATTTAAGCCGACCGTTGTACTTGTGAAGCAAGCGACTGGGGCCCGAGTCTTTCTCGGCCGTCCCCCAATCTCCGTCTGGATTCCCCTGGCATTGCTGAGCACGCTCCCATATTATCTTGTTTCTAGGGGGGCGAGGAGGTTAGATGAAACCAGCCGTCCTCGCATGGGGAAGGACTGTAGCCCTGAGAGGTTCAGGAAGCTTCAGAGAAACTCGAGTGAGCCCAGGTTTCTTCTTCTCCCAGCAGTTTCCTCCCCTCCTGACTCACCACCAGGACGTTGCTCCCAGTCCAGGGATGGGATGGCAGAGCACGACACCTCACCCTGCACGCCGAAACCTGAGGTGGCTGTTTATTCCCCAGGAAGGGGGTGTGGTGGGTCACCTCCTTGTAAGCCTCACACTGCCTCTTCCCGCATTCCTGCTGTTCCAGCAACGTCCAGTGACAATGCAGAGCAGCATTCCAGTCGTGAGGCTGCCTTTACCAAACAGGCAGGTCCATTTGGCACAGGGTGAAGAACTTCTATTTTAGAGAAGAGTTGACATGGGCCATTAAGCTCTGACTGTGTGCTGGACACGTGCTGCCAGTTTAAGCCTTTTCCTCTTAGCATCCCCATTTTGCAGGTGAGGCAACTGGGTAAAGACTGAGCCCTGAGGTGCCCGGTTCTAGGGCAGAACCAGGGAGGGGCCGCAAATCCATGCACCTCCTGGAGCCAGGCCAGCGACGGGCACATGGGAAGTGGGCTGGCTGGGGCTTTGTCTAGCCAACGCCATCGGGGAAACCCAGGTCCAATGTTGCCAGAACGCTTGGGGGATTTTTTTGTTGTTGTTCTAAGAAAAGCTGAAACTTCAGAAATTCCACTTGAAATCTCTTGATGTTTAAACACGGATTATTATTCCAAGATTAAGTAAAAAGGCTGTGTGTATCACAGATCCTGTGTGCTCCGTAGCTGCCAGCTTGCGATTCTGGAATCATGCTCAGATTGCAAGGGCTTTGGAACCAGACAGCTATGGGTGTGAAGGCTGATTTCATCACCTGGTAGCTTCGTGACCTTGGACGAGCCGTTTCCGTTCTTGGGCCAGGATGTCCTCATGTGTAAACTGGGAAGGGTACCGCTGGCCTTAGAGGACTCTTAGGATGCTACGGGGTGATGCAGCCCAAGCAGAGGGGAACATAGTCTCCGGGGGAAGGGATTTTGTCTGTCTTGTCCAGTTCTCTTTTCCTACTGCCTAGAAAAGTGCCAGCACATAATGGGTATTCCGTAAACACTTGTTAAAGGAAGGAACATGGAGAAAACACCACAGTAAGTAGTAGCTATTATCATCATCCTGTCCTAGGATGGCTGATCTCCTGCTGGGTTATGGTTCTGGGTGCCGGGTGCTTGCCATCTTTGGGGTCCCACTGGTCTCCTGCCTGTGCCACCAGGACGATGAGTGAGCAAGCCTCTCTCACCCAAGGCACTCACGGTGTGACTCTGAGACCAGGACTGGGTCCGAGGGCATCTAGGAGAGCCCAGGTCTCAGGACTCACTGGAGAAGAGCCAGTCGGGAAGCCTGTCACTTTTAGGAAGTGCCCCATTATTTATTCATCCTAGAAGCCAGACACAGGCTACTTCCGTTCAAGGTCTTGTTGGAAGAATGGTCCAAAGAATGTTCTAGCTGCTAAGTGAGAGCGCAGGGACAAGCACCTTACATAAGTGCCACGATCGCGGGTTCTAATCCCTCTAACTAGTTGTGCCACCCTGGGAAGTCCTTTCACCCATGGGTGACCCTCAGTGACCTGACTTTCAGTACTGATATCTGTCATTCCTACATCCAAGGCAGCCGTGATACTCAAGCAAACTGTACTTGAAAGTGCTTTGAGAAATACGTAACATCGCATGAATGTTCATCAGATTCTCTTCTAATAGCTGAAGGCAGGTGAAGCTCATCCCAGGACTATTCTTCTTTAGTAGAAGAATCTCCTTCCAATGGGGTACTCTGGGATCAACAGTCTGTCATGTGACAAATATTTATTCCACCCCCAGTGACATGCCAGGCACATTTGAGCAAAACCATGATGGAGGAGAAGACACGCAAAATCGAATCTGGAGGAAAAGCGTTCTAGGCAGAGGGAACAGTCAGTGCAAAGGCCCTGGGGTGTGAGTGGACCCTGTGCTTGTTTAAGGAACATGGAAAAGGCCTGTAGGGGCAGAGCAGAGTGAATGAGGGAAAAGTCACAAGAGATGAGGTAGGCCATGACTCTGAGTGAGAGGAGAGTATTTGGAAAACAGTAATGCTTCCTGGACAGAACCAGGTGTCAGAAAGACTTGCTTCGTCACTCGCTAGTTGTCTCCCCTTTTCAAGCCTCTCTTTTCTCATGGGCATGACCACACACACTCTGCAGAACTGCGTCAGGCTGTAGTGACACCAGGGACCAGCCCGGAAGACACTGGCTCCTCCTATCCCTCCCGCTCTCTGTACCTTGATTCCTTGAGCAATAGCAGCGGCAGCGTTGGCTTCTTTTTCATCGGCCTGCACCAGGAGCTTCTTGGCATCGGCTTCTTTCGTTTCCTTTTCAATTTTCACCATCATCTTGGCGGTCTCCTCAGAGGTGAGGATGAGCTGGGGTTGGAGGGCGGTCAGCTCGACTTGCATGACTGCCACCTTGCAAAGGGAGAGGGGTGGGAGGGTGCAGGGTCAGCCATGTCGGTGCAGCGACAGAGTCGAAACCATTCTCCAACCCATGACATATGCAGGAAATACAATAGTGATTTTAACATGGGGGGGTTTTGTTGGCTGGAGTTTACCTCTTTGATCTTTCAATACTTAGCAGCTGAGTTCCTACAATGTATTGTAGTTATGAGGCACTGCGCTAGGCACTAGGCATATAATGGTCAACTTAGAAAATTTTAAAAAGGAATTCATTCCTCCTTTGTTAGCCCACATTGTATTGTTGGGGGCATGGAGATATAGAACAAAAACCAAGTGAGGGGGGAAAAATCCCACATTTCTTTTTTTTTAATTGGCGAACAGTGTGTTTCTCCAGGACCCATCAGCTCCAAGTCAAGTAGTTGTTTCAATCTAGTTGTGGAGGGCGCAGCTCAGTGGCCCATGTGGGAATCGAACCGGCAATCTTGGTGTTATGAGCACTGCGCTCTAACCAACTGAGCTAACCGGCCGCCCCCACATTTTTTTTAAGGCTGTGAAGGACACATATATATGGCTTAGATACTTGGAACAGAAGGAACATTCAAGGCCATTTTTTCCACCAGTCTGATGCTCTCTCAAGCATTCCTGCCAAGTAATTTTCTGGCCACCATTTGAACACCTCTAATGATGGGAAGCTCACCATCTATCAGGGGAGATGTGCCATTTTCAGACAACTAAATGCATTATTAGATTTTCCTGAGGAAGAGCTTGGACTTACCCGATGCGGTTTTCCCCGTTGGTCCTGTCTGCCTTCTCAGGTGGCTCAGGTGCTTATTTGAAGAGGGTTTCACGACCTCTTACCCTGCACCCAGCATGCCCATATGAGAGGAGCGCCATATGCTGGCGTGGCTGGGAACACAGGCCCTGAGGTCATGCCCACCTGAGTCTCTGCTCTGGCCCCACCACTAGCAGTGGCTACTCACGCAGCTGCGTGCTGCTGGGCCAGTCACCTGGCCGCTGGGTCTTGGTTTCTGTGTGTGACACGGAGATGATACCAGTGCTTTCTTATACACCGCGCTGGGCATGGGTAGGGCTCAAGGAACATTAACTGCTCAGGTCTTGTGTGGCTCAGGGCCTCGCGCTGCTCCTGGCAACACAGTCTGCTCACCCTTTTCAACATCTTTCTAAACATGCAGGGCCCTGGGTGGGACCCAGCAGCCCCAGGAGCAGGGGGTGGAGGGACACCCCGACGTGGCTTCCGTCCCGTGCTACGGTGCTCCCTCAGCTGCAGGTAGACCTACTGTAAACCACTCAGTGGCCTCAGACCTTTCCGGGTGCTGAAAACTCATGTCTAACATGGCTCTCATTTTTAGCTGGTTTGCCAAGTGGCTCCAAGCACACATGAATTACTAATTCATACACCAGGCATTTTGTACTTGTGTCGGCTCACTGAACCTTCCTAATGGCCCTAGGAAGTCAAGACTGTTATCACCTTTTTAACAGAAGAGAAAACTGAAGGCCCCAGAGCTTCAAGGTTCTATAGCTGGGTAGCTGGAGAGCCGGGGTTTGAGCCCAGGGCGGTCCGACTCTGCAAAGTCCTGCTTTTCACCTCTGCCCATCCTGCCCAGCTCCCACTGACAGCAGCCAGGGCCAGGGCTGGGGTGAGGCGAGTGAGGCGCACCCCTAGGGAACAAAGTTTAAGGGGGAACCCAAAAATTCAGTACTCAAGATAAATAGTATTTTTAGTGCAATGTTTGAAATCTAAACTAATGCAAAAAAAAAATCCATGATGAATAACATATCAAAATCATGAATAAAGACAGAATCCCATTGGGCCAGGTTTTGGCTGAGGCAAGTGAGGCGACTTTCACAAAGGCAGGGTCAGATGCTGTCTTTCTGGGGGGGCGCTCCCTGAATGCTGAACAAGTGGCTTGCAGCACCCACTGAGACCTGCCCTGCTCTGCTCCGCAGTGCTCACCTGGGAAGCTGCGAAGCTGAGTTTCTGCAGGCCCGTCAGGTAGCGGTTCCTCATTGTATCAACCTCCTGCCTCTTCCTCTGCAACAGCGTCTTGAAGGTGAGGATCAACTCAAGGTATGAGGTGGGGGTGACGTAATTGTGTCTGCGGAGCGTGTTGTAATAATCCAGCGACAGCTCCTTCACACTCTCCTGGAAATACTTGCACATGGAGATGACCCTAAGAAGGACATGAGGACACACAGGCGGTTAGGCAGGCCCAGAGGTCTGGCTCAGCTCTGGTTACAGTGAGGATGTGAGAAGACCCACTGAGTGTTGCCTGTGGGGAGCCCGCATTCTTGGAAGCAGGTCAACAGAGCTGCAAGAAAGTTTGGGGAGGCACATTTCATACCAGAATGATCCCTGATCACTTTGGTGAATCACAGGGACTTCAGCAGGAGTTCTGAATCTTGGGCAGTCTGATGAGGCCTCTGGACTTTGCAGAATAATGTTTTTGTTTGTTTTTTTTCTTTTCACTTTTAAAGCCTATTTTAATTTGATAATCAAGAAATAACATCTAATTTTAAATTGCATTATTAAAATATTGAGCTGAAAAATTTTTAAGATTTACTGACCAAATAATTTTCTTGGTTTCTCAATTGTCAGTCCATGCATTATTTGTTGTATTTTTTTAAAATTACTTTTTATTGTGAAATACACATTTTTTAGAATTAGTTTCAGCTGTACAACACAGTGCAATAGTTATACTTTTTACCCCTCGAGCTGACAACCCCCCTCCCCTGCAGAATAATTTTTTTAAATGAATAAAGTGAAATACATAGGATTACAAAGAAAAACAATTATGCTGAAGTAGTTTTCAAAATATTTTAAAAACTAAATGTTTTATAGTAATGTATGTGCTTTTAATCAATGCATGAAATCGGGGTCAGCAAACCTTTTTCTGGAAAGGGCCAGAATGTAAACAGTCTGGGCTTTGTGAGCCACACGGTTTCTGTAGCAACTACTCAGCTCTGACGTTGTAGTGTGAAAAAAGAGCATGGGTGCAATAAAACTTTATTTACAAAAACAGGCTGTGAACTGCCCTTGGCCCATGGGTCATAGTTGGTTGACTGCTGCAGTAAATACAAAGATTGGGCAGTGGGTCTAAAAGCCACCATCGTTTTGAAGGAAATTATATATATATCTGTAATGACTGAATGAGTTATACAAATAACCGTGATTCCTACTGGTAACAAAGTCACAGGTCCTGCTAATCCTATGGGGTTTACTGCCAACATTCATCACGGAAGGAAATGCAAAATACCAGGTGGATGTCAGCAACAACGAAGGTGTAATTTTTCCCCATTTACATTCAATGACCCTCTGAATTCTATTCATAATAAGCTTATAGATCCAGGTTAAGGGGCTTCTGAACTACAAAACAAAGTTCAAAGTTCTTAAAATAGAATTTAAAGCCACTGCCTCCTTCTCCATTTTCCATTCATCCATTTAGTAAGCAGTAGTTGGACCTACTACGTGCCAGGCATCTGCTGAGCACTAAGGATATAGAGGCAGGTGACGTGACCTCTGCCTTCATGGGGCACCAGGGTGGTTGACATTCTCATTCTTTCCCTTCCTCTAGCTTTTTCTTTTGGTTTTCGTATACCTGTGCTTTATACATAAAAGAGTGGTTTTCTTTTTCACCCTCAGGAGAATCAGCTTTCATCCCTTTGGCAGTGATATCGCCTTGATGAGAACGATTGTCAAAGAGTATCGAAATAGCCTTATTATTATATCCAGGTTCTCACAGCTACAATATCAGTGCATCTCCAGGACAACTCTGAACAAAAAAATTTTATTCTTCTGAACAAAAAAAAAAATTGTATTCTTTTTCAGAGGAGGTATTTATTAAATATCTAACTAAATATGATTTAAGATTATAAGATATTTTTTATATCTAAATTGAGAAATTTTAAAACAACAAGAAGAGAGCCAATATCGGGATTTTTTTCCATTTGGAATCTTTGGCTGGGGCACTCACTCACATGCAGCCAATACTTACTCTGACCGAATATGGTCATCCAGCTCCACATCTTCCAGAAACTTGTTAGCTACCAACTCCAGGGCGTCTGTGGGCCAGGACTGGAACCAATCGATCGTACAGCAATTGATCAGGGAAGGGAACATCCGCAGGCGGTTCCGAAAGGCGTCCCCAACTGGGCTCATGGCTAATGGAAAACAGACTGCGTCAGCGTCCCGTCTCCAAGACAAGGACGCCCAAGGAAGCAGGAAGGTCCTGCCAAAGATTCTGGTGGGCAGGGGGTGGGGAGGGGCTGCCATGTTTCCTGCTGGTACCCCAGGCGTGTCACTAGCATAGATAGTCATGATGAGTGCCTGGAAGGCACAGGGGAATCATGGGATATTTTCACTAGGCTTTGTGATGGGAATTCAGCGTACTACAATGGCCTTCCGACTGGTCTCCCATGCCCATGACTGTCACTTCCAGGTCCTTCAGGTCACTTTGCCAGAGTGGTTTGAGCCCTGTGATCCACCTATTCTATTCATGCTGACTCAGACAGGAGGGAGCCATAGATGCCTCATACACGGCTACTTACAGAAGCTACTGGGGGGAGGGGGCGGGACATCCGGCCCCATCTCCATCCAACCACAAATCTGGGGTTCTCTATCCCAAATTTCATTTATTGTTTCATTTAGACTCAATGTGGTAAGAGAACGCATGATGCCCAGGTAGACATGTGAGAAGGCCAGTGTGAGCAAGGAACAGAGAGGAAGGGGAAGCTTGGTCTGAGATGAGCATGGAGAGGACAGCGACAGGCTAGGAACTTGGGTCTTTATCCTAATAGAAAGCAGTTTAAATGTTTTAATATGTGTGTGTGTGTGTGTGTGTGTGTGTGTGTGTACACAACGATCATATCTGCAATACATGAAAAAAACACCCCATCCTGGCTCAGAGGAACAGAAAGGTCTGGAATAGACAAGAGTGGACGCAGAATAGTTAGAAGGTTGCAGAGGCGAGGACTGGGTGACACGAGGTGGCTTAGCCAATGTGAAGGCAGTGGAGAGGGAGAAAAGTAGGTGGCTATGAGATAAAGCCAGGAGGTAGAAACGGACAGGACATGGTAACGAGAGGGCAGGATTCGACACAACCCCTAGGTTTCTGGCTAGACAGGAAATGTCATCCACAGGGAGAAGGTTCCCAGGGGTTGTTCCGTGAGGCCACCTGGGTAATGCACTAAAAGGAAGGACAGGGTTCAGAGGAGAATCCAGAGAGCTGAGGCGCGCAGAACAGGTTTAAAAGAGTGGGTCAGGAGACTGGAAGTTTCCATAGGAATTCCAGGCACCGACCCCTGGGCAAGAGCCTTGGCTGGGTTAATCCTCAGACCATAGTAAGAGGCCTGGGCTTGGGGAACCAAGGAGACCCCAAAACACTCAGAGGAAAAGGGAAAAACCAAGTTTGCTGCTTCTTACCAAGGACAATGTGCAGGTTCTTTTTCACCCTCTCGATGAAGAAGTTGTACATCGAAAGAGGCGTGACTTCGATCTTCCTACCCTCGGTCCTGGCAGCCGTCTGCATCTTCTCCACCAGGTCGGCCTTCTCGTCGGCAGGGAAGATGTTGGGCACGTCGCCCGTGTTTAGAAGCATGTTGATGTCCTCGATGAAGGACTCGTCCTGGATCTGGTTGTCAGCGAAGAGGAACACGGTGCTCTTGGTGGCCACGCCCACCTGCAGCATGACCTTCTTCAGGTCCTCCCGCCACTCACTGCCCGAGTAGCTCTTGGTGATCTCAATCTGGTACAGCTCGTACGCATTCATGAACGCGGACAGTTTGCTGGCGCTCTGCCGCCCGCTGCCCCCAATGCCCACCAGGAGCAGGTGGCCTTTGTTCTGCTTCAGGACCCTGCAGATCCTGGAGATGTGCTCAATGGCGAACCTGAACATGACCAAGGACATGGGGGCCTTGCTGACATTGTTGAACTCTTCCAGGTAGTACTCCATGACCACTGTCAGCTGCTTCAGGTCAGTGATCTCATCGTAGATTTTCGGGTCACTTTCTGGTTTGAAGTAATCTCCAAAGAAGAGGCTACGGACGTTGTCATCAACGATCTTTCCCGTGGGCGACAGGTGGACAAGGACCTATGGGACAGATAAGTCTCAGCCAGGCACTCAGCTGGGATGGCAGTGGGAGGCGTAGAGGAAAGAGAACAGGAGATTCTGCTTGTTTCCTCTGAGCACGTTCTCCAAAGTCATGGTTCATTAACAGCAGGGTGGGTGGGGGACAACCAGAACCATGATACGTAGATCTGATGGCTGTAAAGACTAATGAAAGGACATTTGAGAAGAGTGTGAAGCTCTGCTTGCTAAGGAGTTGAAACACTGGTGGTCAGATTGTAAGATCCCCAGAGGGGTGGTCAAAGGATGGCCCCATTTTCTAATGTCCTTGCTCCTTGACCAAACAGAGGCACCATCCCCACCCCATGCCTAGAGCAGGGGTGTCTTAGGTACGTGCTCTTTCTGATATTAGAAGCTGGCAGTGCTTCTGCCTTTGGCCTCTGGATGCAACATGTAACACTTTTGCAGGTTTTCTATGGAAAAATCACAGTTTCTTAAAAACAGGTCTAGAACTAGACGATGATTCAAATGTACAGGCTTAAAATAACGTGTCTTGTATCGAACGGGAGAAAAAATTTACGAATGGGAAACTCTGACAATCTTTCACTTGGGCTTTACCAGGGACTCAACCAAACCATGAAAATTCTTGGTTCATTTCTCAACTCACAAATTCATTTGACCCTGAAAATGTATTTGAAGTTCATTAGAAACAATAACATCACATCGTAAACCACTTTGAATGGATCCAAACTCATAAGTTACTAGGAAAGGGAAGCATAACTGGGCCAAGTATCACATCACCACATCAAGTAACTCGTTGACTCAATACTGTCTCCTGAGATTCAGGGAGCAGAGCCGAGTCTCCACCAGGAAGGGAGACTGAAGCCTGAGACTAACTGGTCAAATATTTGGGACCATTTCTGATGCCACATGATCACAGGGTCTGGCTGACCTTCTCCACGGTCTGCTTGAAGCAACTGGAAGTGGTTTCCTTCATCATGTTGAAGAAGACCTGTCTGTCCTCGTCGTCAATCAGACGGTCATAGAAGACCCGATAAATCTCGTGGATCCAAAGCCGGATAAGTTTTTCGAAGTCCTGAAAATACAGAGTTGGTCATTTGAATGAATGGAAGAGAGTGCTTGAGGTGGTAATTCTCAGATAGTTTCTAAATCCTGTGGTTGGTGTGAAAATGAAACGAGATCATGCTTCTAAATACTCAACACAATGCCTGCCATAGATTAAATGCACACTAAGGGTTAGCCATTACTATTTTCATTGTATGATCTATGTAGCCAAGGGTATTGCTGAGTGATCTTGGTAACAAAAATGACAGTGGCTGACCTGTAGGTGGGTGTGAGGGCAGAGCAGTACCCCTTGGATCACTCGTGCGAAGTCCCGCAGGTTAAAGACATAATGTGACTTGGAGGGAGTTGGCAAGAAGTTCTCCACTGCAGCTTTATAAATCGTCATCGTAGCCTGTACCAGCATCCTTCCAAACCTTGGGAGGAAGGGGAAGGCAGGCCAGTCACAGAGGGGCCAGGACTGAGAACCCCAGGCCAACATCCTGGAAGACACCGGAACCTCTTACCTGAGGAACATCACGTCAAACCCTTTCCCAAAATGCCAGTCAGCAATCGAACTGAAAATCTTGGTTAAAATGTCATCCTCAAAGGCGTGGATGGAGATGATATTCAGATGGCGAGTGAATCGTCCTGGAAACACGCACACACGTGAGAATGCACACACATGCACTCTTACCTCCTGGGCCCAGGGATTCTGGGATACAGGAGAGCTGGGTTTCCCTCTGCCTTAATGTTCTAGAGCTGTGCTGCCCAATATGGCAGCCTCCAGCCACATGTGTCTGCTTACACTTAAATTAATTACGTGAAATAGCATTAAAAATTTATTTCCTCAGTCTCACTAGCCACATTTCTAGAGCTTAAGAGTAACGTGTGGCTAGCTGCTATTGTATTCACAGGGCAGATCAGACATCCTCCAGGACTGCAGTTCTGTGAACAGCACCAGTCTTGAGCTCAAACTTGTTTTTAAAAGATAAAGGCAATACGTGATCATCGTAAAATAGTCAAACAATTCAGAAATACTTTTACAGAGAGTGATCATAGCCTTTCACTTACCTCCCACAAACCAAATCCATTCTTTCCCCCAAATTAACCATGATTAATTTGGTATCCTTACATACCTATCTATATCTATATCTATGTATTTAACAGTATGTATGTGTGTATATTGAAATGTAGTTTATAGTCATTTTGGTAATCTGAAACCCATTTTCTAGTAGAGGTCTGAGAATCTAGTAAAAAAAAATCTGCGTTCTTGCACGTTGATAACTGTTTTCCTTTTAGGTCAGTTTTGCTGGCTGTAAAATTCTTGACTCTCATTTTATTTCCTTGAGTATCTTAAATATGTTATTCTATTTTCTCTGGCATTGCAGTTGAAAAGTCTTAAGATAATCTAATTTCTCTTATAAATCATACGCTCTTTTTGCCTAAATGCCCAAAAGGCTTCTTTCTTTAAAGTCCAGTAATTGTACTAGTATATGTTTTCATAGCAATCATTTTTGAGTCTGTATTCTTAGATATATAATATACCAAATAAGATCACCATGTCCATTTTCCTTATTTTACAGATGACAAAGATAAATGCCAGAGGGGACAGGAAGGTCACAGAATCATAAGTTTGGAAGTGGTACTAAGATTCTCAGGCAAGGATGTACGTCAGAATAAAAATACAGGTCCTTGACTGATGAAGTTGTACGTGAAGCAAAATCTACCCCCGAATTATGAGATGACAGGGTGGGGATCATATTTGTTTGCTTGTTTGCTATTATTACGCTTAGGCCACTTTGGGTTAGTTTTTCTCTCTCTGGGAATCTGACGCACTGTAACAAACACAATAGTCGTGCATCCCTGATTGAGAACCTCTGATCTAGCCCCCCTCCTAGAACACACACTAGCCACCTTTTCGTCGGAGACTCTCTGTTCCTCTAACCAAAGGCTCCTCTCTTTTCATCTTACAATCCTATTTCCACAACTGCCAACAGGAAGTCTTCGGGTGCCACTCCCTGGGGCTAACCCAAACCCATCGGGCTACAGCCTAAACACTTTCCTCCACCCTCCATCAGCACAGAGCTCTGGACCAACCCTCCATCCATGAAGGTGGTCTGGGTCTGCCGGGGAACAAAGAGGAATGAACTTCTCTCTCACGTACCAGTAATGTCATTCCTTCCTCCACCGGGGGGGCCCATGGCTGTCACCAGCAGCACATCCACGATGTCCAGCTTGGTGGTGTCCTTCTTGTCAAACCAGTAACCGTGGTCAACCCATTGCCTCAGGAGCTCGATGGGGGGCTGGGCCCCATACACCTCTTTGGCTGGCATGTTGAGGTCATCTGGGGAAAGAAGCCAGGGCCACGCATTGTAAGTTTATGGGATCCTCTGCTCTCACAGGAGGTGACTAATGACTATTGCCTCCACGGGAGAGTACATGCCCAGTTGTCCAATCCCATTCCAGGCCAGGCTCAGCCAGCAGACACTCGGGCCATATGAGAAGAGGTTTTCCTGGGTTCTGGAATCGCCTGCCTAACTGTCCATTGTGACTTTAAGGATGCACGAACTGGCATCAACAAATAGGTGTTTATTTTTTCCCATTCTCTCAACTAAAATATACTCATTGTCTACTATGTGCTGGACATTTTGATAACCTCCAGGTTATGACAGTGAGAAAGACAGTCAGACTCCCAGCCAGAAGGGTACTTAATTCGAACAGCAGGTAACAGCTGAACTTCAATGTTGCGGAGCAAGGATTTGGAATGGGTGTTTTGAGGAGTGAAGCCAACATCGCAAGAATAGATTGTGACTTTCTCGAGGGCAGGAACTGACTTTCCCCAATAGCGTGTCACCCAGTCTCTGTACATTGAAGGTGCTCAACAAAATGAAAACCTTTTCATTTTTCTCCAACGAACATTGACTGAATGCCCAGTTTGTGTCAGGTAACAAGTTAGGAGTTTTCCACTTATTATCTCATTTAATCCAAATAAAGACTTTGTAAGGAAGATAGTATTATTAATACCTTTATGTTAGAGGCAAGGAACTGAGGGTCATGGACAGTTAAGTCACAATGTGCTTAGGGTTAAAGGTGAGATGTGAATCTAGATCTGTTTGGCTGCAAAGTTAAAACTGTTTTTGGATATACCTTAAAAATAGGAAGGGAGAACAGGTTAGAGAAAAGGAGATAGGGAGAAAGGGAAAATAAAATAAAATAGGGTCTCTGCCTTTAAAGAACTGATGTTAGCTGGCAAGGTTGTAAATACATGCAATATTCACTATCAATCATACATTTTAAAGACGAGGAGATAACCCAGAAGAGTAGGGCATTACTATTACTAAATGAGAAGAGAATTCTAGGTTAGTCAGCAGTAAGATAGCAGAAAATGTATTTGGCACCAAGAAACCTGGGTTTGGGCCACAGCTCCAGGATTTTCTAGATGTTTGACTCTGAACAGGGAATTTAACCTTCTGGTGCTTCAATTAACTGACTAATGACATGATAATAATGGTTAATAACCTCACAGGGTTGTGAGGCTCACCTGAAATAAATGAGGGAGTGCTTTATAAACAGCTAAAATCCTGGGAAAATTCTATGTGCTTATTTCACAAATATTTATGTAGCAACTACCGGGTTTCTTCATCTACTCTTAACAAAGTTATCTGACACAAAATAGAGTAAGGGTCTTATCACAAAAGGTATGTTGCTTTTGGAGGTGTGAGGGGGAAAACATCCCAATCCCCTTCTGGAAGTGCTTCTCCCTACAAGGGGACCTGGCGTGATGTAGGGGTTCAGCTTCATCTCAGGAGAAACTGGGAGCCTACCTCAGGCAAAAGGCCTCATCGTGCCTTACTTACATTTGACATATTATGCTTGGTCAATAAATACTTGGTAATGAAAAGAGGAGGGAAAAAAAGGCAAAATTGGGGCGGCCGGTTAGCTCAGGTGGTTAGAGTGCAGTGCTCATAACACCAAGGTTGCCGGTTCGATCCCCACATGGGCCACTGAGCTGCGCCCTCCACAACTAGATTGAAACAACTACTTGACTTAGAGCTGATGGGTCCTGGAACAACACACTGTTCCCCAACAAAAAATAAATAAAATAAGTAAATTAAAGAAAGAAAGAAAGAAAGAAAGAAAGAAAGAAAGAAAGAAAGAAAGAAAGAAAGAAAGAAATAAAGAAAGAAAGAAAGAAAAGAAAAGGCAAAATTGAAGAAAGAAAAGGAGGGAGAGAGGGAAGGATGAAATACTAAATTATATTAACCAGAAATATTTTATCTCGAAGAGAGAAAATAGTGTCCCTACAGAGGGAGGTTCCGTCTCGCTGCGGCCTGGAGTGGGAGAACCTGGCTGTGTCCAGATCCAGGTCGATGCCTTACCCACAAATACCACTGCCTTCCTCCCGATGGGAGGCCCAAAGAGGCCCTTCCGCCGTCGATCCAGCTTGGACATGATGATATCCTGCGTCTGGTTGGCGGAGGTCCTGGCGGAGAAATTGATGAAGCTGGGCAGGTAGGTATTTTTGGGAAGGTGGAGAAGGAAGTTGTTGGTGATGGCTGATTTGCCCGTGCCGGTGGGTCCCACAAACAGCATTGGAATCTCATGGTCCACGTAGGTTTTTAGGAAGAAGGACTGTCGGGCCGTCTCCACGGTGGGGATGATGAGTTCTGAGACCTGTACCACGGAGACATGGGACAGCCTTGATACCGGGCCCAGGACGCAGGGGCCTGGCACTCAGAAGGCCCAGGTCCAGCCTCACTACCCACTCAGCTCCACCCCTTACTGTCTGTTTGACCTTGAGGGGGTATTTACTCTGCAGGGGCCTCAGGTTCTTCATCTGTGAAGTGGGATAATAATGGCAGCTGGTTCCCTGAGCGGTTTGAGGGATTAAATGCGGTCATGCGTGTACAGATGGGCATCATTGTCCCGGTTTTGCAGATGAGGAAACGGAGGCCCAGAGCTCTTCTCCAACACAAGTGGAAATGTGGGATGCGAATCCCAGCTTGTCTGATGCTGAAGTCTATATTCTTAACCATTGAACTCTCATGTTGTAAACACCAGTTACAATAAGTGTGGGTCCATAGCGGCTGCCCACTGAGACCACTGATCGGAGCCAACCTGCTGGCCCCCATGCACCACCTCTACTGCGTGGCTGAGGCCGGTTGGGTGTGACCTCAACCCCTGTTCCCTGTGCTTGTTCCTGATCTGCTTTTCCCAACACTCAGGTTCCTGGTTCTCAGACCTACTTCCTCTTACCCCCTTTTCCAATATGGGGATTGCACCACTTTTCCTGGCATTCCAACCCCAGTGGACTCGAAGGGCTCCTGGAATCCCTATTACGTTCGGCAGAACGACTCTGGCCCTGTGTAGGCTGCTAGACAAGGGCTCGGCTTCTTCCGATAAGGACGATTAAAGGTAAGAGAGTGGACAGGGCCTGCAGTGGACAGGAAGGGCATCACTAGGTGTTGAGCTGAGGATGGTTTGCCTGTATCGCCCCCTGCAGTCTTCCCAGGGGCCCTCTGAGGCAGGCGTATTATTAGCTCAAGTTCAGATGCAAACAGCTGAGGCAGGAGGGTTGCTGGCTCAACTGTCCGCAGCCACGTAGCGGGGAGTGAAGCAAAACCAGGTGCAAGATGCCTATTTTGGCACAAAGACTGGGAATTTAAAGCAAGTTGGGTTCCATAGGTTTTATTGTCAGGGACTAGAATAACTGTTTGACAAGGGAAGATTCTCAGCAGAACCGAACATATTTTCTGCATTGGACTCTTTTTATGTGTATGAATCCAACAAGGTTTCAAACCACTGGAGTTCACATGACTGAACTCTTAAAGGAAAATGGAAATTTAGGATCTCAGTGCTGGGGGTTCCTTCACACACGCAGCACTGCGCCCCCCCTTCCTCCATGTACCCTGAACCCAGCACACAGTCACCCCTGCTGTCACCACAGCTGTGGTCCTGCCTGAGGTCTGACCTGGTTGTCAACATTCCCCCTTTCCCATCCACCATCTATCACTCCATCTGGGGCCTGAACCATCTGCAGCCACCCCCAGAAAGGTAAATTACGCCCACGAGATGCCACCTAGATCCACTAAATGGGTCCCTTGTTCTAGAATCCATGCTCTTAAAGGCTCAACCCAGCTCATGTTTGAACCTTTTTCTAAAGAAAGTTCTTTAAAATGCTAACACAGAAATCATGTGAATTCTTCTGCCTTGGAGCATACCTGGGTCATTTTGGAAACCAAAGCTCCGTGGTCAGTACCTCTGTATTTTTTTAAAGTTTTTATTAAAAATATAGCTAATATACAATATTGTATTACTTTCAAGGGCACACCATAGGTATTCAACATTTACATACCTAAAGAAGTGATCACCATGATAAGTCCAGCAACCATCTGACGCCGTCCCATGCTATCACAATATCACTGACGATATTCCCCGTGCTGTACATTACATCCCCGTGACTTATTTGTTTTATGCCTGGAAATCTGAACCTCTTATTCCCCTTCACCTTTTCCCCTTTTTTAAAAACTTCCAATTCTAGTTGACATTAGGTGTTATTTTATATTAATTTCAGGTGTACAGCACAGTGGCCAGACATTTACATAATGTAAGAGGAGACCCCCCTGGCTCGTCTAGTACCTACCTGGCATTACACATAGTTATTACCGTATTATTGACTCTATTCACTGTGCTGTACTTTATATCCCCGTGACTATTTTGTAACTACCAATTTGTACTTCCTAATCCCTGCACCTTTTTCACCCTGCCCCCAACTCCCTCCCATCTATCACCCTAACAAATCTAGTGCCCCAATACCTCTCTTTTACCTTCGCATTAATTGGGATAGTTTCTTCCTCTTTGGTGATATACTCTGTCCATGTGCCCCAATGTCCACTGCCTTGCTTGAGGAAATAAAAATCGTAGATGCTGCCTGGACTCAAAGGAAAAGAAAAGGTCATTAGTGCTCCAGGGGTTTACACTTCCCATTTGCGGTATTTAACTACCTCAGCTAGAGGCATCTGAAAATGCATAACTACCAGTGCTGGCACAGCTGTGGTGAAACTGCCACACTGTTAGTAGCTGTGTACACTATACAAATGATAGGTGCTATACAAATAATTAAATTATGTTTAATAATGCAAACAGGAAGTATTGAAAAGAACAACACCAATAAAGGGGCAATAAATCACTCTAAATCTTCCACTCAGAAATCACTTTTGATGGCAATCCTTCCAGCCCTCTTTCTAGGCACACCAACACATTGAAGGCGGAAGGGCAGACAGAAGAAAGAAAGGATTGGATAAGATTGGGGCCATTTGATATATGCTATTTTTATTTTTAAAAGATTTTATTGGGGAATTAGGGGAGGGGAACAGCATTGGGGAATTGGGGAAGGGGAACAGACAAGTTGTTCTTCAGTCTTCGTTGTGAAGGGCGCCAGTTGCTATCTGGCTTCCGGTCGGCAGCTCGTGGCCTCTAAGCTCAAGGTGCTGTGTTCAATCTTAGTTGCAGGTGGGCGTAGCCACCATCCCATGTGGGAGTCAAGCCAGCAGCCTTGTTGTTAAGAGCACACGCTCTATGCACTGAGCCATCTGGGTGGCAGCTCAGCTCAAGGTGCCGATTTCAGTCTTAGCTGCGGGCGGGCGTAGCCCACCATCGAACAGGCAATCTTGTTGTTACACCAGCTGAGGCATCCTGCCACCTGTTGGCACCTCAGCGACAGCTCAGCTTGGGCGCAGAGTCACTGGCCAATGTGGGAATCGAACCGGTGGCCCTGTTGCTCAGAGCTCGCACTCTTAAGCCAACTCTTAACCAACTGAGCCACTTGGCTGGCCCTGATATATACTATTGGGTTGTCGGAAAAGTCATGATACATTTTTACAACAAAAAACAGAAAAAATACGTCATGACTTTTCCGACAACCCAATATTTTTAAATAAAGATGTTAAATTTAATTTTACTTAAATCTAGCTAAAGAGAAGGCATTGACGTGAAACTGAAAGACCTGCTGAACTTCAGAAAAATCATTATTTGTGACAAGAGAAACTGGCTCCTAAAAAGCTGCTTTTAAAATAGTAATTAAAAAAAATAATGTAAGCCATTAAGGGGGTAAAGTCACTATGCTTTCATTTCTCTTTTTATTATTGAGTTGTCATACTTTTTTATTCTTTTCTCCTAAATACGAGTCCCTTATGAGATATGTGATTGGTAAAAAAATTTCACCCATTCTGTATGATTTCAAGTACATCACCCCCTGGAAAAGGCAAAACAACAGACACAGTAAAATGATCAGTAGTTGCCAGGGGCTAAGCGGGGGTGGGGACCATAGCAGGTGGAGCTCGGGAAATTTTAGGGCAATGTGAAATGATTCTGTGTGATACTGTAATGGTAAACACATGACGTTATGTACTTGTCCAAACCCACAGAACTGTACAACACAGAGTAACCCCTCATGTAAACTACGGACTTGAGCTAATGTATCAATACTGGTTCATCGATTGTACAAATGGGCCACACTAATACAGGAGTTACTAATAAGAAAAACTATGGTGGCGGCGGGCGGGGGAGGGGCTACTTTCGGGAAGGAGTAGATGGGAACTCTGTTCTTTTTGCTCAATTTTCCTGTAAAACTAAAACTGCTCTAAAACTAAAGTTTACTATTTTTTTTTGAAAGAGAAGAAAGCTAAAATGAGATACCATTTTCACATTGCAAATTGTCCAAGGTCTTGAAAATGGAAATAGTGTTGATAAAGGAAATTTACTAATCAAAAGCTTTAAAATTTTATTGATCCTTGACGCAGCAATTCTATTTCTAGGAAATTATCTTAAGGAAATGATCATGTATTAAGCAAATTATGTAGCCACCAGAAGGCTGTTCATCAAAACACTGTTAATGATAGCAAAAACTAGAAAATAATATGAAAGATCCTTTTGTAAAAATAAACGTATAGGCACATATATGTATAGGGAAATGTGAAAGAATGATCATCAAAATGTTAATAGTGGTTGTTTTTTAAAAAAATTATACCTTTTGTATTACATGATTTATTCATATTTTTTCTTAAAAATTTAAGAATGAACTTCACACCCATCAGAATGGCTACTATAAAAAACAAAATGAAACAAAACATGAGGATGTGGAGATATTGGAATGCTTGTGGGACTGTACAATGGAGCAACCAATATGGAAAACATATGGCAGTTCCTCAAAAAATTAAACACAGAAGTACCATATGATCCAGGAATTCCACTTTTGGGCAGATACCTCCAAAACACTGAAAACATAAGACTCAGATAGGTATTTGTACACTCATGTTCATAGCAGCCATTGTTCACAGTAGACAAAGGTTGGAAGCAACCCAAGGGTCTATCAATGGATGAGTAAGCAAAATGTAGTCTATCCATACAATGGAGTATTACACAACCTTAAAACGGAAGGAAATTCTGACACCGGCTACACACAGCATGGATGAACTTTGAAGACATGATGCTAAGTGAAATAAACTAGTCAAAACAGGGCAAATGCTGTAGGATTCGATGCATATCAGGTTCCTAGAGGAGTCAATTTTATAGAGACAGAAAGTAGAACAGTGGTCGTCAGGGGCTGGGGAAGGAGCAAAACGGGGAGTCAGTGTTTGAGGATGGAGTTTCAGTCTGGGAAGCTGCAAAGCATTCTGGAGCTGGATGGTGGTGAGGGCTGCACAACAATGGGAACGTATTTAATACCACTGAACTGTACACTTAAAAAATGATTAAAAGGGTAAATTTTATATGTATTTTTATTATACTACAATAAAAAATAAAAACAAAATATCCCTCTCCCCCCACACAAAAAAAGGGGGAAAAGAATGAATGTACTACTGTCCCCCTAATGGACTGGTCCAGGGCCTCCATGCATATCCTCTGACAGGTGACCACACGTCACATGAAGGCTGCCAGGTGTGCTGGGCAAAGTGTGTGTGTGTGTGTGTGTGTGTGTGTGTGTGTGTGTGTGTGTAGGGGGGAGAGCAACTACTTCCTCATTCAGTTTTTATGATTATGCAAAGTTTCAAACATAAAGAAACACGTACAGTGAACATCTGTATACCCATCTTTCAGATTTTACCATGAGCTTTTTACTTGTTTTATCACATACCTATTCATCCCTCTATCCATCCATTAAGCCATCTTATTTTTTGACACACTTCCAAGTAAATTACATACATCTATACACGTCCCCATAAATACTTCAGCATTTATATCATTATCTGCTCAGTACTCGTTTATGTTTTTTCTTTTGATAAAAAATTTATGCACAATGAAATGCATCAATCTGTGTGTATTCACTGAGTTTTGACAAATGCATGTATCTGTGTAACCCAAATTTCTCCCTCTCTCTCTCTCTCTCTCTCCCTCCCTCCCTCCCTCCCTCCCTCTCTCTCTCTCTCTCTATATATATAGACATTACCATCACCCCTGGAAGTTCCCTCATGGCCCTTCATATACAGTTTTATAATCACACAAAGTAAGACTATTTGGAAGTACTTATAGTATGACCCCCTTTTTGTTATAGAAATATAGAAAAAACTAAAAGAAAAAATAAAAAGGGATCATTTCTGGATAGTGGGATTACCTTTGTTTTCTTCCATTTCTTATCTTTGTTTTCTTCTAGTCCCTTCTCCATATTTTCTAAATTTTATATAATGTATTACTTGGGTGGTAAGGAAAAAAAAACAGTAAAAGCTACTTAAAAGAAAACACCTTTAAATCTTTTAGTAAACGATGTCACACATATAAGAGAATAGTAATAGATCACTAAAGTGATCATTTTGAAGATAATATATGTAGCAAAATCAAAAACATTTCAATATCATATTATACTACAATGACAAAATTAAAAGAAGTATCAATACCATAATCACCATGATATGACACATATTAACACACAGGACTAGAAGAAAGTTAGAAAAACAAACGTGGCTGTATTTCTCATTCTGTTTCCTGGGTCCTATTTGACCCAGGAAATGGGTTTATGGGTAATTTTGTAAAAAAAAAAAAAAAAAAAAAGAGTTCTATCAACTTTTTCTAAATTAAAGAAGTTTTTAAAATGCCTCATGAGAGCCTGTCTTCAGGACCACCTATCTCTACACACCTGGGTAGCTCTGCAGAACTGAACCCATCCAGGCAAAATCGTCCTTGGCTTTCGTCAAGGCCTTACTTGGTCCACACATTTTGGTTGGGTTTGGAACACAGGAGCCAAACATTTACAGTAAGACCAAAAAAAAAACAAAAAACAAAAAACAAACAAAACAACAATCCAGGTAGTAAATTACCTCTTTCTGGAAAGATGTTGTTTTTGGTGAGTTTGACGCTTTTGGGCCTTGGGTTGTTATCATCCAGGCCCATGATCAGGTTGCGGAAGAAGAGGTCGAATTTCCTCCTGCCGTCTGTGTTGATAGTACTGGACACTGTCCACACCAAGGCAAAGAGGAACAGGCCCTGAAGCCAGAGGAAGACCTGTTGGCTGGTCAGACCTTCAGGTGATTCACTGTCATCTTTTATTTCCCTGATTTCATCTAAAAGCAAGAGAAGGGAACCTCAGGAAAAGCTGCAGAGTATGACAGGCGTGGACGGGTGGCTTTGTCTGAGGGGCGGGGGCCTGGTGAGAGGACTGATACAGGCTGAGCAGCCATCACCTGCCGGATCCTTTATCCACACACATCTTTTTCTATTTTTTTTTATTGTGGTATAATACATAGAACATAAATTTACCATCTTAACCATTTTAAGTGAACCGTTAAGTACACTCACACCGCCATACAGCCATCACCAGCCTCCATCCCCAAAACGCTCTTCATTTTGTGAGACTGAAATCCCGTGCCCATCACACACTAACTCCGGATTAACCCCTCCCTGACTGTCTGGCAACCACCATTCTACTTTCTGTCTTTATGAATTTGACTTCCCTAGATATATGTATGCGAGATCCACCAATGGAGGTTAAAATCAGCTGGTGAAAGACTGAGGAGAAATAAAACATTTACAGAGTTTCAAAGTATCTTTCCCAAGATACTTATTAATTACAAAGGAAAAATAGTAATTTCCAATGGAGGCTCTTCGCCAATAATAAGCTGTATCAACATCAGGTACCCCTGGCAACATACTGGGAAGATCTTAGTCCTGTGGGACTCATCCTAAAAACGCATAGCCTCAATCTAATTATAAGAAAACAAGAGACAAATTGAGAGACAGTCTATAAATTAACTGGCCAGTATTTATCAAATGAAAAGGTGATGAAAGACAAGAAAAGAGGAACTGTCATAGATTGGAGGAGACCAAGGAGATAAACAATATAAATAAAATGTAGCATCTTGAATTGGATGCTGGAACAGTAAAAGGGTATTTGTGGAAAAGCTGGTAAAATTCAAATGAATTCTACAGTGTAGTTAAAACATAGCATCAATGTTAATTTCCTTATTCTGATAATCGTATCTTGGTTATGTAAGATGTAAACATTAAAAAAGCTAGGTGAATGGATACCTGACTCTCTGCCCTCTTGACAATTTTCTGTAACTCTAAAATTATTCCAACCTATAAGGCTAAAAAATCTATTTCGTGTTCCTTATCTCAAGGCCTTGTTAATGAAATTAATAGCATTTTAACATTGACAGAGTAAAAAGTTAGAGCTCTGAAATCAGATAAGGGTACATTCAAACCCAGCCCCCAGTTTTAAGGAGTTGTATGTATTTGAGCTTTTCTGAGAGGATTCATAACTATAGACTCGGGAAGGTGAGAGATTAGGTCACTCGGTGCTGGGTCCATTTCTCATGCTCGTGCCTTCCTTCCTGAAGGAGACACTACACAAGGACAGGACACAGAATTAGGGAAAAGTCACACAATTTACAAATACCACTGCAAATACAGACACTGTACGCAATTGGTGTGCTTTTGAAAACACATTGCCATAATTTTAATTTTAGAAAATCAAACACTAGTTAGCCAAAGAAATTCTCCACTTAAGTGTTCACCAGGATCCATTTTTCATCTACACCTATAATGCCTTCGAAAGAAAAGGGCTGAGAAAATAGGTCCATGTATTAATAGCAGGAGTTGTAAGAAGACCCATCTTGAGTTTGAGATACGTGCGATCTCAAAAAAGAAATGGCAGCCAATAAAAGTTCTCCAATGGATGCATCTCTTGTCATCTCCCATAGAATTCAGTGACATCTGATGCATGTGAGGCAGCTAGACGTCTCCAGGGCATCTAAGCCAGTGAGTGGGTCTATGGTTTACATACTGCCCGTGTCCCGGGGAAACTCCCTGGTTTTGTAGACCAGTGTGATCAGTTCTTCTATAGGGTATGTATGTGTTTTGCAAATTCAGAGTTTTGTGTGTGCTTAACTTCCTACCTTATTTTTTTCAGAATCTTTCCTCTGAGGGACATTCACATGCATCATCTAAATTCACCTCCCTCCAGGGTATCCTTGCGAGGTAGAGGAGAACGTGAATGACAATTTCCATTGTGCAGATGAAGAACCAAAGACTGAGCAAGGATGGGCTAATCGGCACAAGAACACCCAGGAAGTCAATCCAAGATCAAGGCTAAAACCAAAATACCTGGACTCTTTCCACAGAGCTCTATGCCCGCTCCAAAGGCTTGCCTGTTCCAGACCAAATGCCTATCTCACTGTCACTTGTGGCGGGAGTAATGGGTGGGAGCAGAAGAAATAGCCAAGCACACATCACCCTCATCTGGCTTAAGATTTGTAGGGAGCACCTACCAAGCAGAGAGGAGTACAGTCTCATCATGGAGAAGGCAAGGTGGGTGGGGGATGTTTGCACCACAAATTTACACTGAAGGCGAATGAACTCCAGGGAGGGCTGGACCAGCCACATGAACATGTCATTGACCTAAAAGGAGGAAGGAAATGTGAAGATGTTATCAAAATGTGGGCCGGCCGAGTGGCTCAGTTGGTGAAGAGCTCGCTTAAGAGTGCGAGCTCTGAACAACAGGGTCGCCGGTTCGATTCCTGGCCCGAACTGAGCTGCCGCTGAGCTGCCAACAGGTGGCAGGATGGCTCAGCTGAAAAAAAAAAAAGATGTCATCAAAATGTGAGTTTAAGACCAAGAGCGTGGCATACCTCAGGGTCGCCGGAGGTGGTGGTCAGGTTGCCGACTACTTTGAGTGAATCTTTACTGGGGAAAAAGCACAGGTACCAAGGTCCCCGCCCCCAGCTTCCCACTTAGCGAACTGTGCAGCCCGCAGGCCATCCCCACCCCTCCCACTCCACTGCCCAGAGCTGGGTGTTCACAGAGGCTCGGGGCTACTGCGGGTCAGCTACACGATGCGTGAAATCATTTGAGGACCCAGACATAGTATCTGACTTTGTTTCTATAAAAATGTGAGGAATTCTAAAAGTAATCAATAAACCTAAAACAAAATGTTAGGGATTCTGAGAAGTCGATTTGCAAATGATTGGCATTTATAAGGCGAGAGTCCTGTATAAAGCAGCCATAGGAAGTCATAGTTAAGTTGGAGGCTCATTTTCAGTCAATCCCTGTGTGTACATCTGTATAAGTACATACCTATCTGTGGGTATAATAATTCTTGTCTCTGTTCCCAACCCCATCTACTCTTTAAAAAAAATGACTTGAGTTACTTTCTCTTCTTACTTTAGCTTTTTTTTTTATTTTTGTTATAGTTTCTGTATGACTGCCATTGGAAAGTATCTTGAGTCATTTTGGGAAGTGGCAGGTCATTGCTAAATATGTACATTCAGAGGTGCACACATACACGGGCACGTGTGCGTGTAGGAATGCACAGATGCATTTACGTGTAGGTAAGAAAATACACGTGTACATGGATACGTGGTATATTCATTCAATCAACAAATGTTTATCGAGTAACTGCAGTGTAGTTGGTGCTGAGGATGAAAGGTGGACAAGACAGACCAGGTCCCTGCCCCTGTGGGCTTCCTAAGGGGCAGGGAGATGGCGGACAGCTAAATAGGCAAGAAGTAAATAAAATCCTTAGGTCACGGGAAGGACAATCAGGAAACAAATACAGGTGTTACAGTGGGGAGTAACAGGAGGGTTTCATAGGTGCTCAGGGACGGCTTCTTAAAGAAGGAGGCCCTTATGCTGAGACCTGGATGACAAAGGTGAGTCATCTCTCATGAGATGGAATGGGGCAAGATTCCCGGGAAGAGGAATCAGGCATGGAACGGCCTTGAGGAGTGAGACCTGGGGTTCTCTAGGGATGGAACAAGATGCGATGCCAGAGGGTAATGAGCTGAGGCCGAGGAAGAGGGTCGGTGATGAGGTGACAGCTGTGGGCAGGGCCAGTCCACAGTCTCAAAGGCCCTGATAAGGAGTGTCTTGGTGCTAAGGACACCAGGGGTTGCCTGAGGGCTTCCATGTGTGGGGACCCGGCAGCTTTCTGTGTTGTGGTTGGTCTCTGTGTGTGGGTGGTTTATACACGTGTCAGTATAAATGCACATGCTTATGTGCATTGCACATGTGTGTACACGTGACAGAAATGGAGCCATCCTACGCGGTTCCCCAGAGTCTTTCCAGCGTGAGAAGGGAACCCACTGGCTTCTGCAGTGGGCAAGCTTCCTAGGGAATTCACTCTCAGCAAGGCAAGACGGGAGGCAGCGCAAGCGCAGTCGTCTTCCTGCCTCCCTGGCCTGCAGTACGCACAGGTACCCGCCTGGCCTGAACATTCACGCCTCTCATAGGAAGGAGATGAGAGCATGGATAGGCCTCATCGCTGCTGCATAGAAGCCTTTCTATCTGGTCCCAGCTCCCCAGAGGTGGGAGGTACGGAGTCCAGGTGACCGCGATGGGGAGTGCCAGTCCAGAGGGGAACACAGTTCCTCCTAGCCTGCTCCATCTCGAGAGAAACTTCTAGAGACACCGCTGCTGGTTGGCCAATGGGGCAGGGGTGACATTCCTGCCACCATAAAGAGTGTTTCTCAAGCGCCAGAATTCTCCACTGGGGGAACGAGGAGTATGGAAGATGGTAGAAGAAATTGATCTCACCCTCCCATCCCCACCGCATGGAGAAGAAAGTTAGAAACATGGCAGACAGCCAGGAAGCCAGATCACTGCGGACAGAAAGGGGATTCCCTGCCCATTCTTGCCTCCTGGAATATGAAGGTGGAGATGGGCCCACAGGCCTTTGAGACGAGGAGCAGGGAGCCAGGCAAGGAGGCGGAGGGAAGGGGGTCTCACCAGTTCCCTGTGCTTCTCAGTGAGGCTGGAGGGCAGGGTGTCCATGTACGAATCCTTCAGGGGCTTCCAGCCCAGCTGATGGGACTCCATGTAGATCATCCCGCACCTGGAAGCACACACAGAGACCAGCCTGGTCCACACCTGGCTCCCAGGCACGTAGCGGGGAGGTAAGAGCCGCCATCATGGCGAGGTAAGGGGCTGAGCTTGGGTCAAGTCACAGGCCCTCGCCAGCTCCAGGCCAAAGAGAACGGGCACAGAGTTTCGTCGAGAAAGCGGGGAGACCAGTGCTCAGAGCTGGGTCTTGCGAGCCAGAGAGACCTGGGTTCAAATCCCAGCCTCAGACCCTACTAATCACACGACCTCGGGCAAGGCTTCTTCGCTGTCTCTGAACTTCTGTGTCCTTGTTGGCAAACCGAGCAACATAAAAAATAGGTAGCTCATAGGCTGTTGTGATGGTTACATCAGATGCCCATAAAGAATGCAGCACTATGCCCAGCACACAGAAAACTCGTAATCAGTGGAACCCATTTCTATCATGATCACGTCAGTATAGTATGTCTGGTAACGTACCAACATGTGACGCTTTATGTAGCATGCAGCCTTTTTCCATCTGTGACATCCACGTCCTCTCTCGTTTATTACTAATACCCATTACCGTGCATTGGTCTGCTGTTGTACACCAGGCACTGTGCTAGGTCCTAAAGGCTTTCATCTCTAAATACTCTTCCTTAGGGCCTACATTTCAGACATGAGGAGACCATGGCTCAGAGAGGCCAAGGGACGTGGAAGAGGCCACACAGCTAGCCAGTGGCATGGCAGGGTGGGGGCCCAGGTGGGTCTAACCTGCCGTGTGCTCCTTTGACTCCCTCACACCACCTTTGGGAGCGTGGGCTGCTTTACCTTACTTCCTATGGACTTCAGGTACATGGCACTGGGCTAATTATCACCCTTGGCACACTCCTTTCTTAGTTAACCGTTTTCAAAAATACACTAAGTGCCCACGAAGCCACCACGCAGACAGAAGCTAGGAGCGTGACAATAACCTTCATCTAACCACCCACACGGCCTCTCTTATCCTGTCCTCCTGGCTTTTCCACTGCAGGTGACACAGGATATGGATCTTGTGTTCACCTGTTCCCTGATTTCTTCCCTTCTTATATAGTTTTACAGCATTTCTAGATGATCCACAAATATATATTTATTTTAGTTGCTTGTAACAATCTACTAGAGAGTGCTGTGCTATATGTAATATTGTGGGCTTAATTTTACACATAATATAACTAAGATTTTATCTTTAATTTTACTAAGATTTATCCATACAGTTGCAGGTCAGTACAGTTCATTCCCTGAGTGAGTTATGTACAGAGGGTGCTCCCCCCCAAAAAAAATGTATACACATTTTAAGAAAGGAAAACTATTAACATTACACTGATGGGAACCACTTTGAGCACCTCTTATAATTGCAGAAGTCGAATGTGACTTGTACTCTTTTGCTATCAGTATACTTATATGGAGTATTACAATTTTAATACAGTTTTCTTTTCTTAAAATGTGTATACATGTTTTTGGCACCCTCTGTATATATAAGTTGTGACTTTACTATGCTTATGAAGTCACTCCTGTTAATGGGCATTTGGGTAGTCACTGCGAACTGTGTCACTGTCTGTGTCTCCTGTTGTCCGTGGGCCAAGTTTCTTTTGGGGTGTACACTTAGGAGCAGAATCTCGGGGTCACGTGGCATATGAAGACTCAGGTTTACGAGGTCATGTCAAATTCTTTCAAAGCGCTTGCCACTTTTTAAGACTCTTAGCAGCAAGTTGATTGAGGATAGATCTGACAACAAATCTAAGTGACAACAAATAATGTTGGGGGCCTGCTAGGACGCAGTCACACCTGTGGCTTTTTAGAGCTTTCCCCCTGCTCCGGGTGAGTGAGGCCACGCTTCCCTCGGTGACTGACCTGCTCACGGTGGCAGGGGACGCCTGCTCCAGGTCGGCCGGCTCGAAGATCAGACTCATCTTGGGGCTCATCTGGATAATCTCCCCACTCATCAAACACAACTGAAAATGCAAAGCAGAGGAGTGCAGGGCAGGCAACAGGATTACATTCCAACTGCACGCCAAAGGCGTTGGTGGAGACAGATAGCTTGAGTTCACTCGTCAACTATTTCTTGAGGACTGACTATGTGCAAGGCACTGTTCTAGGTGCACAGAATCAAACAGACAAAAATCCCTGTCCTCTTGGGGTTTACAGTCATTCTGCTGGGAGGACACAAATAATATGCTAAATACATAGTCTGTAAAACAGTAAAAGTGCTTTGGAGAAAAATAATGTAGACGAGGGTGGCTGGGGAACGCTCAGGCAGGGTTGGGTGAGTTGTGGTCTTAAACAGAGAGGTCAGGGAGTTGCTGAATTGCAGCCTGAGATGAAGGATCCAGAGGTTTCCAGACCACACCCAGTCTCACGGTTCCTTCCTCAGTGTTTAGCACAGAACTTAAGTGCACACCTTCCTCCTGTATTATTGGCTCAAGTCTCCCACGCAAGACTCCTTTTGGGATCCGCCATGGATTAGTCCAGGGCTAGCGTGAGAAGATCTCCACAAACCCTTTCTGGAAAGTAAGGAAAGGCCATCGAAGTCCTCGCGTGTAGCAGGCATACCCCGTGGAAAGTGGGGCGAGTACCTAGGACAGCCTCCGAGTACAGACCAAGCCAGTGCTGCTGCTTCCCGCTTGCCCACATGGGTTCAAGTGAGACGGTTCAGCCACAGACGGACAGCCTGCGGCCTGGGCCACCCAGGGGAAAAGGGGACACCCCATCACTCTCTGCTGCTCCTCCTAAATGGTGGCTCAGAAGTCCCCTGCATATTACAGGGCCCACATCAAACACACCTAGAAACAGGTCATTCCATACCCCGCCAGGAAGGTCCCAGCTGTTATGGGGCTGAATCACCGAATATCAAGAAAAGTAAAACAGACCCATATTGGTGACAGCAGTTTGATTTACACTCAGAGCCCAGAAGAGCCATCACAAAACTCACTGATTATGACTATCTATACTTCTGATCTCAAGACCAACCGACACGTTTGTACGATTAGTTTATAGACGCGTAACATAGTATCACATAATAAAACGTATTTGTGCTTGTTTGTTATATAATCAAAATTATGCAGATGTTGTCATTAGTGAAAACCTATAATTTGGACAATGAGACCTTCCACTGAACATGACTCAGTCCTTTCTTGGAAAATTTAAACACAACAGGAAAGTATATTTTCATTGGATCATTATATATATTCAGTATGGGAACTCTTCCTTCGAACGGTGATACACGTGATTTTAACAAACAGCTACACAGCACTTGCTCTACTCCAGGCACTATTGTAAGCAGTTTATCTGGTCTTCCTGACAGCACTGTGAGGAAGACACATTGTCCCCACTTTACAGATGATGAAACTGCGGGAGAGAGGGACTGAACAGCTTGTCTGAGGCTGTATGCCGAGCAGCAGGGCAGCGCCTGAACCCAGGCTGCCTGGCTCCGGAGTGGAGCTCTTCAGCTTCCTGTGACAGAGCCTAGTTTCCACCGGCCCCCGCCTCTCTCCCACCCGCCGTGCACTTCCGCAGGGTGACCCTGCCTACCTCCATCAAGACGTGGGGTCTATGGCTCCATCCCCTTGAATCTGGTCAGGCCGTGTGACTTCCGTGACCAAGAGGTTCAGAGCAAGTGAAGCTGTGCCAGCCCCAGGCGACGCTCTTAATTTCACGGAAACTTCCATTTCCTGCCTCTTGGAAATCAGCCACTACATAAGGGTCACTAGCCCGAGGCCACCAAGTAAGAAGCCCAAGTCATGGAGACAGGCCTGGAGGATGAAGTGCTATTTGCAGAGAAAGAGAGAAAGCAAGAGACAGACAGACAGACAGACAGACAGACAGACACACACACACACACACACACACAGGCTAAAGAGGATTGAGCCCCCAGACACTGAGTGAAGAAGCCACCTTGACTGTGGAGCCTCCAGCCCCAGCTGCCCCAGCTGACATCACAACGATTAGCTGAGCTCATCAGAGCCCTTCCAAAATTTCTAATCTACATCACGAGCAAAGTGCAAGGCTATTCGAAGCCACTGAGTAGTAAGGTAGTTCGTTGCACAGCAATGGAAAGCCAAAACACATCGCACATACCAGGTACTGTGGATGTACTTTCTTACTGAATTACCATCACCCCTATTTTACAGCTACCTTTTAACAAATCAGGAAATGGAGGCTCAGAGAAGTAAGGTAACTTGCCCAACACAGCACAGCTCAGTGGTAAAGCTACTGGTCCAACCCGAGGCCAGCACCACGGCCTTTAACCACGGACACCCTTGTCTCCAAACACACAGGGCGTACCCACCACACTGCAACCAGATGCTTAGCTCGCAAATTGGTAACTGTGACTTTCTTGTGCCGCATTATCCTTCATGAAATACACACACGTGCGTATGTATTAATTATACAGTTTTGCTCAATCACTCACTGTAACGAAAGTCTGTCCCCCGCCCACGTGAAAGTGACAGCCGATTCAGTAGCTACCTTTTTATTGTCATCCAGAACAGTGTTCATGTTCTCGATCCACACAGCATCCACTGGCCCATCAAATACAATCCACTTGTGCTCCTCAGACACTGAAGACGCTTGCTCCCGGAAGGTGTTGGCGAGGACGCCGTCCGTCCATTCATGGCTCACGGGGTCAAAGCACCCATACAGCTGCCCCATGGTGATGGCCTTGGGGTTGATAATCTTGTACTCCACGGCGAATTCCTCCATCTGGTTGGCTGTGTGAGAAGGTCCCACCCGAGTTACAAAGGCTCTCGGGAGACCAGGACATCAGACAAGAGACAATGCCATCTTGGGTGGCCGGTTAGCTCAGGTGGTTAGAGCGCAGTGCTCACAACACCAAGGTTGCCGGTTCGATCCCCACATGGGCCAAGGAGCTGCGCCCTCCACAACTAGATTGAAACAACTACTTGACGTGGAGCTGATGGGTCCTGGAAAAACACACTTTCCCAATTAAAAAAAAAGAGAGAGACAGAGAGAGAGAGAGAGAGACAGAGAGAGACAGACAGACAGACAGACAGACAATGCCATCTCAAAAACCAACCAACCTTTAGGAATAAGCCATCCAAGGACAGGACTTATAAAGGCTGGGCTACCTGGATAGGCAATGCCTTTGGTTGTTAGGTTATTACAACCGTCGTTTCTCATCATATTTTCTTATGAAGCTCATTTCAAACAGGGCAAACGTGCCAGTCAGATCTACAGGAATATGCCTGGGCCTGAGAGAACTTCAGCAGCAAAGGAGACAGGTGCCCTATTATCAAGCCACTTTATGGACCTGGCTCTCTTGGTTGCCCTGAGAACCTTGGCTTGACCTGAGATGAGGAAACTGCTGACAGGTAAAAGATTCTGGAAAATGATAGCTACTTTTCTCTCTCTCTCCATCTGAAAGGCTAGTTTAGCCCTGAAACCTCTGCTTTAGCTGCGCAGTGTGTCCCCTGAGAAATGCACACTGTCGGAGTACCAGGACCCACCTGGAATATACAGGCTGGTAGACGGCACGTTGTATGTATTTAATAACGGAAAATGGCCACACTTTTACCTGACCCTTCAACATAAGGAAAAGACGGAGTGTCTCAGCCATGAATTAAATAAGGAACCATGTCTGCAGAATCCCAAAGCAAAGACATTGGGGTAGCCTCCTTTCTCTTCATCTAGTTTCCTAAACTATATTCAAATGTCAAAGTGATTCAAGGTCGAAATGCCCAAATTAGTTATGAAAGTCAAGTTAGTCCCCCAAACAAAAATCCAACAGCAACTCAATTATCAAATGTTGTTAGAAAAAAATGTGAAGATAAAGTACAGGAAGGGATCTTGTAAACATGGCCAGCAAGGGACTGCTTTTCAAAACCACAGGCATGTGTTTAATGAAAAACAAAACCAAAAAACCCAAAAACTATTTCTCTGGCAATAAACACAGCTTCCATTTGTTGATTAGGAACTGCACTAGGTTATTTACCTGCAAAATCTCATTAAATTCTCACAATAATCCCATTTCACAGCTGGGAAAACAGACGCTAAGAGAGGTTTAGTCATGTTCCCAAGGTCTGGGTCTGGTTCAAAAGTCTGAGGTCTTATCCTCTACATTAAAAGGAAGGAAAGGAAGGGAGGGAGGGAGGGAAAGGGAAGGGAAGAAACCATGCAACGATTTGCCTTTAGAATTATTTTGTTTAGCGCAGTGGCAGGAATTTCTCTCTCACTGGGGAACCTTTGGAGAAACCAGCTGTTCAGCAATTGAGAAAATTCCTCCAGCCTTAATGACATGCACATAAAATCCCGTTAGACGGCCCCTCCCGCCTTTAGTTTCTGCCTGCAGACATCTGTGTGCCAGGTTCTATTTCTGGCTCTGTCAGCACAGTCCAGGGATGGCAACAAACCCCCAAACCCAGCCTGGCATTATCTCCATGGAGCTGGCCAACTGAATGAGGAGTCCCATTCCCCCGCCGGAAGCCAGGATGTGAGCCTTACCTTGGTTTAAATCACCCAGAGCTGCAGCCAATACTTTATAAGCACAGGTCTTGCCACCCATGGGGTCTCCGACAATCATGTAGCCATGTCTTACCAGCATCATCTCGTAGATCTGAGAGGAGAGATCATAGAAGAAGTCAATCATCACAAACCTGCAAGTCAGAAGTCGATGAGGAGGGAGCGGTCAAAAGGGGGTTCCCACAGTCACTTCTATCTCTGGTGAACCAGTCCTTTGGGAATATATTGTATAAATATCTTTTGCATGAATCAATGGATGTATGTCTCCAATTATTTAAAAGATGGCAATACTATTGTCTCCGCACCTATCTATGTGCTAAGCATTAAGTGATTTACCTAAATTATTCATGTAATCTGTGCACGTGTCATTAACCATCACCATGGTTAATGGTGGGAATTCAGAGCCCAGGAGAGGCTGTCACTTGCCCGGGCTCATCACTGGCACAGCCAGGGTTTGAACGCTAGGACTCCCTGACTTCAGGGCCTTAATCTTTTCATTACACCATTTCCATATGCTTTTAAAGAAGAAAGGGAAACAGTACTCATTTTAGGAAACTGCATTTCTATTAGAAACTTCCTTTCTCAAGGCCTAAATGCTGTTCTGACTGGATTGGAACTCTCAGGAGATGAAATGTATTTTCTGAGCCAGGCCCCATGCGGGACAATATAAATGACCTTCTCTGTAATTGGTTCAGGGGTGGTCATGTGACTTTATCAGCAGCATTCAACGCTAATCCTGAGACTTTGGCTGAAGCCGTTTGGAGAGTGATGCTCTTTTTTCTTCTGAGCTTGAACCTGGGACAACTCAGTCTGGCTGCTGTGGACCCAACTGAGAATGGAGTTTTAATGCAGAGACAGCGTGGAAACGAACAGATTCCTGATGACATTACATAAAAACTTGGGTCCTGCTGTGCCCGAGGCCAACATATTCCTACACTTTTCAAGTTAAGTAAGTGAATAAATTCCCTTTTGTTGATTAAGGCAGTTAAGTTGGGTTTCTATCATTGGGAACGGAGAAATTCCTGACTAGTTCAAAGCCCAATCAATGCTCCCAAAGGGAAAAACCCCAAATTTAAAAAAATAAACCTCAATGAACATGGTCTTCGGAAAAATACTGGATTTTTAAACTTCACTTGGAAATGAAAACTGAAGGCATAACAGATAAAGATGCCTTCATCTCTACCTCCATCTTCTTCAGGCACCTCTGACGGCTGTCAGTTTAGTTCCAACGTGCCGTAGTTCTTTCTAATTCCTGACTTCAGCAAACAATAAAACAGGTACATTCCCATGTGGATACAAGAAACCAACCTGGATAATTTTCCCAATAAACCAAGGTACTGGCTGGAGCTTCATCTTTTTGATGTTCTCATTCAGCGCATCCACAAAAACTTCGTAATCTGGCTTTGGAAGAACAACTCCAGGAAACAAATCGGATATAATTCCCTGGTAGAAAGAATTCGAGAGAAGGTAGAAAGGGTGAATGATCAGCTCGCTATGTGACCTCCATTTTATCCTAAGCTGAGATCTACAGACAGCAGAAATCTTTGAAAAATTCCAAACCTCATTTTTCCTGCACCAAAACTCATCCACAATTACAAAGTCTAGCATTATCTGTCAAATATGACCTTCCTCCCAAATAATTTTAAACATCAGCAAATATTTAATGAGCCTGTGCTGTCTTGAAGTCATTGCATTAGAAATAAACAAGACAGTCATGATATCTGTCTCTAAGGAGCATACAACCTGGTAAAGAAGACAGGCATGAAAATCATTATCAAGGGACAGCGGTTAGCTTAGCTGGTTAGAGCGCAGGCTCCTAACAGCAAGGATGCCAGTTCAATCCCTACATGGGCCACTGAGCTGCGCCCTCCACAACTAGACTGAAACAACTACTTGACTTGGAGCTGATGGGTCCTGGAAAAACACACTGTTCCCCAATAAAAATTAATTAAAAAAAAACCTACAAAAAAAATCATTATCAAAGGAAACTAATTCAATTTGATAACAACTACCCACACCTAACAGCAAATCTACTATCATTATTATATTTAATAATAATAATAATGAAACCATCTTTATTAAAATCAGGACGTGGACAGAAGTGCTGCCATCACTATCATTATTGAACGTCTTGGGGAGGGTATCTGGCAGCAGGGATGCTGGCTGCAGATGGAGAGGCTGTGGAGAGGGTGCCAGAGAAACATGTGACCCTCAGAAGGTGGGTACCAGAGCCCGGCCGAGGCCCCAAACCATCGCACACCTGAAACAGAGGCACATCTTGAGCCAAGAACTTGGCCAGGTTGACATCTAGCAGGGCCCGGAGCAGCAGGACGCTCTCATTCTCGTCGGGGTACTTGAGCTTTAGGTTGCCAGCGGCCGTGAGCACAGACTTGACGGCTCGCATGCCGTAGTCATAGTGATGTTGGGAGGACAGCTGCTCTGAGCATAGGCGGTAGGTCGCCACAATCTTCTGGGCAAGACTGGGAAGCAAAGACATGTGTGCGGACCCTCGGGAAGCCCACGTCCTGCTCAGCAGACATTCCCACCATCCTGGGTCCCTTCAGGAACCAGGCTGCCCATGGACTTGATGGAGAAGCCCTACTATTTGAGGGCCTTTCAATAGAGTTGCCATAATGAGCTAAGGAAGCATTGTAATTGTCTTTCAAAGTCAGGATGGGAAAAAGCAAGCACACACATGCATGTATAACATGGACTATGTAAGAAGTTATTTATGTATGTATTTTTACATGTAGATATGAACGTATGTGTACACACACACGTTTGAGAGGAATAAATCAAACTATTCACAATGTTAATCCCCAGAGAGTGGAACTAACGGTTACTGAGGTGAAACTCCTTTTTTCACTTCTGTAACATTACGATGTTTCTCAATGTCCACGTTTCACTTTTTATATTTAAAACCCAATTCAAACTTTAATATACTCAGCACACACCACATGTATACTCGTGTGTGCTGCCATTTCTTATTCTTCCTGGGCACATAACTGGATCACACGCCCTAGCTTCCCACACAGTTAGGGGTGGCTACGCCACTGAGCCCCCGCCAGGGGCAGGGAATGAAAGGGGAGCATGCCACTTCCAGGCTGGTCCATAACAACATCCTCTATGAGATCCTTCATGCTCACGTGTTGTAACCATGTCATATGTAACCTGGGTCCCTTCCCTTGGGGAAGCACAACCCCCCTGATCACAAGCAACCATTTTGGATTTCCAGGAAGTGAAAAACAAGCTTGTGCTATGCTAAGCCAGTGAGATTTGGAGGTCAAGGTTATGTCACCGATATGCTTATGCACATCCCCCATGTGGGGAGTCCTTGCTACGAGACTGATATACTTCGAAAGCTTGAACTGTGTTGCTCAGCAGCGCCTAACACAGGGCTGGGCGTGAGGTTGGTGGCTCGTGAAGGTCTGCCAACTGAATAAGTAATTGAATGGGCAAAACAGCAATTGATTGCGGCCAAGACACTGTAGAAAAATAAATGTAAAATTTGGAACAGGTCAATAACATCATTTTACAATGATATTAATAACTCCAGGTGCATGTGATAAAGACACTGGTGTGTGTGTGAGTGTGAGTGTGAGTGTGAGTGTGAGTGTGTGTGTGTGTGTGTGTGTGTGTGTGTTGGAAAACTGGGTAATACTGAAATGAGAGATAAACCAGTTGAAGTAAATAAATGTTACACTGATAACAATGTTCATTCTAAATTATATTAAATTTTCCCCTTCAATCTTGGAATAATTCCTATGTGTCAGTCTTGCCTTAAGCCACTTAGGGATGTGTGTGTGCATATGTGCACACACATGTGTGTTACAGTGAGCAGTAGGCAGGAGATGAGTGGCTGCTTTCTTCAATAGAAGTCCGGGTGTACAAAAAGAAAAACGAGGCCTTTTCTCGGAAACCTGGGTCACTTCCCAGTCAGGGTTGGGTCAGGACCAAGGCCAGAGCTAGGTGGCGTCAAGTCAACATGTAAACAGAAGACTGTTTCTCAGTTTCTCTTTTCTTCCAATGGGAAACCCACCTTGAATCCACCACACATCAAGGGACTTTAGAACCCACTGGAAAACCAAAGTCACATACCTCCTGGAGTCCAGAAACCCCATGGAATAGAGAGAGATTTCTCCAATGAGGGCGTAATCTGGCACCATCATGGCCACTGTCCGGAACAAGGCCTGGAAAAGAAACAGCCATTTGGTACCCGAATGCACAGTCAACACGGAGGGCAAGTCAGCACAAAGGAACCATCCTCCTGGGGCAGATCCACTGCTCCATTGGCCTCCCCAGGGCCCTGTCCTCATACATGTTGTCACACTGGGTCCCTCCATGGCTGTGTGACGGCCCTGGGTGCTGCTCTCCTACAGCCTCATTCTCCGAGGCCAAAGGAGCATCGTCCAACTCTCGAAGCTTTCTAGTGTTCAGTATGGACAACGGAAGTCACTGAGGAATGCAGGGCCAACACATATCAGAAGAACCCTGAAGTCAGAACAGTCTTGATCTGAGTCTGCTCTGTGACCAAATAGCTGTGGACAAGTTAAGTAACCCCTCGAGACTCCGGTTCTTTTGTCTCTAAATGGGCTGACAACTGTACCCTTCTCATGGTTATGGGAACCAAAGATACCCCATACAAGAGGTGCTTCGAAAAGTGTGCAGCACATAGTGGGCGCTCAACAAACATCAGCTGCTGTGATTATCACCTTAGATCTTAGAGAAGTGACTCGCCTGAGTCATGCAGTGAGAGGGGGAGCCGGGACTAGAATCCAGGCTTCCTGACACCAGCCCCTGGGGCTCTGCACTGTGCCGCGCTGTCTCAGGGGAGCAGCTTGGGCAGGACTAACGTGGTTGTTGGCTGAGAGGGATGCAGGGGGCGTTACAACTGGGCGGTAACAATGAGACACGTGGGTCCAAGTACTGGCGGACCTGTGTTGACCTGGAGGGAGGAGCCACCCTTAAGGATCCTCCCTGATGCTTCCTTTCCCAGGGAGGAGGAAGCACTGTGTCTGAATAAGACTCCAGGGCGCCAACCAGAACGTGCTTCCGGCAACTGGAGGATCATGGAGAGCAGGTCCTCTAGTACCGTCGTTTCGTCCCACATCACTTCGTCATAACGCTAAAGAGATGCCGGAGGAACCTAGCTCTTGTTTATATCAAGTAGCCTATGGTAGTACTGGTTTTGTCACATGGCGTTTCACATAAGGTCACAGAATCCATGGATGACATCCAGGGAGGACTTACTGCATTAAAGTCAGTGAGTGTGGCTTCGGCGCTCTCTCTTTCTCTCCCTCTGTCTCGTGTGTCTTCCTCACAAGGGGATGGAGCAGTAACTGGACTGAAAGTAGTGAAGTAGCAGGCCTGGAAGTCTCCCTCCAGTGGCTCTTTTCATGCAGTCAGGGTGCTGGGTGCTGTGCCCCAGAAGGACAGCCACCCGTCCTCTCTTTGGCGTGCTGAGGTTGTGTGGAGCCTACTCCCCTGGGGGTGGCCTGGCTGGCTCTTTCTTGTCCTTTACAGGTACTTTCCTTCTCCTACCAGCTGCAGAGCCAACAACTGCTGCTCAGGCCGGCTCATCAGTAGACACGGGGACAAGCAAGCTCTCGTGCCACCTCTCTGGTGGGCTGGCACCGCCTGCTTTGGTACAGACACCGCTTGGGCCTAAGCAGCTTCGTTACAAAGGGGAGGGCGTGTGGTCCGGCCCTGGTGCACCAGACTTCTCTGGCGCGTCATTCGTATTTGCCTTTGGTTATTAGGTATATATCCTCCCCCCGCTGCCTCGTGAGACCTTGCTCTGGGGCCAAGGGCCATCTTACTGCCATCAACATTCCACTCTTACTTCTCACAGCTGAACCATGTCACCTGGTCCCATTATGTGGCTCCTCTGGGAGGCCCTCGGGTACTCCCAGTGGTTTCTATGCCTTCGGTACACCCAGTATGCATGTACGCTGATGTTCACCTTGAGGTTGTCGGGTAGCTCCGCCCTGCCAGCATACCCAGGGTTCATGGTGATGAAGACGGCGCAGGTTGGGTTCAGAGAGAGCTCGGTGCCTTCAAAGATGAACACCTTCAGCTTCCGGATGATGGCTTGTTGGATGCTGAGAATCTGCTGGGCCACTACGGACAGCACCTCTACCTGTGGTGACAGCGGCTGGCTGATGGAAGCTCTGGCTTCTGGCAGCCACTCACCCCATTCCGCCCAAATCTTCACGTAGCAAAGAAAGAACACAGTCACCTGAGAACCAGACCTTCACATTGAAAATCAGGAGCATAATGTGGGGTTTGGGTGAAGAAAAAGGAAATTGGTGTGTGTGTGTGTGTGTGTGTGTGTGTGTGTGTGTGTGGTTTCCATAGTATTTTATCTCTGCTCCAGCATAATGCTTGGCCCATAATACATATTTGAACACTGTTTACGCGTTTGAAATGCATGTTTACATTTCCTGATCTCAATTCCCCACCCAAACAGAATTAATCACCCCCTCTTCTGTGAGGCCTCTTTTGTGCCCCTACTGTAAACGTCTGTCATAGTCTACGTGTTTCATTTAATTTTTATTTCTTTTTGCTAGACTGTAAGAGTCTAGAAACCATTTATTACTCACAGTTGTGATGACATAGTAGCTGCTCAATAAAGTTTGGAATGGGCTAGTGAAATAATGAATACGAGAGGGTGAGTGTGTGTATAAAATATGCGTTGTATATTAACGGTGCTATTTTTGTTTAGTTCATTGAGTGCCTAGCCCCGACACCAGGCCCTGTTGCTGAGGAGTCAGGAGCCCGTAGAAAGGCCCCTGCTTGTCTGACCCCTCCAAACCCCGGAAGCAGGGTTACCTCAATCCTGTTGAACTCATCAAAGCAGGCCCATGCTCCAGCCTGGGCCAGTCCCTTGAAGAACTTCCCCATGGCTTTGTAATCCAGGCCATCTGAGCAGTTGAAGACCACACACTAGAGAGAGGGGTGATGCGGGCGCCCTGAGTCACCCTGCACCATGAAATGGGGGAAGGGGGGTGCCGCATGCTGCCTGTTGCACTACCCCACCACCCCACCTTGAACTTCATGTTGACTTCTCTGGACAGGGGTCCAGGGAGGGACGGAGTGGGGGTAAGGGATGGACGGCATTTCTCTACCTGCTTAGCTAAAGCTTTGGCCAGATCTTTGGTGGTTTCTGTCTTTCCTGTCCCAGCTGGACCCTCTGGAGCTCCCCCAAGATTCAGCTTCAAAGCCCCCATCAGAGTCCTAAGCGGAAGGAAATAAGAACTCAGTGCCTGAGCCCTGAGACACAAGAAAAAACAAAACTAGCTTTGGTTATTTTGTTTTGAGTCATACAAATAGTTCAAATTTTTTTCCCTGAATTATATGACCACCACTGTAAAAAAAAAAAAAAGTCTGTTTTACTCAGCATTGCAACTTCAGAGGCTGGCACAGTGCCTTGTGCGTGGGTGGCACCCATAAGCATTTGTTTGAATGAATGATTCTAATGAAAAATGAATGCATACATACATAAACGAATAAAAAAATCCTCACCAACTCCACATTCCAAAGACCGCCAATGCTAAAAGGGAAAATAAATGTACAGTAATACCTTGGTTTGCGAGCATAACTCGTTCTGGAAACAAACAACTCGTATTGCAAGACATCGCTCGTTTACCACACTAAAATGTATTAGAAATGTTTGCTCGCCTTGCGAACACTCACAAACCAAGTCACTCGCAAGCCAAGGTTTTACTGTATTTCTCCCATTACATTATGAACTCTGGAGTTCAGGACTTGTATTGGATTGACCTCCACATCCCCAGCAAACTAACCCAATGCCTGGCACGTGCTCGGGACAAGATAGATGTTAGAAATGATGTGTTTCCACAGCCGCTGTGTGAGCCTCTATGATTTCAGTGAACATACCACCTTGCAATCACCTGAGTATGTCTCTCTCCCTCACCCCATTAGATTGATTTGAGGGTCCCAAGAAGTCAAACATGGTACACAGGAAGGTTCAAGAAATAATGAGTGGAATGAATGAATGAATGAATAGCATAGTAAATAATAATTTACTATTATTAAAGAATAAGTAGAAAAATGTTTCACTATAAGGGATATATAAAATCAAAGAAAATCTAACCATCATAAAATTGACTAGTTTTTAAAAAAAAAAAAAAGAAAGAAAAGAAAATTGACTAGTTCACAAAGTCCCGATTTCTAATGTTATGAATTCCAAGGAAAGTGGCTGAGCGCCTTCTGTGCTGGGCACGGAGTGGCCGTAGCTCTTCATCAGGCTGCGGGCAGAGCTCAGCACTTCGCTGCCTGCGTCCTTCCCCGGGGCCTCTTTGCTATTTCTTGGCCTGGGATCTCCAGGCACCATCTTGATTCTGCCATTGGAGAGCTTTCTACCCAAGTACTGGCCGTTTCCTTCTGCTTACTGGTTCAGCCACACTAATGTGCATTAGGACTCCAGCTGGGCTCTCATTTCTGGCCTAAGGCCCACTTTCCGTGCTCATCTGTGGGACCAGAGTGTCTAAGGGCAAAACTTAAAAACTGGGGAATCTGAAGTGGAGAAGGGAAATGGAACAAGTTCCAGATGCCCCTAACCTTTGTCCCCAGCGGGCTTTCCTTCCGGAGTTCTCCAGTCCGGGGGAACCCAGGCCTCACCTGTAGCAGCGGTCGGTGAGGGGCGTGATGACCAGGCGGGGCGAGTTGCCCAGGTACTCGTAGCCATACAGGACCTCTGTCGTGATCATCTGCACCTGCACATCCGTGGCCTCCCAGTAATAGCGCAGCTGCGAGATCCACTGGAAATCGTTCAGGTCACACACACCGTCCTCGGACAGCTTGGCCACTACGTCGCGAGCTGATGGGGCGCAGACAGAGACGCACACATGCAGAGCCATCAGCGCCTCCCAGCTCCACCGACTTGTCAGGGGAGGTTGGAGGGCGTCCCCAGGCCGCCCCTCACTCCTCAATTCTAGGCTCAGCGGCCCTTCTTGCCCACCCCCAATCTGCAGGCAGCATTTCCCTTAGAAGCTGATCTTTGCTTCTCCCAAGGAGCGAGGCAGAGTGTGAGGCACTGTCGGCAATCAGACCACAGTACAGCAGGGGCAGGAAAAGTGTGTGCTCTGAGATCAGGCTGCCTGGGTCCCAACTCTGGTTCTGCCAGTAACTAGCTCTGTGACTTTGGGCAAGTTATTCAACTTCTCTGTCCTTCAGTTGTGTGGGCTGTAAAATGCAGATAACATAGTACCTACCTTACGGGGTTATAATGAGGACTAAGTGAATATACGGAGGGTGCCAGAAAAATACACACACATTTTAAGAAAGGAAAAAAACTGTATTAAAATTGTCATACTCAATATGTACTGATAACAAAAGATGAATACAAGTCATGTGTATACATTTTTGGGGGCACCCCCGGTATGTGTGTATATACACACATACATGTACATGTACACATGTAAATATCTACGTGTGTATATACACACATACATGTACATGTACACATGTAAATATCTACATATATTCACATATACACAGATATAGGTAGGTAGATAGATAGAGACTGACAGACAGACCTGTGCCTGTCACTATATAAGTATTAGCCACTGTTATGATTCCAGAACTTGTGGGGGTGCTTTGCAATATGTAGTTACTCCAAGTGCTGTCTTATTCCCAATACGACCCCTCTGGCCCTGTTTCAGGCCTCTCGGATATCCTAGCAGAACAGTCAGCTTTCTTGATATGGTTACCGAGGGAAGGGGGCCTGTGAGTCACTGTTAGATGCATTCTTTCCATCTGGGGGCCTGAGAACCAGCTGGGAGATACATTTCCAGGTTTTATCTTTCTCTCATAGGACTGTTGGCCTCATTTAATTTTCTCACAGTGATGGGAGCCCCGAAGTTGAAGAGTGGACACAGGTTTATGAGAAGCACTCATTATTTTTTAGGTGAGTCACAGGCCAAGGGCTGTTGAGATCTCAGAACTATTAATAGCACAGCAGCTAGAGATTAGGATCTCAGAAACGTAACTCTGCAAAGAGATATCCAGAAAGACAAAACAGAAGTCTTATCATAGTAAAGCCCAAGACCATGCAGATAAGGGTCCTTGAAGAAGATGACACCACAGCTCTTCCGTGCTTCCTGAAGACTTTAATTCCCTTGGAGGTTCTGAAGAGAACCCACAGACTGGTAGTAAGAGTAGGAGTCTGCATGAGCAACCCAAGAGGAAGGTAAATCTCACAGGACTGAGTTGGGGATGCCTACACTCTGCTTGTGTGTGTGGTCTATGAACCCTGCTGCTTCGGGGTACCCTGCATGTTTTACTCCCCACAGCTGGATATGCGGCCAGATGAAGGCTATGTTCTCCCTTCACTTGCCTGACTTTATACTAGTCTATCCAAATGAAATCAGATTGAAATGAACATCAACCGTAAGGAAGCTAGGATGCCACGAAATGCCAGCAGCAAGCTGGGTGTGTGAGCAAGAGACACACTGTTCCCAGGCAACCAGCCTGGTCCAGCCCCAGTTTCCTTGGTGATGAGGGCGTGAGGGCGTGAGGGTGGTTTGTTTTACATAAAGACCTTGATTCTTCTTCCTCCTGTCCTCCTCCTCCTCTGGTTTTTTTTAAAGGAAGAGCTGGAAGGCATCATCTCCCACCCACCCCTTCCCTGCGTCACTGCCCATTTCCAGTCTCTTGGGTTTGGAATCAGACCAACGTAGGTTCGAATGACAAAAGGGCCTCTGCTACTTACTAGCTGTGTGCCTCTCGGCAAGTGATCTGCCTCTCTAAGCCTCAGGTTCTTCAGCTGAGAAATGCTGCTAAAGATGACGTCAGGTATGTCAAGGATTTAGCACAAAGCTTGGCACCTCGTGCTCAAAAACACAAGCTCTGGTCAGAGGAAGGAAACCACTCCAAGTGCTGAACCTGGGGTGGACCTCAGACACGGCTGTGGCCACTCATCACTGTCTCAGTAAGAGCCCAACTGGGACGGTTCCTGGACAGAAGTTGGGGGGATGGGAGGGGAACCCTAAGATGGACATACTCAGAGCGCTGGCTTCTCTCCTTACCCCTCACCTTACTCTCAGCTGGAGAAGCCCCTCCACAGTGGGACAGGGCACCCTGAATCCCTCCGTCCAGGGGAAAGGAGCGAGGGACAAACCTGGTGCTGTCCCTGGACACTCAGTCACGCCAGGGAAGCCCCAGTGCTCACCATGGACGTCGATGACCGTGAGGGCCCCAAGGGTGAGGCGTGCCCCGCTGCTCAGCCTCCCTCGCACCAGCTGGACAATCTGTGCAATCTGGTCATTGCTCTTTTTCAGGAAATCCTGGCAGGGGCACAGGAGGGGCCAACTGGTGAAACTGGATTCTCCTCCACTAATCCCTTCTCGGGGAATGGCACCACCCACCCCCTCATGGCCCAAGCCAGGCTCCTGGATGGCAGCCCTCAAGCCCCCCGCCCCTCAGCCCCAGTCATTATTAGCTTCTAGACAACTTTCATATGCATTATGCTAACTGAAAGAAGCCAAATTTGAAAGACTAGACACTGTATGATTGCATTTTCATGACATTGTGGAAAAGACAAAACAACAGGGGCAGAAAACAGATTGGTAACTGCCAGAGGCTTGGAGTAGGGGAATGGGGTGACTACAAAGGACATGGGGGAATTTGGGGGGGTTACACAAATGTATGTGTTTGTCAAAACTCAGAACTGTACCCTAAGAAGGGCGAATCTTACTGCATATAAACTATACAGTAACAAAAAAAAAACCCCTGAAACACGTTCAGATTCAGGGAGACACAGGAGACATGGAAACCAAATGCCTGTGAACATGTAATCCTGCTCCAGGCAAAAAGCATTAGTGGGGCAGCTGGCTACACTGAGTTTAGCCAATTTAAAGGTCTACAGATTTGATAATGGTATTGTGTCTTGCACCAATGTTGGTTTCCTGTTTCGGATAACTGTACCGTGGTTATGTAAGATGTTAATATTGGCGGAATCTGGATAAAGACCATATGGGAATTCTTTGTATTATTTTTGCAATAACGTTATTTGTAAGCCTGACATTATTTCAAAATGAAGAGTTTTAAAAAAGAAAAATGAATTTAAAAAAAACTAAAAACATCAGTTGTTGGAAATTCTGCAAGGCTGACCCCTGGAAGCAAAGGCTGATAAAACTCAGAATTCTGCAGCCTAGGATTTCTGTCGGGGAAGAGTGATTGGAGTTCTAGCACTTATAAAACTCCAGGATAGCCCCAAGGCCAAATCCTCAGTCCCACTGTCCCCATGACAACCCTGGCTTCTGTGATGGTGGAAGCCATGATTATTTTTTTCTGTAGAAAACATGGCTACTCTATATGTCATTCAAATCCTAATGGAGCTTGAGACTCCTTGGCAAACTTTGACGGGCTCACTTACCAGTAGGGTCTGTTCCACCAAGGCTTGGCACACCTCCTGGGTCCAAAAGATGGAGGAGACACAGATGACCACCTGGCCAGGCCACTGTAAGACCCAGTGATTACGAGGAACCTGGGGGAGTGCAGTGGGGCGTGCTGTAGGGTCACTTCATCTTCAGTGATTTAAACTGACTTCTTAAAAAAGTAATCCCCACCACCTCACCCCCTCAACACAAACAAAATCCTTCCCACCCACGGAGGATACAAGGCCCGATATCCCTGCGATTGCTAATTTATGTCTTCCTCCCCGAGTTTTATGAAAAAGAAAAAAAGTCACCAACAATCTCATCAACGCAACATTTTTTTCATGCTTTCATCAAGGAATGGTACATAGTTATAATCAAGGTGGTATACGAAAGTGTTCAGACTGCTCTTTTTAATGGCTACACAATCTTGCAGTGCAACACCACATAATTTTCTTAGTCATGTCCCCTCTTTTTTTCCCCCTACTTTTTTATTTAACTACGGATCAGGCAAACGATGGCCCAATGGCCACATTTGACCATGCCTGCTTTTGTAAATAAAGGTGTATGACAACACAGCCACACCCCCTGTTTATACATCATCTACGATCTCTTTTTCATCACCAAGATAAATAGTATGTGTGGCCCCACGGCTGGAAGCTATTTCCTATCTGGCCTTCACAGAAGCAGTATGCAGACTCTTGCATGAAACAATTCCATACAGGCCACCTTTTTTCTTTCATTTTTGATTGATAATAAAACATAAGGCAAGGATTGGCCTTGGATCTACAAGGCAAATACCACTGAGATGCACAGCGGATGGGAAGGTGTTAAGAGAATGCGTCTTCTTTCATGAGCTCGGAGCTGGCTAGAGTGACTGTCCCGGGCTCTTTGCTCTTAGGCCTTCTGTCCTACCTGTTTCCGCTAAACCTCTGGAGCTTAGTGAGTTGTGCTATTCAGGGCATGTCCTGTAAGTGAAAAGCCCAGGGAGGGCTGTTTCATTGCAAAGGGCTCTAAACACGCCCCATGCCATCAACTCACTTCCCAGAAAGGACTGGCCAGTAGCAACCAGAGGCTTCAGGCTAACCTGCTTCTCTTGTGTCACCTGCTTCTAACTGCACACGTTTCACCTGAAATAGGCACACTGACCCAGGACTCACAGGGGAAGGGGAGAGAGGTAGGGCGGGGCCAGGGATCACCAGTAGGGTGAGGGTGGGTTTCTGATAGAAGACAGAGCAGTGCTCAGTGCCAACCCATTTAACCTTCTCCCGAGGTTCCTGCTGCAATACCACCATCCAGGCACAGGGCCCCGGCTCTCTTACCTGGACGTATGCTTTGATCCCAAGTCTAATAACTTCCCGCATGCTCATGAGCATCATCTGCTCCACCTGCTGGAGCCACTTCTCCACCATGCCCTGCAGGAGAGACAGACAGGCAGCCATACTCAGCCCAGCCCGGAGGAAGAGGCCATGCACAAAGCCAGCTTTCTCTCTGGACAGAGCTGGAGAGAGGCCAAAGGTTTGTTGGGAGCCGTCTCAGAGTACTGAGACCCTTGGTTGATTGCAGGTGGGGAATGACAGGTGGCTAAAGACCCCCAAGTTCTATCTGCTGAGGAAAAGACTGCAAAGCTGCTTATTAGCTGAACAGCAAAAAGAGAACTGCTAAAATCAGTAACCCAACAACACCTAGCTCACCTCCTGTGCCTTGGAAAAGCAGAAGATCCTAAACCACAACCACCAGACCCTCAGATGTTACTGTCTATGGACTTATGAACTTTGAGACTTTCTACTATGGAATTATGAACTCTTAGGACTTTTCCATCATAGACTTGCTGACAGTTGCTATTTGCCTTAAGTTTCACTTTGCTTAAAATATATTATTAGTTTATGCTGTATGATCATGTAACCTCTTACCAAGGGATTATCTCACCTCCAAACTCCTAAGTCAGGAACATTGGTTCCTCCTTCCCCAACCCCCCCCTAACAAAACCCCTATGCTTAGATAAGATTTATTCCTGGTAAAAGAGGAACTTGCTCTCTATATAAGCACTATGCCTTTTAATAAAATTTGTCGTGTCTACCATCCGCAGTCAGTGACCCTCCTCATCCCAACTTTGGTGTCTATGCCATTCTTTCATTTCTCATTTCCTCGCGCTGATCAATCCTGCTCAGGCACCGTTCAGTGGGTTCCCGGCCTGATCATCCAGGGGCCACAGCTGTCAAGCCGGCTCACGGCAAAGGTTGGTGCCTGTGGGGGTTCAGAGCGAGCCACCCCACATTGTGCCTCAGTGGTATGAAGATTATTTTGAATTAAAAGCAACTGGAACCCTGTGGGATCAAGAGACTGTCCCAGACCTTCACTCTCCAGAAGGATTTAAATTAGGATCCTAGCTCACGATGAGAATCACCGGAAATGACTTTTTACCCGTCTACATGGCTGGGCAAGCGAATGATTGCTGAACACGTGCTCGCCCTGCAACAACCTTCTGAAAACCCAAGGCTCCTTACCTCATCCATCCCTCAGGATGTCTTCCAGACCCCAATTTTGCTTTCTGTCTCTGAACCGCTCATCTATGTGGGGTTCCCTTATATACGTATGTAATTCGATTTGGTTATTTTCCCTTGTTAATCTGTCTCATGTTTATTTGATTGGTAGACGAGCTGAGAGAACCTTGAGGGTCAAGGAACATTTCTTCCTCCCCACACACCCTTTCCAGCCAGTATGCTTTAACTATTTGTTTTACATTTATTTACTGTATTCTAGGAAGAGTAAGTCTGGTCACAGGGGCAACCGGGGAGTTTTCACATGCATTCCTTTCACGTCATTGAAACCAACAGCTTCTTGGGAGGTAAATGAAACATTAATATTTCAGGTAAAACTGCACATGTCTAATGAACAGTTCTAATTTTTTTTTTCACTATTCCCGTGGTTCCCAAACTTTGCTGTGCCCTGGAATTATCTGGAGATCGGTAAAAACTATGGTTGCCCGACTCCCTCTCCCAGATATAATTAGTATGGGATGCACCCTGGGCACTGGGGTTTCTTTTAAAGCTCTACAGGTAATGCAAATGTGCAGCAAATTATCCAGTTTTGGAAAGTCAGGTGACTGTAGCTGTCAACATCGGGTGCTCACGAGCTAGCAGATGTGTGCCTGGTGACCTGACTCCAACTTATATGTGTAGATGGCAAAACCATTCAGCAAAGTGCTTGTCTAGTTCCACGAGGGTGCTGTCATGTCCAGAAAAAGTGGAAGTCATTTACATTTCACTCACTCTATAACGACGCATGTATAAAAAGCTGCGTTACATGGCACTGACTCCATGTTGTACTGACACCTGAAAACACCTGCCCCAGCAAGCCGTCTATCTGAGCAGGTCACTTTGAACTGGGTTCTGCTCATGGGAATCTGAACAGCATCTGTCGTTTGGATTTGTTTCCTGCTACTGCCTCCACATCAAGTTTGGTTGAAATCCTTCCACAAATTCAGTATGCCACGTGGATAGCAGTAAAAGCCCCATCTTAGAGATGGGCACACCGCAACTCTGAAAGACTGAGTACCTTCTTGAAGTCACCCAGATATTAAGCTGTGGACCCCAAGGGTTCCACACCCAGCCAAACTGGAACTAGAATCTAAATGTTAACCAGTGTGCTCTCTGCCTCTCTGTTTTGCTCTGTTATGGAGAAAAGAACCAAAAATGGGTAAGGGAAGTTACTTTGGCTTGAGCCGGGTAGATTTTCTCTTGGAATGGAACAGTTTCTTTTTCCGAGCTGATCATGCCCACGATCTCCAGAGTGTCCGTGAACTCCAGCTTGGCGATTCCTTCAAAGCACTTCTTCAAGTGTGGCTGCACTCGGAGGGGGTCCTTGGTTTCTGACAAGATCTCCAGCAGCTCATCATTTGACAGGAAGAAGAACCTATTTCAGAGCAAAGAAAGATGGCAACTGGAATCTTTCTGGGAACTTCTTTTTCCAACAAGGTGGGACTCCCCAACAGGTAGGTGACACCCTGGTGAAGCCCAGCTCTGTTCTAGGGGTCTCTCTAAGGCCCACCCCCTTCACCATTTTTCATCTGGGGCATGTAGGGTGGAGATGGTTTTGACTCTGGGAGCAAGAGAAAGAATGAAGGCTAGTATATCTGAGTTTAACATGGTTGAAGGGTGGGGTGCTACCTTTTGAAAGACAACAGTGGTTCTCAACCTTGGCTGCACTTTAGAATCACCTGCTAGACTGACTTTTGAAAATCCAATGCCAAGATTCTACTGCCCAGAGAGTCACATATAATGATTTGGGGTAGGGTCAGGGATTTGCAGTTTTAAAAATCCCAGGTGCTTCTAATGTGCAGTCAGTGTTGAGAACTGCTGGGCAGGAGAAGGAGAGAGAAGAGACTTCCTTGTTTTCCCTTAGCTTGGGCACGACAGAAAATGTTACCGGTCTGAAATAAGAAGTCATGTTAATAAGAAGCATGCTAATAATGAACCTATTTACATGCAGAGGCCTTTTCCTTGTTTTACAGTAGAAATAATAACATAGCTGCATTCTCTTGCTCAGGCCCTCAAGGCCGCAACAACAAACCTTCAGAAGCTGCTCAAGCGACACATCTCTACCATGGCCACTCGGCCAGAGGTTCCATAACAGAGGGGCCGAATGATGACGGTCTTCGCGGTATCCGGTGGATTACAAAAACGGCCACAGTATTTGCAACTTATCTCATCCAGAAGTGGAGTCTATTTTCACATCTCTGGGACCTGGCTCTGTGCCCAGACTGTGGCCATCAGACTGTGGCAAAGATGACTCTGTGCAAGTTCAAAGCCTCCCCATCAACAGGCCTTGGAGCTCCCACTCCTGCTGGTGTTGGGGGTGCTGTGGCCACCACCACGTGAATAAACCCAGGTTAACCTTCAGCTGGATGGACGACATGGGGCCCAGCTACCCCCGTTGCCCCAGACAACAGCCCCTGTACAAGTGACTGAGGCCACAGACTGCCAGCTGACTGGAGTCACGTGAGCAAGCCCTGAGGAGACCAGGGGAACCACCCAGCTGAGCCCAGCCCACTATGCCAACCCAGTGGGCATATTGCCAAATTGTGAGCTAACTAAATAGTTGCTGTTTAAAGCTTCTAAGTTGTGAGGTGGTTTGTTGGGCAGCAAAGAAAACTAGTATAACGTAGCTGCAGTGTTGAGCAGGTAGAAAGAGCCAGTAATTATGTGTTGGCTGACTAAAATAAACACACGCCTATATGGTCAATTAATCGATGACAAAGGAGGCAAGAACATACAACGCAGGTAAAGACAGTCTATTCAATAAACGGTGTTGGGAAAACTGGACAGATAACAAGCAAAAAAATGAAACCAGACCACCTTCTTACTCCATCTACAAGAATAAATTCAAAAAATGGATTAAATACTTAAATGTGAGACCCAAAGCCATAAAACTCCTAGAAGAAAACATAGGCAGTAAACTCTCTGACACTGCCCTTAGTAATATTTTTTTTCTGATATATCTCCTCAGGCAAGGGAAACAAAGAAAAAAATAAACAAATGGGACTACATCAAACTAAAATGATTTTGATACATCTAATAAGGGGTTAATACCCAAAATTTATAAAGAACTCATATAACTCCACACCCAAAAGACAAACAATCCAATTAAAAAATAGGCAGAGGACCTGAGCAGACATTTCTCTAAAGAGGACATATAAATGGCCAATAGACATATGAAAAGATGCTCAACTTGCATTACAGAAATGCAAATAAAAACCACCATGAGGTATCACCTCACTCCTGTCAGAATGGCCATCATCAATAAGTCAACAAACGAGTGTTGGCGAGGATGTAGAGAAATGGGAACCCTTGTGCACTGTTGATGGGATTGCAAATTGGTGCAGCCACTGTGGAAAACAGTATGGAGGTTCCTCAAAATATTAAAATTAGAGCTACCTTATGACCCAGCAATTCTACTCCTGGGTATTTATCCAAAGAAATCCGAAACACTAATTTGAAAAGCTACATGCACCCCTATGTTCACTACAGTGTTATTTACAATAGCTAAGATATGGAAGCAACCTAAGTGCCCATCAATATACGACTGGATAAAGAAGAGATGGTACATTATACAATAAAGTATTACTCGACCATAATAAAAATGAAATCTTATCATTTGTGACAACATGGATGGACCTAGAAGGTATTACACTGAGTGAAATAAGTCAGACAGAAAAAGATAAATACAATATGATCACATTTATATGTGGAATCTAAAAATCAAAATAAACAAACAAAACAGAAACAGACTCATAGACACAGCGAACAAGCTGATGGTTGCCTGATGGGAGGGGGTTGGGGGACTAAGTGAAAATGGTGAAAGAATTAAGAAGTACAGATTGGTGGTTACAAACACTCATGGGGATGTAAAATACAGCATAGGGAATAGAGTCAGTAATATGGTAATAACTATGTACGATGCCAGATGAGTTCTGGACTGAATGGGGCGATCACTTCGTAAATTATATGGATGTCTGACAACTGTGTTGTATGCCTGAAACTAATATAAAATAAAGCTGGGTATCAACTGTAATTGACAAAAAATAAATTTTTAAAAAAGCATAAAGAAGTGTGTGTGTGTGTGTGTGTGTGTGTGTGTGTGTGTGTGTGTGTGTGTCTGTGTAAAGCAGAAAACTAACCTTGTCTCCATGAAGGGAATATTAAAATGTACTTTTCTTAAAGGCAAATTGGGATCAAACCTACATCCTAATGAGAATCAAATGGTGTGGAGGGAGGGACCATCCAAGGTCAGCTAGACATGGATGGAGTATCAGGAGTAAGGACCCTCCTTTCTGGAACGAGCCCTCTAAAATTACCTTGACTTTTATGCAGAAGAACATTGAATATTGTGTGTGTGGGGGAAGGAGTCAAATGTCAAATATTTATAAACATAAAGTACAAAATTTGATGGCAAAACAAAACTGAGCTGACATTTCTTAACAAGAGTCTAGCTGCTAAATGCTTCACACACATTATCTTCTTTGAGCTGCACAACCAATATATAAGCGAGGGGCCGCTATTTTATCTGTTTTACAGCGGAGAACCTGAGGCTTGCCTAGATTTGCTGAAGGTCTCAAGATTAGTTAGTGGAAGAGCTGGGACTGAAACCACGGTCTGTGCAACTCCCAAGTCCAGGCTCTTAACCATGACTACTACGCCCCTCTAACTGCGTACTTGACCTTGGCTGGTTGGTCAGAGTATGGATCTGGTCCCCACTGGTGTCCATTCAACCTCGCTCTAAACAATAACCATGAAGATATGCCTTAACCCTGAGACCTGTCTCTTGGGGAGTGGAAAACCAGGAAAGAATATGGAACAGATTGGTAGAAGCCAACTCTCAGTATGAAAAATGTAATTCTACCTATACGTGGGTCAGGAGGGCAACTCCAAACAAAAGGACACGACTGAATACCTGGGGAAAAAGAGTCTCTTCTTCTCCAGGTAATCATTTAGCCCCTTCTGGATCTCCTCCAACAGAGAGTTCGCGTCTTGAAGCTTCTCGGCCATCCGTGGCTGGTCTGCGGCCATCAGGACCCTGGCATCTTTCACCTAGGTTCCAGCAAAAAGGTGAGAATCATCACGGGGTTCCCAGACTCTGAGACCGGTCATGGTATGAGTGTCTGACCAGCCCATCAACTTACGACGCCCTACCCAGCTAAGTGCTTCCTTAATCCACAAGGGTGAGTGCCCACATAACATGACCCTGTGCCTCTGGCCATGGGTGACTGGGACAGGGCTGGGCGCCTGAAACCAGGCAAGCCAATTATATTTGAACTTCTGGGACTTTGGAATTCAGGCCATGACATTCTATACTAGCCCGGGCTGGCCCCTTAAAGGAGAGGGCCTTGCTGCTGTGTGACGATCATCTTCCATTATGGGACTGGGTCACAGAGCAAGCAAGTCTGCAGGGGCGGGCAGCAGGCACAGAAAGAATACTCTGTGGGCTCCTGAGAGATTTCTGGGTTCCACAGCCCTCCTTTATGCATGTTCTGTACTGGAGTTTCATGAGACACCCACTTGGTTTTTTTGTTTGAGTTACCTCAAGTGGATTTCTGTCACTTGCAAACAAAAATCTTAATATGGAGTAGCAGGAAGCAGGATAGCATGAAATCTGGCTCTACTGGCCGAGCAATATAAATTCCCACTTAGCTCATTCCTGCAAACAACCAGGGAAGATATGTTCCAATTACATATAACTGCGCCCCAAGTTGAGCACATTTGACTTCCAAAAGGAAAGAAGGACCATCTCTTAACAGATGCCCGGATGCCTTGGACACCCAGCGAATTCATCCTTTGAGGCCTGTTTCCAATGTCACCCCCCTCTGGAGGCTTCCCTGACACTCCCAGGCAACATGATCCTCCTTCTGTGTCCTGAAAACTTTCTGCATACATTTCTGTTACAACTCTTATGTATCTTAGCTTGTCCTCACAAGACAGTGAATTCTGGGAAGGCAGAAATCCTATTCTAGTCATCTTCAAGTGTTTTCTGACTCCTAGTACAATGTCTGGGCCAGCGTAGGTATTGAATAAACATTTGTCAGATAACTGAGTCACTGAATATGGATAATCATTTGAATTCTAAAAGGATTTCTCAATCTTTAAGTTTGATTGCATTGCCCTGTAGGAAAAAGCCTTCTACCTCATTACGAATGAGAGCTGAATTACACAAACTGTTGGTAGTTACCCCTAGGGAGGTGGGATTTCCAAGGTCCCCTCTTTCTATTTCCATGCTTGCATTTTCAATAACTTTTGAAATGAGAAGAAATATGTAACAAAATCAAATGTGCACAAATCTAGTTTCCTTAAACGTTGCAAGGTGGCTTGGCTGCAATGCACCAAGAGGAATGTCTGTATGGCGCCCCACCTTCCTGCGGGTGAGATGTGCTGGGGGACAGGGGGCAGCTTACCGCTTGGGACATGATTGATTTCCAGGAACCATCAACGATGGCGAATTTCCTGCCCTCTTCTGGCATCTGGGCTCTGATATCCTCTGAACTGAAGATCGGCTCCAGGTACAGCCAGGTGGCTTGGCATTTCAGCCAGGCATCCAAATTTTCCTGCACTCGGACTAGCTTTTCTTCCCACTTCTGCGAATTTAGCATTTTATATCTGAATCATTAACCTGCCCGTCGGCATCACGGGCCCAAATGGACTCATCCATTTATTCACTCATCCCCTTGGTTTAACAAACCCTTCTTGAGTGTTCCCCTATGTCCCGGTCACTGCTCGGGGCAATGTGGATACAGCAATGAGTGAAACAAATGACCTTGCCCTCATGGAGCTAACGTTCTGATGGAATAATAATCATAATCACGCAACAAATGAGGGGCTGAGTGTCTTTGTACGTGTGACCAATTTAATCCAACAGACGTATGATGGCGATATTATCACACATCACGCTTTATAAATACAGAAACTGTGACACACGGTTTCAATAACTTGCCCCTGGTTAACTAATAAGGGGCAGAGCCGGAATTTGAGCCCAGCCGTCTGGCCTCCGATCTGTGTCTTTAGCCTGTGCAACTTCTACAGACAACGAGCAAAGCAGGCCAGGTCCCTACCCTGGAGTAGTGGACATTCTACTCCAGCCCAGATGGTTTTCACACACTTTCCAAGTGCATTTTGATTTGGCGCATTCAAATCATCTCGTATTCTCTTTGGCAGAACTGTCACAAAGGCTTAGCATGCTATATGCTTCCTTGGATGGGTAGTTGCTTTTGGTCTTGTGGGGGTTTTTTTCCTCATCAGGAGAAAAGTGACTTTGTAAAATGAACTTAAAAAACCTTCTCCTTCCTCCAAGCCACCCAGAGCGAACTGGACATCACAACACACGCAACCTCGGGTCCTCTTACCCGGCATTCTGCTTCCACGGGTTTGATGAATGGGGACCCACACATGGTCTGGGTCTTGATCACGTGATCGTCAAGCAGCAGTTGGATGTCATCGACTGCACACAAGATGCTTGTATCCTGCAAACAAGCATGCCCCACCCTGTCAGAATCAGAATATCCATCCACCCCTTTTCATGCTGATCCCCAAAGGCCTCACAGCTCAGATCTCCACCCCACTGGGACAGGAGTCTCTGTCTGGCAGAGAATAGAATTTCTATTTTCTTCCTTGAAAATGTTCTTAAAATCACATATTTTCTACTTCCTCACAGAAATCAACTGGCCTAAGCCCAGACTCCCAACTGGTGTCTGTTGGGGGCTGGAAGAACTCTGCCTTCCCTATGCCCCCACTTCCTGTCCCCTGGCTTCCCTGATCTCCCTCGGGTGGGATCAGCTGCTCATCTGCCTGGTGAGGCCTGGACTGGTGGTTCCCAAACTATGTGCTGAGGTGCCCCGGGGCTTGGAAGCAAACGCACAGGGAATAACTGTGGTTATTTAAAAATAATATACACAGGTGTTTCTTTCAATTGATGTGTATTTTTTTTCAAACAGTTGTTAAGGTGAAGGGACACAAATACTTACTGTTTGAACCTAATTACTTTATAAACAAGGCTGTGATGTATTTCTTTTGGTCTAGGGAGGGGAACCACGAAAAACGTACTTAGACACGAAACGCGCCGTGAACCGAGAAAGTTTGGGAATCTCAGCCTATAATTCACTGAGCCACAGTATACTAGCAGTTGAGATTACTGTGACTTAAAGGTCAGCCCTGTACATGGATGGCGCTTTTCCTCCCAGGCCATCATGGCAAGGAGGCTGACAAGGGTCTGTCTCCCTGTGGCAGGGCTGGTCTTTCTCATTCTGTTTTCACTTCCTTCAAGCCTACACCTGGGCAGTTATATTAGGGCTAGGATATATTCTCTCATCTACCTTTTACCAGTAGCTCTGCACTGGGGTGGGGGTAGGGGGGTGGGCGGAGGTCCTAGCTGTTCCTTGATTCTCTTTTGCTGCTGATTCCATAGCTGCGTCAGTCAAAGACTCTGAAGACTGGCCAGGTGTAACCGAGCTTAACTGCTCATCTCACCCAACAGCCTCTGGGAGTAGCTAATCCAGTCAGATGGTGCAGCACCCATCTGCAGGGACCCACGTGGTCCGGTCTAGCTGGAAGAGGCCCGCAGTTCTCCCCCCTCCACTGGCTCATCTACAGTTCTTACCAAGTGACATCAAGGCATCGTGACGGTTAAAACTGAAGGGGGAGAGAAGTCACAAAAAGATAACAGGCAGCCTGGTGGAGGGGGAATATGGGAGCCTTTAGAGTTTCAGTCCTCCATCACACTGCACATTAGAAACACCAGGGGTGCCTTAAAAATACAGATGCCCAGGCACCCTGGGGGTGAAGAAGTCAGAAAGAATCAACTGGGATTTTTTTTTTTTTTTGCAAAGCACTGAGCATTGTTTAATCCAGGTATGCTTCTGAGGGACCTGGGCGCCCTCCTTGGGAGATGCTCATTCTGGAGGCTTGTCAGCTCCTTTGCACTGAGAAAGCTGTTGCTCGGAATCAAAAAGCAGCTCTCGTTAGAAGATGCGCCCCTCCAGTGGTGCACAGAGGAAGGATGACTGGCACAGGAAGGAGGCTGGCAGGAAGCACTAAGGCACAGCACAGCGATTACAGACGACCATACTGCTTATACACATCAAAGTTGCTAAGAGACTCGATTTTAATTGTTCCCACCACAAAAAAAGAAATGATAGCACTCCAGTGGTAATCATATTGCAGTAGATAAACGTATCCAATCCGCACTGTGTGTGTTCAAGTGACACAATGTTCTCTGTCAATTATACCTCCATAAAGGTAAATTAAAAGGATCCTTCCTCAGTGAGTTCTGTAACCGGCTACGTGAGAAACGGGCTGCTGGGTGGGGGGCAGGCTGGGGGTGGGGGTGTCCACTTGGAGGGAGACTCACCGTGTCCCTGTACTTCGCGAAGTTGAACGTCAGGTTCACCCAGTCTAGCTTCATTTTCTCCAGGTTCTTCTCCAGAGAGTACTCCTTGCTGGCAGCTGCCCCAATGGGCTCCAGCCTAGAGAGAACAGAGCGACAGCAACAGGGGGAAGCAGTAAAAAGATGGCAGAGAAGAACTTTCAGCTCAGCCTTAAGAGAAATTCAAAAGCCCTTCATTTTACGAAATTATGATACTATCCTACTCTAAGATTTGCCTACTATCTCCAGTGTTTCACATGGTGTATAACTAACCTTGGCACTTTTGGGACTTTTGGGACCTTTGGGACTGCATTATGGGCTGAATGGTGTCTCCTCAAAATCGTGTGCTGGGGCCGGCCGAGTGGCGCAATGGTTAAGAACTCGCTTGGGATGCCAGAGGGCCCCGGTTCGGATCCCACATAGGAGGGCCAGTGACACTGCCCTCCACAGCTAAGATGCTGAACAACAGCTCAACCTGGGAGCTGGGCTGCCGTGAGTCGCCGGCGGCGGCGTAGGCTGCAGTCCCTGTGGCAGTGGGTTGCCATGGGCTACCGCGTGTAGCCAGCAGCCAGCGTGAGCGGCCAGCAGCCGCAGTGAGCGGCCGTCCAGAAGCCGGCGACTGATCTGCCTCGCCAGAGAAGAGCACAATGATGGTGCCAGCTTGGGCCAGTGAAGCAACGACCTCCACAACTAGATTGAAGAACAAAACGACAGCAACTTGTCTGTTCCCCTTCCCCCAATTCCCCAGCGCTGTTCCCCTCCCCCCAATTCCCCAATAAAAATCTTAAAAAAAAAAAAAATCGTGTGCTGAAGCCCTAACCCAGCCTGTGAGGTGCTCTATTGGTACCTCAGAAAACGAGGTACTCTGTTCAGAGATGGGTCTTTAAAGAGGCGGTAAGTTAAAAGGAGGTTCATAGGGTGGGTCCAAACCCAATCTAACTGGTGCCCTTACAGGCAGAGGAGACTAGGACAGACACACACAGAGGGGCGCCACAGGGAGACGGCAGCCTTCTATAAGCCAAAAACACAGGCCTCAGAAGCCAATCTCGCCAACGCTTTGATCTTGGACTTCAAGCCTCCCAGGACTGTGAGAAAATAAATTTCTGTTGTTTAAGCCCCCCAGCCTATGGTGTTTGTTATAGCAGCCCCAGCTAACTACTATAGGGTGGATAGTTCTTTACCTGGGGCGCTGTCCTGTGTGCTGTAGGATGTTTAGCAGCATCCCTGGCCTCTAGTCACTAGATGCCAGTAGCAGACTCCCCCTCATCCCTACCCCTTGACAGTCATGGCAATCAAAAATGTCTCCAGATGGTGCCAAACGTCCCCCTGGGATTGCGAAGTTATCCCCAGTTTTAAGGCCATTAAGACAAGACCTCTTTTTTCTGCTTTCATTTACTCCTTATTTACTCTAGAATTATTTTTCTGACTTCTTATTCAGATCTGAGAACTTCTGCTAACTTACATGATGGCTTTTGCTTCACTTCCGGTCCCTAACTTTTTTAAAAAGACACCTGCTGTTTCCCTGATATGCTGGGTCCACCTATCCAAAGCCCCTCTGTCCCACAAAAAGGGGGAGG